CTTCGTCTACGCCGCGGGCCTCCACTGCCCCGAGTTTGCCTTTTACGAATTCGTCCAAACCCTCAAGAACTAAACAAGTAGTCACGTTATATAAAAAAAATACTATTTTTTCATTTTCTCCCCCCTTTGTGATGTATTAACAACAGTCTACTATTATTAATAATAGTCTTACTACTACGTATTAATAGTAGTAGCTATTAATAGCACCAAGCTACGGCCATTACTATATTGCTACGTACTAGTACTGCTATAGTACTACTAGTACCACGTAAGTATGTACTACTTAAGACTTACGGGACAGCATTGAATATTAATACCAACCTTGGATACTATGGTTAATATAATATAATTGTTGAATTAAAAGCAAGGATGAAATTTGGATGACATTGGATGAAATTGGATGAAGTTGTGGGATGAAACCTAAAGTAGTGACCAAGCCTTACGTTGGCCCCGAGCGCCCGGGAGGCCGTCTGCGCAAGCGCGGCCGCACGAGAGCGCGGATCTAAGCTTCTCACTTCACCGAATGATCTATCTTTTCTTCTTGTCGGGCAGCGGCAGGTAGGCCGTAGGCCGTGCCGCTCCCGGACGAGGCCTGTATGCAATGACCCAGCATAATCCTAATTTACTCTCATATCTACTAATTAGGATATGACCTAATTTTAATGTTGGATGACGTTTGGATGACACATGATACTATCACGGATATTTGAAATCCATATAAATAATTCAAAGTATCAGACAGTACATACAGTACTACTACTCTGGTCCATAAAGATTGTCATGTTGTATTTGACTTGGTTTCAGTATGAAATTCATCAAATTTCTCAGAATCTGCCTCCATAAATACATATATTTATAGATACGTAGAGGTTTATACCCCAAAATCTGCCACCATCATGTTTGGCCGCCGTCGCGCCAAGGCGAGAGGTCTGTATGTCAGGGCCAACGCTGAATGTGGGGGTGACCTTAATGAACGAACAATAGATCTATACTGTCAGGTGCTATAACCGAGAGCATGTCTTTCATAGGGTCATCATGGCTATATGTCAGCATGGTGTGGTTATCTACTGTGACTCGACGCTGCATGGAACAACTAGCGAGCAGAACGTCTTTGGATCTCGCTAGTATGTGTACTTGCTTCGCATAGGGTTAGTACGTGTATTGGGCATCGAGTGCACGAGATAGCAATGGCATTTAACGCTGACCGGATGATTTTCGTTTTACAAAATCGACCTCATGCTCTCTCAAGCTTGTATCTCCTGCAAAAAAGTGCTTTCGGAGGAGCTCGAACTAGCCAATCAAAGATGAGATCATTACCTTTCCAATGCACCAATCAGTTCAATTCAAGTCGTAAATTTAGACGAATGGCACCACGCCAAAAACAATGTGACAAACATTACGGACCAGAGTGGTACTACTTCGGAGTAAATTGCAATTATTAACGTTAACGTTAGCCATGAGATATACAGTTAGTCGAGGTCGTCGTTGCGCTTGGTCACGATCAACAAGAAGTTCTAAGGCCTATCATGACATCATAAAGTGTGGTTGACATCGTAAAGTGTAGTTAGCAGGGATAAGAATAGATTTTTGGTCCTCCTGTGTGGACGCATGCTCGCAGGTGACGTGGGTTGTGGGCGGCGGCTGCACGGGAAGGTTCTATGGAAAAAGGTCAAAGTGGTCGTGAACACGTCCAAGTTGGACGAGAACCAGCTGCGCAGATACCAAGCGATTCAGACCCACGCGCTGCAAGCAGTACGTACCTTCCTCCATATATCTATCTCCATATCCCAACCCACAAACCCACACATCTATATATACTGTCCGGCAGGCCCAAGCGCAGTTGGTCGCCGACGGACAGCACTTGACCGACCTCGCCAAGCCCCGCAACGACGACGACGGCACCCTCTACTCCCGGGTATACATATGTACACGATGCTTGTTCGTCATGTGGATTTCCTCATATCCGCCATACATGTATATACAGGAATCGCTCGTCCTTCGGTATGGCCTCCGTCGGCATCCAGGGATTGTGAATGCTGTGCAAGTGTTGTGGGACTTTGATGGGCCGCGCGACGACTTGGGCTGCTTGGAGAAGGGCGGGTACGTGGCTTTCTACCTATGCGTGGCCAAATACTTGGACTCGTCGTTTCAAATGGCCTCCGCCGCCGCCACCGTGGAGGTTCGTCCTTATGTGTGACGACGTTTTCATATAGTAGTACGAATAGTATGTACTACTATACCACAGGTGTAAATGTATGTGTATGTGCACAGGCAGAGTGGGAAATCGACCGCAAAGGGTGCGACGCGCTCAGTTTTGTGATGTTTTTCGACAGTTTATTCCAGTTGGCAGGTTAGTACAACAATGATACTTAGTACTTCATACATCATCATCATATTGGACCAAGGCATGAAACCCGCTTTGGCGTAGATTTGTGGGTCGACAGCTTGGACCCGGCGGATTACGTGGCGTTCTTAGATGGCATTACATCGTCCATCTTTGTGATGGACGAAAGGGGTCGCCGCCGGCTCAAGGAGTGCACGGGTACGGAGGATGTTGTGATAATATATATATGTGAATTTTGACAACACTATTGAACGGGCTACTGGTAGACATCAAATGTATCCAACAAGGTAGCGACAACAGCGATAGCGATGACGACAGAGATACCCCCCTGCAAAGCAAATCCACGAAAGCCAAAGCAAACCAGAGGCCGACCCAAATTAGTGTACAGGTGGACATTCCTAAGAAACATCCACGGAGGGTGCCGCCGTTGGCGACCACGTTGAACAAGTCGAATCCAATGGCCACGAAAGCAAATTACACTTCCCCTACGCCTGCAAGTTCAAGTAAACGACAGGCGGGGGGAGGTTCATCGTCTACTAGTGCGTCGTCGAAACGCACAACATCCAAACGCCCAGCTCCCACTTCACAGGCGAAACCTCGAACGACCAAGGCCACCGACGCCCCATTAGCCCTAGCCCCAGAGAAACTACGTTCCGCTCGGGATATCATTATTATGCCGTTGACGCCTTCACCAACCCCGGACGACTCCTCCACGACCCCCAACGACCCAAATTCAAACGATGCTCCTGCTGAAGCCCCATCGTCTGCCGTGCATGCTGCCGCCAATAGTCACCAAAACCAGCTCAGCACCAGCAGCAGCAGCCACCAATCTGACATAATCGACGAAGAAGAAGGCGATGATCAGACGCTAGACGACGAGACGGCAATCGACAAGCACGCGATTGCAGTGCGATTGGTTCGGTTTGCGTCGGCGCATCAAGTGCTGACACAGTCGAGCCGACGACCGCGTCACACATCGCTCAACGCACGTGGCCACTTCAACATCCACCAGCTTACCCAACAGCCGACACCCGACAGCTTGCGCGTGGGACGGCAGAGCTTCATGCAAAGCGCGATGCCGCAGGGTACGTCCGCCGCGACGGAAGGCGCCCCCGACGAGTTTGCACAAGGCAAACGATGCCAGTCAGGAGTTGACGAAGGGGAAGCCACGACTCCTCGGCCGTAAGGGGTCGTGTATTCTTATATCAAGTCAAGTATTTGTTCTTCAAGGTAAGTCCGTAGGTCGGATTTGGTTGTGGACGAGATCAACCAAGCCAACACGATCCGGGTGCAAATTCAGCCGTCGTCTTTTGCGGCGCTTCGGCACTCGCCCAACAAATTGCGCGGCGGTAACAACCACCAAAACCACATTCCTGACTCGTGATGTTCTTGTATCGAGGCAACGACACCATGATCGCAATTTGAATCGCACGTATATATATATGTAGGCGCCCTGATCAAAGCCAAAGCAACTTGTTCGAGTCCCAAATTGCTGGATAATGGATTGTCTGCTACTGCTGGTGGTATATATGACAAGCTCGTCACGTCGTTGGGGAGCCCCCCCAGACTCGAACAGCACACGGAGGCTCTTGTCGTGGGCGTCAGGTTGACCAAGCCGCCCCTTGGTGTTGACGCCGCTGCACTTGATTCCCCACAACTTCTTCAAACTGGGGGATCGCCCGCCCCCTCAATGTCTTCGTGCATATTGGTATATGACGCAACCTATCCTACATATATATACCCATTGTAATTGGACGTATTGGTATGTTGTAGACGCGGTCGCTGCCCATCTTTCGCGTAATGTGACCACATATAAACCACCCTGTTCCTCACTTTTCACTCTTTTTTTAGCTTACTGTATGAAAGCGAGTAATTATGCTTGTGACATGGATATATATATATGTGTGCTGCGTAGGGCTCGAACATGTGTCCGATATCTGTGACGACGTCGTCGTCGGGGAACGTCATGTATCAAGCTCTACCGCAACTCGTCGACGCACCTCCCGCCGCCCACGCGGCGCTCTTGACCATCAACCGACGGGAATTCCACCTCGAGCGCGACCAGTATTTTGACAAGCCCGTCCCCAGTCGCATTGCCATGCTCAAACAAAAGCAACGCGTGCACCAAGCGCAGAACTTTGCAGGGCGACTTTCAGACAACTCGATCGTATGGGGCAGCGACGAGAACTCGGCATAACATTGATGTTTCAAGCCTCAACAGCATTCTGAATTACTTTCATAAGGGCAGCAGGGAGAGAAAGAGGCCATCGGCATGGTTCAATGTCTTAGTTGTTGCCGTCTTGCGACACATACGCGTCGACAATCGCGTGTTCTGCGATACGGGGAATGGTCTCTATGGTTACATACATATTCATAAATGTCGTGCAGTAGGAATCCTGACGTGAATCAAGCAAGTCATACATGTATAACGAACGTTACACGCCCATCTTGTATACTTAATATATATGTATTAATACTAACAGCCCAATCATTTCGACACGTACTGGTATACTCGATGGTGTCGGCAGCCCCAAACACATCGGCGGTGAGCGCCGCCACGTCTTTCTTTGTCATGGGGGGGTCGCCAAAGTATGACGCGACTGTTGTCATGGTCGTGACGAGGAAGCGAAATCCTTTTGCGTCCACTTCGCTACACTCGATGATGATAATATACCAGTGAGTGACAGGTGATGAAGTTCTCGTCATCGTTTCGTAGAAAAGGTCAGGGAACAGATTTGATTCTGTCAAGATGCTATCACATGGGTGGAGACCGCGTAGTTACCCCGTGCTATCTTCATCCCACATTTCAAAGGCCACTACACATTTATGTATTTCAAGAGGTTGGTTTGGAAGAGATATTAAGACAACATGATGCGAATGATGCATGTCGTACATGCGAGTTTGGACGTCAAGTTGCCTTTGGGGAATGTATGTCATCATAACCTGGTTAGTTCTGGTTCAACGTGGGACGACGTACACATACCTTTGACAAGCGGGGCGACCCCCACGAGGAATTCGCGGCCGTTGATCACGTCATCACCAGTTTTGTCCATCATCGTGAACAATCGATCGAGAATCGCACGGTCGGATGCCTGCCCCAGACAAAGGATCAAAGGCATGACATCATGTGGATTTTTGTACGTAGAAGTTGGCGCGGTCCACGGCAATGTTAAAGTCATCGCGCGACAGATTGGGCTCCACGCGCTCCTTGGATGACGAAGATGGAGCGGGGCTTTGTCGTACTTTCTTGACATTGTCGGGCGTGGGCTTGACCGCCGCTTCAAACGCCGTCCGCAGTTCCAACAGGTCGTCGCGGTCGACTACAGCATAGGAATATATGTGACATCGGGTCTGTGCACATGAGACCGACATTGTGTGATGTGCGACACTGCCGCAATGGACAGACGGTTCGCTTGCTTTGACAAGTCTTGGCCCATGACGATCAGCAGGGGAATGCGATCAAAACCGACATTTGAAACCGTTTTGCGAGTCGAAACCGACCCACGACGAGAAATTTGCTTTTTTTGCAATAAATTGTCGGCATATACGTTTGCAAAATGATGTATGATCACTTGTTCGGTTTTCAACTGTAATCATAAATTGGTCCTCAATAAAATAAACACAAAATTGTATGATGCGAAGACGAAAAATCAGTCTTCGCAAATTTGGTGCACAAACTGCAAAAAAGGCAATATATACTGATTTCCCTCTGACTTTTAAACGGGGCAAAATCTATAATTTTTATAATCTTATATTTATTAACTTACACAGAACGTTTTGAAAATTCAAATGCTAAGAGTGAAAGGCATCAATACTGTAGCGTTGTGTTATTTTGAAACATGAAGGTGCGTATGTCCTTGGTTGACAAGCATGCGTTGTGTGCTGAGCATACTCGTCGCCCAGAAGCGACGTACTCTGAGCTGGTGGCATGGGCGGCGAACACATCGTTTCCACTCCAACAAAAGCTACAATTGGGAATGTAATTAAACGACATGCCAATCTGCAAAACCGAGCGGACAACAAATTTCGTTCGATTAACCGAGAAGTTAAGCTACCAGCCATCGAGAATGAAGTCCTCCAATGGGTACTACGCTGTGAGGAACTGGGCGTCTGCATCACCGGAGAACTCATCCGGAAGCAGGCGGGCGTCTTTTGCGACGCGCACGGGATCCCCGAAGACAAACGTATATCCTTTTCAAAAGGATGGTTACACAAGTAACAACGAAAACACCGACTCACCAGCAAGCTCCAACACGGCGAAGCCGCTTCCATGCCGCTCGCTGCAGTCCTTGAAGGGCAGCAAGATGTCCTAAACGCAACGAATGGTTACAATCCTCAAGATGTCTACAACATGGACGAAATTTTCTTTTTCTACTGCTTGTCCCCCCACCGCACGATTACACGACATAAAGTTCCCGGAACAAAGAAGTCCAAAAAGCGCATGATATTGGCCCTTACGACCAATGTTTTTACTGGTTCTCATGGGTTATATCAATAAATAATACCTTCAAAATATTATATACTGTGGAATATGTATAATGTTGGCCGTTTAAAAGTTGGAGGGAAATCAGTATGCAAATTACTTACGACGTAATACATTAAAGCCTCTATAAATTGATATTTCCACAACGAAATGAATTTGGGTTTGCCCCAAAATTCTTCTATCCGGAAGAATTTGACGAGCTTATTTTCGTCTGCGAGATTTTTGGTATAGTGCAAGTCACATAAAGATGCCTTGACTTTCGACAGCTATTCCAACTTTGTATTGATATTATTTAGGAAAATATACCGTAATAACGATAGAACTGGACAAGCCCAACAGAAGTTACGGTTCAGAATTTCGATTGGTGAAATATTGATCGAGTAATAGAATTTAAACCAACCGGCCTTTTTGTACGGATATATATGGAACCACGTACATTTTGGCCGAAAAGGAGTATCAAGTATATCATGGTCTTTGTATACAGCACTTATCCGTACGAACGTTTTCATTGTATCCGGATTATTCACAATGTTTAACCTAATTACCAGGTAAAAAACGTAACTAATAATGATTTAACGTCAACATTTCGTGGGTTTAACTGAAAGAACTGAGGCGTTTAATAGTAAAACGTCTCCTCCTGAGGATGGCAGACCACAGTCATCCTATAATCACTTCACAAAATGGGAATAGCCATATCCTATGACCAGAGATATGGGTACAGTACTCCCGACTAACGTTACTAAAGTCGCGAGTGTTCAGCTCGACCAGACCAAAATCAGCGCCATCGCCCAAACTCGATGCTTTTGCTCTCTCATACAATGACCTAACATAGTTTAGGTATGCTGTCTCTCGTACGATGAATGCTTCTACTTATGCCAGCCACACTAGAGCAATCATCTGCGAGTACTTTGCCAAGGAAGCGTACATTTGATCAATGTTCTCCTTGATTATTATGCAGCGATGGTTGATTACCTACATGAGACACCGGCAAGACACTTAGTTCTTTTGGGCGGCCTTGGTTTCGCGCAAGTTCTTTTCTTCGATGATGCTGAGCTTGATGCCCTTGCCGCGAGGCAACGACACCCACGGGCGGTTGTCCTTGCCGATCACGAACACGTTACCGACACGCGTGGCGAAGTCAGCTCCAGTCGAGTCCTTGATGTGGGCAATGTTGAACGAACCAGCATGTCTACACAAGGATTTGAGCAACGAGATGGAGGGAGGGATAAATGGATGGACGGGAGAGGCTTAAATAAGCCAGGGAGAACAACCACGACGAAGTGCGTACACCGTCACACCCAGCTCGCAATGAGTCTTAGGGTGTGTCCATACCTTTCAAGATGGTGGAAGGTACCGACGCGACCGGCGTTGCGACCACCGGTGATCGTGACCAAGTTGCCGGTTTCGAACTTGAGGAAGTCCACGACCTTGCCGGTTTCCAAGTCGATCTTGACCGTGTCGTTGACCTTGATGAGCGGGTCAGGGTAGCGGATGGTGCGTCCGTCGCTGGTGGCGATGTACGGGATTTGCTTGGAGGTCAATTCTTGGCGAATGACCTTGGCCAACTTGTACTTCTTTTCTTCGTCGTTGACACGGTGGATCACAAAGCGACCCTTGGTGTCGTACAACAAGCGGAACGCATCGCCGGACTTTTGGATTTCCACGACGTCCATGAACCCAGCAGGGTAGTTGGGGTCGACGCGCACCTTGCCGTCCACCTTGACGAGCTTTTGCATGGCGATCATCGTCACTTCTTGCTTGGTCAAAGCATACTTCAGGCGGTTGCGAAGGATGATGATCAAGGGAAGGCATTCACGCAACTTGTGGGGACCCGACGAAGGGCGAGGGGCCCAGATACCGTCGAGCTTGCCAAGCATCCAGTGCTTGGGGGCGCTCATGCGCTTCAAGTGATGGCGAGGTCCGCGGGGCATGGTTAGCAAAGATCAAAAGGAGAACTAGCGGCATTCACGCCAGGCCGAAAGCACCTTCGCGACCAGTGAATTGAATTCCGGATAACAACCGTATCCGGGAACCCGATTGTTCATGGGATTGGCCCACAACCAATACCGTGGCAACTAATATCTAGTTTGACAGGTTTCCTATCCAAGATGCAGTTACGGCGTCCTCATATAGCATGATTGCCTCGATGCTGTTGGAATAGCGAGCCTATAGTCTATGGCAGCGTCAGGAGAAGTGTGCTACGAATGCCCAGAGTTAGTGGAGTGGTTCTTATACTTGCATCCTATCAAGCATCGCAAGCAAGAAATTGATTTGATTGGTTAATAATATTTGTGATCAACCAATGGCATGCGTTTAAACCTCGATGGCGCAAGAATTCGCACCTTCCACTCACGACGCCATCAACGACCATGTTGCCGCAGTTGATGAAGCGAGCGCTCTCGCGTAGCGTGACGCAGACGTCGTCTGTCTTGCCTCGATGCATGCCCCAACTGCAAGTAGCATCGCAGCAACGCCGCTCGTTGCATGCGACACGTTCCCAGGATAACGCCCTTGTCGTTGGAAGTCTTGGCGTTGCTGCCGCCGCCCTTGGGGGCAAGTACCTGCTCGAAGCGTACGAAGGGTACCAAGCCAAAAAAGCGTCGTCGCCGTCTGGAACTGGGGCTTCCTCGTCGTCAAGCGTGTTTAACATGTCGTACCGCAACTTTTACGACGGTCCGTTCGAAGACAAGATGACGCGACGAGAAGCCGCGTTGATCCTGGGTGTCCGCGAAAGCGCCAGCCCCGACCGCATCCGCAACGCCCACCGCAAGCTGCTCATTGCGAACCACCCCGACACTGGCGGATCGACGTTCCTCAGTTCAAAGATTAACGAAGCCAAGGAACTCCTCCTTGGCGGCAAATAGACATCTCATGCATCCTTCATGTCTGACCTCGAGACTCTCAAATTTCCACATCGGTTCCATGCGCATCACAGGTACAGTGCCAGCCCTCCCTCCGCTTACACAAACAAGTCCATTGTCTCTTACCACATACTATATATCTTCATTCGCATTCTCATGCGCTTGTTTGCTTTTCTGTGGCCATGGTTACACCGTAAGGCCGAGCTTGAATGCCGCCGCTGCACGCAACGCCGCCACGTCGTCCGGCTCGTCGGCGTACGAGGCGGCCAGCACCGCCACGATCTTTCCAAACGCTTTCTCAAACTCTTCTTGCAGTGGCGCCAACTGCAGTACGTCTGCGTCTTCGCTCGGGTGGTAGTTGTTGCTACTACTAGTACTACTACTCGTGGCGCTATTCGTTGGACTCGTTATAGTAGTACTACTCAACCCCGCCGCGGACGCCGACGGCACGGACCGGTGGTGGTGGTTGGTCCGTCGAAACAAGTCGCGACTGATTGCGAGCACGGTCAGCGCCACGTTGAGAAACTGAACCAACGTCGTCCTCAATTCCGTTTGTTTCTCGGCTTGAATGGCCGGTGCCATGGGCATCGCGTCCTTGTCGACGCATACGACACCGGCGGCGAGAAACGTCTGGATCACTTCGGGGGCGCCGCCATTCACTTCAGTGTTGATGCTGCCTTTCAACAGATGCGTGATCGCTTTCACGTCGTGGGGTAGTCCTTTCTCGTCCCGACGAACGACCTTCAGGAGCGACGCCGTCCGCTTGGCAATGTCGTCCGTGGCCGTGTCCAATGGGCATCGGATGATCTCTTGCTTGCCAACCACGGCTTGGCGCATCGACAGGTACGGAAAGTCGTGGCGGACGCGCAACACCATCTTGCGCACAAACTGGTGCTTCATCACGGAAAACGGACTGCTCCACCTACAGTAGTCATGTATATATATATCGTTTACAAACTAAAGAGCAGCGATATGGAATGCTTTTTTCACTTGAAAAATCAACCATACCCCAAACTTCGCTAGAGTTTCACATGACGGCGTTGCATCATGTTGATACACATCTCATAGACATGTGTGCTCATCGTATAGTTCATTGCAATATTCACGATGCTATCAAGTCCAACTGCTGAATCAACATGTCGACCAATACAGTACTCGATTTCACACTTTCACATGAGTGCCTTGGATGATAGTCATACACACGGGTTCGTACATGAAAGCGCGTCCGCAGTCGCCGACAAACATGGGCTCCACGGGGGTGGCCTTGACGTACACGGTGTCGGGGTCGGTGGACGCGTCCAGCTTGGCCATGCTGATGGGTTTCACTTTCAAATGCGGAAAACTCGCGTTCAGTCCCGACTCGATCGACGCCATCATCTCAGACACGTGGCAAAACGCAGACCGTTTGTAGATGAACTCGATGCCCAAGTCGGGAACATTAGTCGACGCCGACCCGACGATCGCGACTAAAAAGTACCGAGACACGGGCGGGGCGTCGTCGTCTGGCTTGCCTCGTTGCTGGGCCAGCACCCCTGCCACGACACTGTCCATGATCTTGAGCGTCGTCGCATACTCGACGTAGTTTTGCACCTTGTGGCACACTGCGAGCATGTCTTGGGCGATCGCCAGAGCCATGTCGGGCATCGCCCACGACGTCACAGAAGATGCGACAACGTTTCCATGTTGGGGCGACAAGTACGTGAGTGCGAGCTTGTACTGCACGAGGACAAACTCGTCGGTGGACACGACCCGCCCCCCACGACTGCGACCATGATTATTATTGCCACCGCCTCGAGTCGTGGCCATGTCCACAAGATGCAGTTTGCATTTCGCAGCTTCGGCAAACTGACCGCATTGGACGTGCACCCGGGCCAGCGCATCGATGAACTTGACATGCACGTCAAACAGTCCGACTTCTTCGGGGGGGATCGCCATCGCCACCGACACTAGCGCGTCCGTGAGTGACTCCACTTGGCCCATCGTCGCCCCGTTCGACGGCCAAGTCGTCATGGCGGCTTCGTACTGCTGCCATGTGGTCACCACTCGACGCAGCGACGCCACTAGACTCGTGAGGCGCGGCCGGAACGGTGTCTGCACGCCTGGAAACGCGTCCATGGCATCCAACACGTTTGTCAGCAACGGCAAGTGGAGCTGCTTGGCCACGACTTGAACCAATGCATGTTGGACACGAAGAAAATGGCCGCGCTGGTCAAAACTCGTGGCGAGGAGGTCGCACACAAACGTCGCGGCCAGCGGGGCCGTGGACGCGCCGCTGGCCGCGAGCACGACGAGGCGTTCACACCATGCATCGTCCGCCATAAGCACAACGTTCGAGTGCGCAAACAGCGGCGTTTGGAACCGCCCGAGGAACGCCGTGAGGTGCGTCAGGACGGACGACACGACGACGTCCTCTGCGTCAAAGTGGCCGTGGCCGATCCGCGTGAGAAGCGCGTACCACAAGTCCACGACCGTCGCAAGGAACGCCGGGTGCGCGCCCAAACTGCGGCTGAATTCGTGAACCAGGGTTTGGATGGTCGCGACGAGGGTATGCGCGACGGCAGTGGCGACGCGCTTGGCGTGGCCGTCCATGTCGTGGTCCGCGGACGAGGACGAGGAAGACGAGCCGTCGTCGGGTTTGACGTCCATGCTGTTTTTGCGCTGGGCCATGTAGTGCTTGCCCCAATTTCGCGGCAACGACCGATGGTGCGCCGACGATCCTGAACCCCCTGGCGGCTGCGTGCCACTGCCACTTGCAGATCCAGGCAAGCCAGCCCCATTGCCCATCGCGCCAGTGTTATTACGAGGGCTCAGCGTCGTGGCTTCGTCCGTGAGCTGACTGCGGCGGTTGTTGCGCTGCTTCATGTACACTTCGATGTCGAGCAGCGACAGCTGCGGCGGCTTGCTTTGGTCGGCGCAGTCTGGCGACAACACTTGCTGCCACGGCACCTCGGCGCCCAGAAACGTGTCCATCACGTAGCGCAACGTCTGGATCGCCCCCAACACATGCGCCTGCAATGCTGCGTTCTGCCAGTCCGTCCCGTCGTCCGTGTGGTGGTGTCTCTACAAAAGCAAGGTACTCCGTCGATCCTTTATTTGAGCATGCTAGGTATAATATATATACATGTGACAATGTACCTCGTACGTGGCTGTGCTCAACAACGCCTTGGGCTTCCAAAACCTGCCACACATCCAAACACAAACAGAGGCATGATTATTCTCAAAGAAAGACAATTCACGATGGTTTTCCCCCAAGATACTGTATGTATATGACATAGAACACTGTTGTACCCTTTCAATTGTCGCTCGGGAACGTGCTGCAATGTTGCGATGATGCATAGCAACACGTCGCGCTTGAGACTGTCGGAAAGACTGCTTTGTGAGGACGACACTGCAGAGTCGTCGCCGTCGAACCGACGCGTGAGTGCGAGCATATTGGGCACCACGGGCAGCAACATCATGGCCACACGTTCCTTCTGACTCGACTTGGCCCCGCTCATTTGCACGACCAAGAGCCGGCGTAAAATCGCCATGGCCTGCGACTTGATCTTTTCTTCCGACTGGTCCGTGGCCACCTGGAGCAGCGTCGTCACCACCAGCTGTGCGAGCCACGCATCGTCCAGCCGTCTATTGTTCTTGGTGCCGTCGTCTTTACTTGGAGCATGATGGGATCGACGCCGAGAGCTGCTGCCGACTGCTGCTAATGGGCCAATGATCGTGTTGATCTCCACGAACGCGTCGGCGTCGGCAAGAATCCGAAGAAATGGAAACGTCATGTGGATCATTACGGCCGAGTCGTTGGTAGTCGCCAGACGCGGCACGGCGCGCTGAATCCACAGCGCCGGCACGGGACTTTTTACGACCCAAAACAGCGCCAACGCGAACCGCCCGAGGCTCTGCAGCATGTCCTTTCGAGCGATGAATCCGTCGTCCGTGAGAAGCGACGCGTCGAGCAACACGTCCAAGAGGGAGGCAACAAGGTCCACGTCCACCATGGGTTGTGGGAGGCGCGGAGGGGGATCCTGCGTCGATGGTGACGATGATAGCACGGACAATGCGATGCTTTTCAAAACGAGGTGAAGCAAGACGTTGGCGTGAGTCATGGCTAGCCGACGGGGCTCGTTGGGCTGGGTGGTTGTGCTGGTGCTGCTGCTTCGCCCGGTGGGGATGACGGCGGACGGCGTCGCTTCTGTCACGAGGGCCGTCCATTCTGCAATCACAGCCTCGTACACTTTGAATCGACGGTCGCCGCCGCCGTCGGTGGTGTCGTGAGAAGCACCACTCGACGGCGTGGCGTTGTCGGGTTCGTCAAAGATCGCGTCAATATATTGCAACACAATCGAACCGCCGCCACTTCCGTCGTGGTGGTGCTTGCGTGCGGCGCTTCCACTGGTCGCGGAAGGCACCGCGGACGACGACATGGAGCACTTGTCAAACAACGTCAAGCACGTGGCAAAGGCCGCGGTGCGAACTGGACGGTGCGCATGGCAGAGGTATGCCAGGAGTTGCCGAAACAATCGAAGGGCGTGATGTCGTACACCGATGCTTGGCGCTGCCTTTAGGGCCACGATGCGGGCCACGAGCTCCTACATCCCACCACAAAAAAGGATAACGTCATTATCAACCATGCAATCATCCACATAGACAGACACTTACTTCGTGGGATATCGTGTCGGTTTGTGTCCACAGATGCAAAAACGACTGAATCGCACTGTCTTGGCTGTATACCGTGGACAAGAGGCGCGACCGGACTTGAAACAGCGGAGCTCCACCGAGTGCCGCGCCATTGTTGGCACCCGTGGCGGTCGAGACTACGCCGCCGCCCCCGTCGGTGACCACAAGGGTGTGTGTGGCGTCGGGAATAGCGACACCGTTTTGTCTGTCCATAACCGGGAGCACCGCGCGGCCAACGATGTCCATGGGCAGCTTTCCCGCGGCCATTTTCTTGCAGTGCACTTGGTAAAACGTAAACACAACGTGGTGCGCCGGGTCTAGCGTCAACGGCAGTAGGATTTTGATTTCGTCTTCAAACGACGGCGACTTTTGATGGTACGACACGTGGCAATACACGTCGGTAGTGAGGGCCGCCACGGACGCCGACGACGACAAGAAGCATGCGATTTCGGTCGTGTCGTGAACCAACTGCACCTTCACCGCCACATTCCGATGCTATCCAAATAAATACAAGCGATCGTCACCACCCACTGTCGAGTACAGCAAGAAAACCAAACTATTTCCTCCCCTGGAAATAATCCCACAATGCCTTCATAACGCGGCAACCATAGGTGAAAACAGTACAATCAAAATCGATGATGTTTCATGTAGTTCAGACTACCAAACAACCGACAGCGGTCTTCAATGATTTGAGTCGTCCTGAGTCATGTCCAAACAACGATCAAGAGTATCCGCACCATCACATTGATTGGCCACAGAGACAGACGAACGATATCAGAGTCGTAGGTGCAAATGCACGACGTACTTGGAATCGGTCGATGGCGTGGGGATAGAGGTAAAGCGCATGTATATACGAGACTGCCACGGGGCCACTTGCACACGGTCCCCACGTAGCCGCCGCTTGGGGGGGGCAAAACGGCTGCATCTCTCGACACCATTGCAGCGTGTGTGGCAGGGCGTCTGTCGCTACTGCATGGAACATGGGATCGACCAAGTAGAGCAGCGCTGTGGCCGTGGGCGAGATTTTCATCTCGAGCGTGCGTTTCTTGGCGCTTCGAACGGTCACATCGTCTACTTTTTCAATGTCCAATTCGCAAATGCACGGCACTGTCTTTTCCCTATCGACATCGCATAGTTGATCACGACAAACAAATGTATCCACACAACTTGATATACGATTCACAACCACGCGTATCATCGAAGATATAGATAAGGAACGATACTCCCATGTCGATACCATATTTGTTGTACCTTTGCGTAATACGAACAATTGATTTAAATATTCCATATATATATATAGGCCATTAAGTGCCCGCTGAGCGATTTAAACTTTACAGCGTAATATCCATATATATATATATATCATTGATTTGAGATTATAAGAGTATACATTGACCAATATAATTATAATTCACATTTGATAGTTCATGATAGTGCAGATCAAATAACGACAAATACGGGTAGACACATTAATATTTTTGACCAAGTTTTTCAACACAAAGGCAACAAAACGTACTTGAGCGTTCCTTTGGACGCATCCACAAGCATCGCGAGACGGGCGTCGTCGCTGAGACTCGCCTTTTGCCGATACAAGATCATTTGTCGAATGCCTTCGGAGAGCGACACGGCACCCCAAGCAAGGGGCTGGTGGATGGACCCGCCGAGCCGCGCGGCGCATTCCGCCGCCTTGTCGATGAGTTTGGCTTGCTCCGCCTCGGACATGAACTTTTCGGGCTGGCAATAATGCAACGATGCAATTTCAGCATCTCCTTGGAGGACTTTGGAGGTCTACAAATGAAAACACAGTACATATACATATATATAGTGCCATTGAAGAATGCAGATTACAACCAAAAGGGGTAGCGTTGTGCTTTGTACCTGGAGGACCAAGTACAGATTTTGCGCATAATGCGTGGGAAGGACGTAGAACATGGCACTTTTGATGAATCGTGCGTCCTACCTCGCGGTTAGAATCGACATGGTCGTTATGGGGGGGTGGGTACCTTGGCCGCGGACAAAGGGGGGTTGACCTGGAACACAAACTCTTCGCTGGTGCGACCGCCAGAGTTGAGGTCGTACAACGCGAGGCGACACGTCACGGGTTCGATCTACAAAATCCCCCACCCAACATGATTCGGTGGATACTTATGAGAAAGGACATGTGGTGAATCCAAGGAATTACCGCGCCGATGTTGAACACCACTTTGCAGGAGACTTTAAACGCGATGGATCCATCGACCGCCGTCACATCACGGAAACAACTGGGTGCGTGCAACTCGTGCGGAAACAATGGCGTCACGGAGGTGGGATGGGGGTCGTAATGGCGCAGAATGTTGTCGACTCGTTCGCTTCCCTTTCCTCGCGACAATGGTTCGTCCTTGCTCCTCGGCGAGTCGTCAACTTCGGGAGAAGGTTCATTGTCTTCATGCGCTGGCAACGGCTTCTTTGTCGTGCGAAACGCTCGCCATGGTCGGGCAAACTCTTGCAGCGTCAACTCGGTCTGGAGTCCAGGCTCGACATGGACCGTCGTTGGCAATGGGACTGGAGATCGTCTCCACACCTTGCGAGTGATTGACCCTAGCTCCAGTGTCCCTTCCTCAATAGCAAACTCCACCGCGGCCGTCATGCCGCTGTCGGCGACCTTCATGGAAGCAAAACCGATTCGCTCGACGGTGAAACTTGTGTTGTGTCCTAGAAAGATCGGGGTCGAGTCTTGCGATTTGATTGGTTTTTCAAATTGTGTCCAGAGTACAGTAGAAGAAATCATCCGGATGTTGAACCAAACTATTATCCGGTGTTTTCTGTACTTTCCGTAAACTTTGGATTTGCGCGCCACTTTCAAATTTGCGGAAGAACCACGAGAAGGCCCAGGTACATACCTAGCAGCGTGGACACAGGGAAAAAGAGTACTCCAGGCATATGACTGTATCTATCTGTGTACGCATGTGCCACGTCAATGTACGGTAGGATGAGGCTGCGTTAACGTCATGTCCATCGTATACTGACACGATGAATCCAATGTTGCCACTGTTGTGCTGGAGCTTTGGTTTTCCTACGGTGATTACTACAATGCGAATGCTCGATCACAGATACAATAGCTCGCAGGAGCATGAATTTGATTGAAACCGAAGACTTCGTTGGTACAAACTATTGATTGTACAGGTAATGTTATGTACAGTTTCTGGGTATTAAGTGCTGGCCGTCCTCCAAGGTCGACTACTCTTGCGTGGAGGTAAATGCGTTGATGAACATCTCACGAGCGGCTGAAGTCACCATTAACCTCTCTAATATTAATGATCATTGGGAACGGCGGAACCGGCAATTCGTGTTCCAAAGGTAAAAGTTCTACATTGTATTATTCGAACGCTGGTCCCTACATTCGTACTTATTCCCTTGCAATACTGACATTGAATACTGACATTGAAGTACCTGTATTTTTGGCGCGTCCGGAGCTTTTGGGTGGTGTTCTCGAGGGGACAGTAGGACAGCATTCTCCAGGCCAGTCCATCGATCGGGGCCAAAGTCAAGTGGTCACATGACGTGCTTGAATTCATGTTACGCTGGAAAGAGTTGCCCGCAGTTGGCAATGCGCACGACGTCCAGCGGCCGCCCCGACTCGGACGCGGCGAGTCCGTGGAGCTTGGCCAGGGTTTCAAAGCTCGATTCGCCCAGCAATGCCCCAAACACCACGTGCTTGTTGTCGAGCCAAGGCGCCTACACCCACCCAGCCAGTCAACCAATCAACCAATCCACCGCTCAAATCAGTATTCATTCCCCTTGGTGATGCCACGCACAAAAAAAGCTAATACCCAAAGAGAGCAGACGGGCACTTCAACGTACCGCCGTGAAGCATATGTAAAACTGGGACCCGTTCGTATCGGGCCCCGCATTGACCATCCCCACGGTACCAAGCCCAATATGCTACCAACGTCCCCAACGAGAGATGGAGTGGGGTGAGGAGATCATGTCGTTGATTATTCACATGCACATCGACATTCATGCATAACGTTACCCGAAGGATGAAGTTTTCGTCGTCAAACGTGGGCGTCGCATACGCACAACTGCCGCCTTCGCCATCGATATCACCTGCTTGAAGCAGCGAATCCCGCACGACACGATGGACGAGACTGTACGTATAAGACCATGAAACCAAGTTGGACATTGACCAGGCATGTATATGTACCAACCAGCCAAGGTATCGCTTGGGGTTGCCTTTGGCGTCATGCACGTCGCCTGTATGGATATATATATATGTGTGTGTAAGTCCATCTTGATCGAGCAACAAGGGTATTATGTAGTACCGGTGCACAGCACGCGAAAGTTCTCAGCGGTTCGAGGCACAATGTCTGCGCGGAGCTGAAGAGACCAAATCATCTCACAACTTGAGCTATGACCGACCGAATGTACCTCGATGGTAAGTCGACCAAGTGGCTTGGCGCCAATGGTAATGTCGAGAAACACGATGGGGTTGTCCCGTCGACTGGAGCGTCCGCCATTCGGCTTCATTTAAAGCAGCGACCGTTACACAGTAAGTTTACCACGAATGGATATGACATGTTACGCAAAATGCCCATGGTACTACTGTATTGAGCCTTCAAGATGAATATAATAATGTGTGCTACGCTACCTAGAGCTACATAAATAACTAGAAAAGTGATCGAGTGTGTATCGGTTTGCAGTTAAAAAGTGTTATTTTCATCTTCACCGTAAATCTCAGGGGATTGACAGATATAGGTTTTTCCTCATTTACACACGAGCGATCTGTTCGATGGTTCTATTCGTAGTTCGTCTTCATACAGTGTGTACACTACCACGTATCTCTGCATGCGATGAAAGGTCAGAGAGGTAAAGCGAATCTCGTTGTACAATCAATCCCCTTTCGGAGTCAGTTGACCGTCGTGAAACGTTGAGTAAATTCATCATCCTGTTCATCCATGCCTACTATCAAAGAGGTCACCACTCTTTGCTCTACTGGTCAAATTTGGAAATGACGACGTTTTGAGCTCCACCGTTCAATTGGTGGCTCCCAAACGAGTGGTTCTGAGCACAACCCTCTAAAGTACGGTTTGGTCAAGTTCGACACTATTCACCATCTCGATCAAAATATTGACCTTAATGCTAATAAAGTACGTTTGGTTCCACTTTAGAACTTAATAATACAGTTAGATATTAATACTCAAAGGTAGTTTCTATTTTTAGACAAGTGTGCAGTGAGTGCCATACATGATGGCGGATGGAGCGGCGCCAAGTGGGGCCAAGGCGACGAAGAAGAAGGCAAAGATCAAAGTAAGATATCTATCCTCTTGTTTGCATATGTCAAACAAGGATGCAAATATAATGAATGCAATGTCTTGTGTAGCCCCACAGCATTTACATTACTGAACGAGTTCGAGTAAGCTGCAAAAGTCTATATCCATCAACTGGAAACGACTTGTCTAGTAGTACTTTAAAAAGGACGTGCCAACTGTCGACACACTAGCGGAAAAGGCCAAGCTCGAGAAAAAGCTTCTGAAAGCGAGGGAGCTCGGCTTGGATCCAAGTACAATCAATATATATATATATATATTTGTATATTTTGTAGTAGAATATGATGAATGAACAGACAACACGGACGCGTGGAAGCAAGAGGCCCAGGCGTTGACTCAACTGGGACAGCTGGAGAAATGGAAAGGCAACGAAGTCGAAGGCGACAAGTACTTGACGGAATGTGCCAAGCTATGTCGCATGCACACATTCAACAACAAAGGCTAAAACGTCCCAATATACATTATATATATATATATATGCCTTGCACACACATTCCCCACAACGGTACGTATGACGTTTCGTGTGGGTTATTTGCGACCGCTGGATCGAATCTCATGGATAACATGGGCCAAATCTCGTATTTGGTGGATCTAACCTCCATCAAAAACCCCATAGTGTCAACTTTTTGATAGTATCCCTGTCACATGCAAATCAATCAATCATCATCATCTTACCTTGTGTTCCAACTCGTCCACGGTCTTGTTGCGCTGGGCATTGGTTTGGGCAAGTATCGGTTCAATCGATTCTCGATGCCACTGGCGCACTAACCACAATCAAATCACCTTGATAAATCACTCGATATAGACCAGCGTACCCAACCCGACCGTGTCTTCGCCTTCCGTGACCACCCCCAAGCGCAACTCGCGCACATGTTGCATGCATTCGTACAGCCGGCGGTGGGCGGTGGCGTCCAGAGGACATTTGGAACTGGAGCGACGACGCAACTTGAAGAGTTTCCACGCCGCGGCAATCAAGTTGACCGACGCGTCCAGGCGCCGGCGCTGCCATCGCTTGTACCGTACGACATGAAGCACCTTGTCTTCGCCGCGGGTGGTTTGCAGTGACCCCATGAACAGCGACGTGAGCATCGAAATGACCTGCAACACGTACATATTATATTTCAGTCCAACTATCAATTCAATATAATGCATATGTAGGTATTTGTCTTCTTCAACACATGTGAACTCGGGACGTACGATGACGCCGCCTACAATGCCGCCCACGACTGTAATCACCCGACCTGCCATCGTCCGCGGCACAAAGTCCCCATACCTACACACGATGACAAGGGTATTGAAGACTGGGGATAGATTGATACATTGATTCTTACCCGACAGTAGCCATGGTCACAATCACCATCCACATGGCCGTGACTTCGCTGTCCAATGGCGACGGCAACGGCCGCTCCATCACAGACACCCCCACGGCCGTAGCGACCCACGTGAGGATCGTACAAGTTAAAAACGCAAACACTAGAACCCAAGCAAACAACCTATTAATACCACAAGGAACATCGCCCACAGTTCTACATATTGATGATACAAATAACCATACTTCACACATATATACATACACATATCAAACCACCGCCATATGGATGATCGAATGAATCGTTCAATCCAGATATGAGAACGATGACTTTTGAGCTCCATTTTAGCAAAGAATTGGCTATGTCACTACTTGATAAATTTTTGAAATTTAAAAAAATATTTGTCGACTTCCTGACAAATGTTTTAGATAGGGTAATAATATATATACATAGGAATCGATATATATATTTGGTACTAGTATCAAAATACATTCAAACATTGCGATAGATGATGATCGATCATACATTCTCGACATACACCAAATGTTTGACCTACTATTGTCGATTTGATACAAATTTGGGGAGGGGGTGCAATCGAATCGCGCCAACCAAACCGATCCACAATCGATCTGATTGGTTGAATTTCATTGAGAAGGTTTTGATTGGCTAATAATTTTGAGCTCATCTGAGGTAGCCAATCAAATCGATTTAAATTCCAACGAGAAACCACGCCACAACGCGAAATTTCACTCGAAAGCACAATATGTTGTATATATATATTAAGATCAATAATAGAAACGTACCGGGATGGTGGTAAAAAATCGCTCGAAAGTGCCACAGCGGCGAGTCGGTGCTGACGTTGTTGAGCGACCCGATAAAGTCGACGCGCTGGCCGTAGAACCCCGAGTGGTTGCGCACGAGACGGACGAGCCAGTACAGTCGCAGGAACATGATCATGCCCAGGGTTTCGTACGGATACTGCAGCACAAGGTAGCACCTATCGGCTCCTTCTCGCACCAGCTACATACGATTACTCAAACCCACAGACTTGATCAAGTACTATGTACGTAGTTCATGCTCAACAATGTATGTATTGTACAGAGTTTTTCTAATCTGGAGCGATATATGGAGAAGAATGAATCGACAGAACCAAATGTACAGAAGGATAGACAGACGCTTTGAGCCAATCCGATAGCAGGAAACCATGATCAACGTCAAATTAGTGTGTGACTTCAATTAGTGTGATAATTACCATAGCACACCATTTTACATACAAAATGTCAGTACAAAGAATCGATTCGTCGATAGATTTGGCGATTCAGTAAAAGGACAATATATTGTCGATTCAAAATTGGAGAGGGTGCTCCACCGAACGAGCAGCACCAAATCGGCAGACACTACTGACCAATCCAAACCCAGATCAATAACCAAGTAGCCAATCAAATTATCGACCAATTCAACATCGAATTAGTGTGTGAATAAATTAGTGTGACACTGGACCATTTTGACATCCAAAATTCAATCCATCGATAGATTAACCAGTACTACAAAGGTCCACATTTTGACTAAATGGACAAGATTATCACAGTGCGCATGGTTCTATCCTGTGGAAACATGACTACAAAGGTCCACATTTTGACTAAATGGACAAGATTATCACAGTGCGCATGGTTCTATCCTGTGGAAACATGAAAAGTGTACCGGGGGCGGGCAGGTTGAGGCGCGCATCTGGTACTCGTTGACGACAAACATTCCCGTGACAAACGGAGGCACAATCGCCATATTGACGATCAGTTCGACAGCAACTTGCGCACGAATGCGAGGGTGCCGCCACATGGTCGTGGTGGGCGCCAGTTTTTGGCGCAGTTTCAAAATGTCCACCGTGAGGCGGAACCGACGGACCAGTTCAAACACGAGCAACAGCGTGGAAATGAAGATCAGCAGCGCATATGTTTGCCCAGGTGTCGACACCTACAACACAACCATTCCCTTCAAATCATCATACCGTATTCGATATATATTATATATTATTCGATATATATTATATTATATATATGGAGTCGAATTTGTATAGAGTACGATGTCACAATACCATGTTGGAGGGGTACGTTTCAGTGGCAAACATCACTTGCACTATACAGAAGAGAGGTCGTGAGAGATGATGAGTTGTCCCGTTTCGATACGAACAACATAATAAAATACATCATTCCATCCGATTTAAAGAAAAGAAAAAGAAAACAATTCAATCCAAAACAGTCGCTGGGATCTAAAACGGATCATAGTGAACAGACACACACGTACCTTGCCAAATACATCGCAGTTGCAGCAGCATCATCACAAGACCAAAGAGACTCAGGCCGACGCAAATATCGTCCGAATGTCGTCGAAGCCAGTAGTAGCGCTTGATATCGGCGAGGCGCACCAAGTCTACATATATTCTTGTTTAAAAGTGTACAAAGTCAGCCAAGTTGTGGGTAAAAGGACAATATCATCGCGACGATATCATCAATTATCACGACGCGAACGCCGACGTACCTAGCACTGCATGGGGCGGCAACGTCGCGCTGTCGAGCTGGCGGCGGTACATGGCTTGTTTCACGCCTTGCATTTGACTCGATACGACAAACCGGCTGTCTTCGTTCACTACCTACAGTTCAGTTCGTCCTTTTAGATCACTTTTGCCCTTGGAGTGAATCGAAAATATTAACAAAGCGAACACTCCGACTTGTGTAAGATATATATATATATATATAGTGAAAGTAATTGAAATAAATACAATGAATTCCATGTATATTTTGATATCAAATAAGATATTCCACGGCGATTGTTCTTATATATGGAGCACCTACCATGCGGATGCACAAGAAGACAACGTACGCCACCAAACACACGGCGGGGAACTTGTCCTCGATGGGCCACGAAAAGAACCGGCCAAGCGTCGCGACGACGTCCGCTACAAAGGCCCACGATGAAGAATTCTCATACTTGCATACCCACACAAACATGGGCAAATGAGAAATGCTGTTGCTTGGTCATTTGAAACAAAAAAGTCTGATGGGAACACTGGAGCATGGGCAAAACAAGTAGAAACGTCAAGATATATTTGATGAAATTTGATACAAATATCCCAAGTTGGAGCGATTCGCTCAACCGATCCGACATCTCGCCACGAAAAAGTATCATTGGCGTTCAACGATTCCGAAGAAAGAGCGAAGGAAAACGAAAAAAAAATAAAGCCGCCAATCCGCGACAAGCATTTTCAGATTTTGACCAATGGGAAAACGATTCGTGATCGGGGGATTATTCGATTGTGAACGTCATATTGTCGATATATTCGAAATTGGAGTGGGGTTCTGAATCGATTGAGCAGCAGAATCACCAAATCGACAGACAATCCATCGATATATCAAACATTCACTCTTCGACAAATTCAGCACCGAATTAGTGTGTGTGACACTGAAATTAGTGTGATACTGGCCGATCTTGACAAAAGTCAGGACAAAGAATCGATCGATTTGGCAAAGAATCAGCACAAAAAGTCAACCAAATTTGGGGTAAAAGAAAGACAATACCAAATATCCATAAGAATCCCTTCAACTCTACTTTTCAAAAACCACTGAACATACACAACAACAGTGTCTCACATTCACAGAGAATCGTCCAACGTACCGTCGACGGGAAGCGGGTGGCGGTAGCAAAGCGGTCCACATGCAAGGGCATCGAGCGCCGTCGTGTTAGTCATAGATACGACTTGGAGGGTGGAGGCCACGACCAGTTGGCCGTATTCGGTTGGGGTGTAGTTGAGTTGCTGTACAAAAGTCCACACGTCCAGCGGCATCATGACCATCTAGTGTTTGTTGTCAAATATATCGTGGCGATACAGTAGATTGTATGGGGCGGTCTTACAATCAAGGTGGCAACGATCCATTTGCACGTAAACGCGAGTTGAAATCGATGCGTTCGAATGCTCAGGACGTTGGAGGCGAAGCCAGGGATAAACACATGGCTGGGTGACGCGGCGGTGGGGAAGTCCCAGTCTTGCATCAAAATCTAACGTACACAATCGATGAGAAACCAAACAATGACGGTGCCACGTCATGGACGAGCACAAGACTGACATGATCATGGCAAGGAAATATAGTAATATTGTGAAAATTCGCAGTGAACTTTCAAATTTTGCGACGTTTGTCGAATCAATATTGAATCACGCTGGAGTTCTGATTGGTTGAATATACTTGTCGTTTTTGTAAAATGAGCCAATCAAATTCACTCAAAATTGAATTGAGCCAATGTGATGATTGAAGTTCGTGGGATGTCAAGTCGATTCGAAACTAGAGCCCTCATCTGAATCGTGAACTGTTTGAAGAGAATCGATTAAAGAACCTCCTAAGGCAATCCAATCACGTTATAGAGAATTTCAGCCAATCCAACCTCGGGTAAAACCATATATATACTAATCTTTGTTCTAGTTTTTACAAGCTTAAATTGGATCAAATGGATTCGAATGCGTTTGGTGAAATGACTCACACAAGTCCAAATTTGGGTAAAACAACAATACGATTGGACACGTTTTGACATTCAAAGTCCTTTAGGACAAAACATCGATGGATTTGGCAAATCCGCATCAAAGTCAGTCTGAATTTTGGGTAAAAGGAGAATATTAATACCACGACATCGAGCATGACCACGGCCCCGCTGAAGACGGCGCGCCACGACTCGTTAAAGTACAAGTCGGTGGAAACGTGGTCTAGGAAGCGTTGGGTGAGGGCGGCATGCACGGGCGGGAGGCCCACGGCGGCGTATGCGACGAGGGTTGCGACAACGAGCCAAAAGCACGAGATGCGGACCCACTGGTGGCGCCACACGTGCCAGCGAAACGTAAACATCCAGTTGTCAAATACAGTGTCGCAGCGAATGTGGTCTTGCAGCATCACATCCCACGTGCAAAACAGCACGAGGCCGTTCCATATCAACACGTACGCTCGCACTGCCGGGTACAAGTCGACGTATCGCACGGGAAGCACGGACGTCACCTGCACAAGAGTGGCACCAAGTGTGAGTAAATCAACACGTTATTGTTGTTTTTACTTGTAAATTGGAGCGACATGGAGAATGAATCGACACAACCAAATGGACACAAGAATCGGCTGAAGGATTTAGCCAATCAGGTTGCAGGAAACCATCATCAACGTCGAATTAGTGTGTGACTTAAAGTAGTGTGATACCAATCCCACAGGACGACACCATAAACGTCGAATTAGTGTGTGACTTAAATTAGTGTGATACCAATCACCACTTTACGCACGAAATTCAGTACAAAGATTCGATCGATAGATTGGGCGAATCAGCACAAAAGTCAGCCAAATTTTGGGTTAAAGGTCAATATATTTGAGCATATTGAGGTAGTAGTTAGTACGTGGAGGGTGGCAGGTACAAACAAGTTGAAGATGGTCGCGACAACGGACAAGATCAACGGCATGAGACACAACATGACTGTCCATGACCCTTGCGACGTTGATCCAATGTACACTTGGATCGTATATGGCCGGCCGCCGTTGGCGAATGCATGCACTGATGATAGACATGGACATGTGTGAGTGGCACCTACGATCGAATCCCTACAAACTATGTACCCGTGCGATGCGAGGACGCCACCAGACCGCCGCTCATCTTGATAGATTCGACTCGTCTAAGTCGGGATGTATCAACGGGTCGGTAATTGTGACGGAAACACATATGAAGATGAGAAGCTCCAGCAAGGCGTTGTACCCGAGTTCAGCATGGCCAGATGAAAACATGGACAGGTAGCGACGAAGGAGGGGAAATACGACGGCACGCGAGAAGATGCCTCCAAGGACAATCGTCAAGACCGCCAACGACACTCGAATCGTCTGGTTGGCGTCATGTGAGAACGATCTATGGGGTGGACAAACTGTGCGACGTAGTTACCACAGTCCCGAGGGTATCGTCGAGCAACGTTGGTCGACAGAGAAAGTTGAACGCGGTCCCGTACACAGGAATGGACACGGGCGCGCGCGACATCGCCACGGGGTTCACCAAGTGCACGAGGCTGTTGAGGCCCAGCAGGAGCATCGCCGCCACCACGCGCTTCCACGGATGCCGGATGGACAGTCCCGTTCCGGACTCTTGGCGCTCCACGTACGTGCTCTTCGCTCGTGTCTTGACGACCCATGGACTCGCACGCCACCACCAAGGCATGTTGCCCTTTCTCCTCCGCTCTTGGAACAACAATTATTGCTACTACAGCAGTACACATTTAATACAGAGTATCAATACTCGATACAAAATACAAGGTTCACGGGAATAATATTTTCTCAAACCTACTTCATATCGTTGGGTTGTCGGCAACGACCTACACTCTTCTGGACATTCCACCGTTGTGAAACCGCAATGCTAATTAGAAACCAGCATTCTCGCATGATGGCGACAGTACCAGACGCGGCAGCGGTCCAGCCGATGGATGCATTGTTTGTCTTGCAGATCATCATTGATGCGATACATTTGCATCGTCAATGTGTCTCCGGCGAGCTGGCATGGGTGCGCCTGGGGTTTCAACTGCTGTCGTTCAATGTCGTAGTGTTGGATGCCGAGATCCCGCTCACAGTTGCCGACGGAAACGGCGACGAATTGACTGGTCAGGTGCGCAAGGGAAAGTCGTGCATGTTTCGCATGCACGCAGACGCACTCATGGACGCTATGGAAGCAAGCCCGTTGTCGCTAATGGTTCTTGAGACCCCGACAGCAGCGGCCACAGGGCAACTAACACGACTCCTTGCCTTCACTTGCATCGACATGCCACGGGTACCGCACACCCTCACTTACGTGACTTAATGATGTATGCTCGCATACTAGCGCGAACGATTTAACCATGAAGCTGCCACTATGAGGGAGTGGGTAAACATTCAGAACAGTTGGACCATATACAACCATGCCGGCGATGCCGTGGGACTTGTGCAAGGTGGGGTCGTGCTTTCCCACTTGGGCAGTTCCCTCGCACCTCACCTTCAACATGCTCTTGGTACGACGGCATCTATTAAATACCTCGACGTGACAAATTGCAGGGGCAGTTCATGTGGCAGATTCGTCGACTGACGCTGTTGACATGGGAAGCAATCAACCGACAACCGTCGTACATGGAATCGGTGTCATGACAGAGACAATACAGGTGGAGAAAGTAGAGGCCGGTGTGCAATGCGATGCGGAGTCATGTCAAGTCGAGACAGTCGAGAATCCGCGCATTGTCGAAGCTGCCGTCGACTGCGACGACGTCTTCATAGCACGGCGGCCTCCGCCACTGTTCTTCCAGCGTGAAGCTTTGTCACCCAAAGAAGCAAGGCCCATCAAGCACGGGGGTAGTATGGCTCACCTAATGTTTACTCGGGAGTGATCGTTCCTTGTGAAATTTGAAAATGCGCGCGAAGTTTCTGGTTCAATTTTATCCGGACGATCCAACTACCCGGATACCAACCGAACGCGAACACGTAGCCACGTTTTGGGAGAGTCCATTTTCCGGATATTTATACGAAGGGCCGTTTTTGATTGGGGGCCATGTTTTTATCCGGAGAGCAATTGTGATGGGCTTCTCCTTCTTGAGGCTCACTTTAGCATTGACCGAACGATGCGATCCTTCTTCACTGTAGTGGCAGCGGCGTTTACCGCCGTTGTATCGGCTTCCGACGTGGTGACGTTGACCCCTGACAATTTCAAGTCTGTGGTCGATGGATCGAAGAATGTCTTCGTGGAATTCTACGCGCCATGGTGCGGTCATTGCAAGAACTTGGAACCGATTTGGGAAACTTTGGCGACTTCGTTCAAGCATGTCGATGACGTCGTGATTGCCAAAGTGGATGCCGACCAACACAAAGACTTGAGCACGGAATGGGAAGTGAATGGGTTCCCCACGCTCAAGTTCTGGAACAAGGGCGCCAAGTACCCGGACCCGTACGACGGTGGGCGCACTGAAGATGAATTGGTCGCATTCGTTAACAAGGCCGCGGGCACGAATGTTCGTGCCGCCAAGCCGTTCTCCCACGTTGTGGCCTTGACGGAATCGGACTTTGCGTCCATCGCCCAAGACCCAACGAAGCACGTGCTTGTGGAATTCTACGCGCCGTGGTGCGGCCACTGCAAGTCGTTGGCGCCCATCTGGGACAAACTCGGCGCTGTGTACGCCGGCGACGAGAATGTGGTGATTGCCAAGGTGGATGCGACTGCCACCGGTGACTTGGCCAATAAGTTTGGTGTGTCGGGCTACCCCACGATCAAATACTTCGGCACCGGCGCGTCCGACGCCGAAGACTACGGCTTTGGCCGCGACTTGCCCGCCTTTGTCGAGTTTTTGAACGAAAAGGCCGGCACGCACCGCACGGTGGACGGCGGCTTGTTGCCGACGGCTGGCCGCGTCGAATCGTTGGACGTGGTGATCAACGCCGCGGGTGAATTCACCAAGGACACGTTGAACAACGTCGAGAAGGTCGTGGAAGGACTCGAAGGCGATGCGTTGAAGCACGGAAACCTGTACGTGAAGGCGTTGAAGAAGGTGCTGGCCAAGGGCGTGACGTTCGTGGACAAGGAAATCGCGCGCTTGGACCATTTGGCCAAGGACGCGAACGTGTCGCCGGCGAAGAAGACCCAATTCCAAGTGCGCAAGAACATCTTGGAAGCGCTCAAGAAGAAACAATAAACAAATAACACTGAGGGGGATTCTTGAGAATGAATGCCAACATACCCTATCGCAACATGACAGTCAGACATTGGTACCTTTGACACAGGTTGGGTATGATCGTATCGTGACGTGGAACGGTATCGTGGCTTGGTGCGTTCGAGAGTAGTGAAGTGAAACACAAGTCAAGGAAGGCCGCTCGGAGGAGTCCGTCCATGCAACGAACGAATCGACATGGACCCCATCGTTTGGGATTTCACTTCATATGATGCGCTGATGTTGAACTGAACCGCCACTGTTACATGTAGTTTCGTGTAGTACTGTCTTCAGTACATACCCCACGCGGATGCCCCGGGTTTGATTCCATGGTGGGCGCATTCTTACGATGCAGGTGCGTTCTGTCGTCTTTCATTCATATGTAAAGTTGGGCAGAGACTTGCATGCTGTAGATGTCGGTAGCTGCACGGCTGAAAGCACAAGAAGCAGTGGTATGTTCACTAGCGCGATGACAAGGTGCATCGTGTCTTCCTCGCGTCCTCTCGTGGATCTGACTGACCACCATACATGCAAGAAGCCATTTTGGACTCGGCGCAAAAATCGGGTGCATCTCCGATATTTTGACTTGTGATTTGTATAGTATACCTCGTTCAAGAGTCTGTTTCATTATCGTGGTGTGTGGGGTGGAAGAAAATTGAATCGAATTTTGGGGCGAGGATTGATTCCGGTGCCAACGGCTTCGACGACCGTCGATGAATCCTCTACTGCCGCCAGGACCGGCGGATCTGAAGGAGTTGACGTCGAGATGCATCGATCGAAGCTACGACTCGTTGTACAATCTCACCACGTCCCTGCCAAACACCGCGTCGGAAGAGCGCCGGGGCGTTGCTCTCAAACAACTCCAGGACACACACGCGGTATTCAAGAAGCTACTGGTGCTCACGCGATGGTCGGTGCAAAGCCCACTCGCTGACAAGTGTGCGGAACTGCTTCAAGAAGCACAGACGTTCCAAGACCAAGCGAACGAGACAAACGACCGGCTGTATTTCCTCCACCGCGACCTCGACCGCGCCAAGGAACGGCAGTACGACTTGACCACCGCGATCGATGTGCTTTATGGCGGCACGTATACGAGGTTGCCTCGTGTCATCAACTACGCGATGCATCCGCGCGAATTCCCGCCGGTGGATGAGGAAACGAGCATTGCCGAGCTGGACGCGGTCCTTCGGTTTCGCCTCATCGAAGAAACCATTCCCGACAAGTTTACGCACATCGACGTGCACGAAGGGTTCGTAACGGCCGGCACGTCCGGCGAGTTTGAGATGGTGTTCACCGTGGACGGAACCAAACCGGATAGTCTGTGGCTCGTCGCGAGTGTCCAAACTGTGCTCACCGACCCGGTCGCCCAGGCGACATTCAAGCATTTGGCGAGCACGTCGAGCCTGCGCATCATCCAAAGCAATGCGCCCACGGACGTCCATTACATGCAGCTCAAGATCCTCATCCAGAAGCGGCTCAACCAGTCGGCCACGCCGCTCCTCGACGCGTGCAACATCATGAGCGACTTCTGCTGCAGCCTCGCGCTGCGCATCCTCCATGCGCAGGGCCAGCTCCTCGTCGACACGCGATGGCCCCACGGCGTGTCCTTTCTCCACCAGGACCACCACGACACCGCCACACTGGACATTGTGTACTGGACCGACGCGACCGCGCCATACGTTGCCGCGTCGACGCCTGGAACATTTTCGCTCGAAGAAATGCGCAACCGGATGCATCCGGATGCGTTGCGGTATCCTGCCGCGGGCTGCTGCGTGCGGCTTCAACCCAACACAACCAAAGACAAGGCCACCGTGGGTCTGTTCTCTCTGCAGCTGTTTCCGGCGCCGCCGTCCATGCTGCTCCAGCGGTACCCGGCGCTGGTCCCCGAAGCTCTGGCCGTGCCTACCAACTTGTATGGCCTCAGCGCCGATCACTTTCTATTGGGTGCGATGGACGTCCACGCGGCGTCGGCGCTGTTCTGCCTCGAACAGCATCTGCTTGTTCAAACGAATACAGACCAAGAAGAGGATGATGGCGCCGAGCTGCGGTGGCTCACGACGGGCGAACGTGTGCGCGTGACGCGGTCGTCCCCGAGGAACTTGCGGATCGCGCGCGTCGACAGCTCGGGCCGCGCGCCGCTCGAGGTGTCGTGGGACATGCGCACGGGTCGATTTGGGGTGTTTTGCTTGGCCCAGGCTTCGTCCGTGGCGGCCGCGGTCGCGCACTTGGAAACGTTGCTGCACACTACCGTCAAAGTGCAGTTGCCGGGGGTGACAGTTGCCGGTGAGTTTGCTCTGGTGTTTGCCAGCAACGATGACGTGGCGGCGGCGGTGGCGGCCGTGCTGCGTCTCGTGGTCGCGTTCGAGCTCGAGGCGTTTGCATCGGGGTGCGCCAACCTGCCCGTGGTCCGCGTCCGCGACCGGCATGCCGCCGCCGTCGACGCCGCGGGCGTGGCTTCCGACGCCGTGTTTGTCGAACTCGTCCGGGGAAAAGATGCGACAGTGTATTTGGTCGTGGAGCTAGACACCGTTGCCGACACGACACTCGACAAGGCGAGAAAACGGCGACGACGGTGTCGCAGACGGGACTCCGACGGGTTATTTTCGCTAGGCCCGCCTGCGTTTTCAATTTTGCACGTCGTGGACGAACCCCACCGACCGAGTGCATCGTCGTCGTCGTCGGTTCGATGCTTGGAACGCCTACCCACCCCCGGGTACGTTGGCACTAAGAAGCGAAAGCGCCGCGACGTGCCGTCGTTGTCGGCGCTGCTGCTTGACATGGCCGCGGTGGGCCGCCAGCGCGCGCAGTGGCACCTCCTGGACGCATTTGCGACAAAGTACAACGTACTGCTCACGACAAACTCGACATTGTCCACCACCACCGACGATGGGTCCGTCGAGCTGGCTTCTTCAACTCCATCATCATCATCATTGTGGACCGTGTCATGCCCGTTTCCAGACCGCCTTCACACGGCGCCGCACGTGGATGTCCACCGGTTAGAAGCGCGAGTTTTTCCCGATAGCTCGGTCGAAGTCACAGTGCACGTGGGGTCGTCTCCGTTTGCGTACATTTCCCCCCAGGGGTCCTTGAGTGGAGGACGAGGAGGGGGTCGGGGGTCGTTTGTGGCGACTGCGCTACCCACCGGCGACTTGGTGTACCGTCGACGTTGGACAAACCAAAAGTTCCAGCTTCCGTTGATGGACGTGGTTGTGGCCAACGTGATGCTGCATGTGAAACCGATGGCCGAGCTGGGCCGCCGACTCGAACGCACGCTCTTGTCGTCGCTGAATGCCGACGGAGTGGGGCAGATTTACGCCGAGCGCGCCGACCCGTTCAAGTTTACGCTGGCGTGTCGCGGGTGGTTGCCTCGTTGTCAATCATCGTCATCGCAGAGTTTGATGATCTGCGACGACGTGATTATGCGCGTCCATGTCGAACACAAAGTGATGCACCAGTATCCCCGCGGGGCGTTTGTGCTGACGACCGCCCCCAGCCACGCGCTCTTGCCGTTTCTCCAAGACGCGCTCAACACCCACAAGTCCACGGCGCAACTGGTCGAAGTACTCGAACGCACCGCGGTGCCCCTCGTCATGCTCTCTCGCGCATTGACGGCGGCGTACCCGGCGGCGGTTGTACCGTCCAACTTTGTGCTCGTGCCTCGGTCCCAGACCCATCTTCGTCTCACGTATGCCGACCGGTGCGCCGTCGACGTGGTCTTCCTCGCGGTACGTCGAGGGGTTGGAGTGATGATGATATTGTTAATGACGATGTTATTAATGATGTTATTAATTATGTTATTAATGATGATATTAATGATGTTATTAATGATATTGTTATTAATGATATTGTTAGTAATGATATTGTTAGTAATGATATTGTTATTAATGATATTTTTATTAATGATAATGCTGGTGTTTTGTAGGATCAAAAGATCAACGTCCGCAGCGCACCGTCCAGCTTGGTGCCCGTGCCCAGCTGTGCCATGGCTGGGGGACTACTTCTCGACCACGCGTCCTTCTACGACACGGTGCGCCGCTCCCTCGTCCCAGAAATGGCGGCCTTGTGAGAAATCCTATAACTACTACTACTACTACTACTACTACTATTCACCATCACCACCCTTGGAGACAACTCACGTCCACGGGCGTTTTGCTTACCACTGCAACAACACATCGTACTACTACAATATATAATACTTCGAAGTATTAATACCACTTATTAATACATATACTACGTAGTAGTTTTAATATACGATGTTGGGATGTGTGTTGTTTTCATTCCAAAACAAAATATTAATACGATTAATAGTATTAATATAAATAGAAGAGTATTCCCAAATGATGTAGGGTACACTATACTATAATGTACTTTATATGAATTAGTTTTGGTTTGATTGGCCAATATTGTATGAAAACGAGGTTGGATTGGCTATTTGTGTTTGACCTACTAATAAGAGGTTTGCGATCTTTGACTTGACATGGTGGTGTCCGAGGAATGGAAGTACATGTCCACGTTAGTGCCGCCACAGTACCCCTGTGTGCGGCGTCCAGGGGCAGACACGTCGACGCGCATGGTGCTAGACGGCCGCCTCGACAAGGACGAGTGGGAGCACGCACAGTGGACGGACCTGTTTGTCGACATTGAAGGTCCGGCAAGGAAGGTACAGTCGACATCCAGCATCGACGTGGCATGACAACCTTCGTAGCCCAATCCGTCGCAAAGGACCCGTGCAAAGATGATGTGGGATGACAACTATCTGTACGTCGGCGCCGACATGGAAGAGTCACGGGTGTGGGGCACCTTCACGGACAAGAACACTGTGATGTACCACGAGAACGACTTTGAGATCTTCATCGATCCCGACGGCAGCCGCCACAACTACTAGTACGTATGTCCTTGTCATTTCTATTGTTGCTGCCATCATCATCACCGTCATTCGTTCGTAGTGAGTTTGAGATGAACTGCTTAAACACGATATGGGAACTGCGCCTCCGTCGGCCGTACAAGGACGGCAACTCCATCGACAACCCGTACAATCTGTCGGATATCCATTCAGCAGTGTACATTGACGGCACCCCCAACGATCCTTCCGTCACATGTTCAAAGTGGAGTGTCGAAGTCGCGATTCCATTGCGCGAACTGGTCCAGTTTGACGAGCGACGTCGGCGTCACGTACCTTCTTCGTTCAATCATCGTCGTCGTCGTAAACATTATGCAAAGTCTGGCTGTTCAGGTGCAAGCAGGGGACGTGTGGCGGATGAACTTTTCTCGCGTGCAGTATGACCTCCTCGTGCAACATGGACGGGTAATCAATCATGTTGTACCGGTCGTCGGTCGAATAATGCTGAGTCGAAGTAGTACGTCAAAGTGCCAAATCAACGCGAATACAACTTTGTATGGGCCCCCACGGGAGTGATCGACATCCATCGACCCGAGAAATGGTCCTTCGTCGCTTTTCTTGGCGCCACCGCTGTGGACAAAGCGATGACGTGGCAAGCGCTACGGTGGGTCCGCAAACGAGGATCATCGACGTGTACTCGTGGATGCCATGCTGTAACAATGGCATTGTGATATGTGCTGGTAGAGCGGCAGTGGACCAAGGCTTAGCCGTGGAAATGCTCCTGGACCAAGTGTACTACGACCAACGGGCGTTCCATGACGTGCATGCCAGGTATGCGGCGACGTTGGCCGAGTTGCACCCTACGTCCACGGGGACACCGTCGCCGCCGCCTGAACATCCCATTACGTTGGAGGTAGGGAGAAGCAGCATTGTGTAGAAGCACGAAGAGTTGCTTATTGCTACGACGCTTTGGTTAGTGTGCGACAGACCTGCAATCATACGTGGTGGTTGTCGCAGCCCGAGGACACGTGCATCGAATGACCCATGACGCCAAGTACACGATCACGTCGGAGTAAGAGTTGCGTCCAGACGAAGGAACGTAGCATGTCCGCCTTTGACAAGTGTCCTTCCATCACGGTGTGGGAGCGGTGACACTGACACGACCAACCTGGATCTAACATATTGCCATGAATACTAAGATTATGCTTGAAACGGGCGTCGATGCACGTTCGACATGTACACCGTCCGATTGAGTATTTTGGACATTTTTGGAGTATTTTTAGATATTTTTACCACAAACGGCGTTGTTTGCTGTGACAAGGATGACCGCGACACAGCTGCTTCACATTGTCAATACATATTTCAATACTGGAGTAGTCAACAGACCATGCACACACTGTATCCCTGCTGATTGTATCATGATGTGAAGTACTATACCTTGTGGATTGCCGTGACATCCACCAAGTTGACTGCATGAAAATGGTTACAGTGGGCTGCAATGTTGCACTGAATGAAAAACGTGCGGACAATGTTTCCGTACTACTCTAGTCCATTTCATTCGGTTCAATGTCCAATTTTGACGTATTTTGCAACAACTTGGATTGAAATTCGCGGAAACGAGGTCGAATTATCGTCAAAATAGAGAAAATCCCAAATTTGATTGTTCGGGTGTCGAGTGAAGCCATGTGTAACCACATGGGGATGCGAATACATGGCTTGATATGCAACAAACACTACATATTATTGTCCATTGACCCTGTCGCGACGCGCATCATCGGTCCGCGACGTCTCTCGTTGGCATGGACATTCAATATGCATTCCTCATCTTGGTGGGGATGATCTTCTCGATCATTCTTGCGGCGATGTACCTGTCCAAAATGTGCACCATCTCCGACTCGACGGAGGGACGAGGTCATCCTCACGCGACCCGGGGGTATGTGCGGGACACTCGTTCCCTTCCTTCATTGTTGGTTGCACGCATATCATCTAACCCATGGACGTGACCAGGAACTCCGAGTTTATGCCTGGTCTTCAGCGCGCGGACATTGAAGAACTGTATGTCGTCGATAGATTATTATTTGTCGTTGCCGCCAAATCGGGTGTCATGTGGTGATGGTTGCAGGTTGAGCGACGCGAATCGATGGGAGTGTGCCGTGTGCGCATTCAGCAACGTTGCGATGAAGCCCACGTGTAGTCTCTGTGGCGGGCTCAAGGACTCGCACTTTCTCGAGCATGCGTTGGACGAGATCGACTACGCGCTCCTGACTGACCGGCCGCGCTCTCGAAGCTACCGCGACGCATTCCTCACGCCGCTATCGTCGTCGTCATTGTCCATGCGGACCAGCAAGATGACCCTCCTCAACACGTTTCACCGCATGTCGTCGTTCTTTTTCCACAAACTCGTCGCACCGGATGACTTGAACCCTCGTCAACGCAGTGCGCGGTATGTACCGCATGTTTCTTCTTGATCGTCACTGACCATGGGCGACGCAGCATGCGCAAGGAATGGGTACGGAAGCTCGATGTCAAGGACCGGCCGTACTGGAAGCGGCGCATCTTGGACGCGACGCGTGTCGTCCCTGCGTTCGTTGTCCAGCTCATGTCGTCCTCCGATCGATTGAAAGCTCTGGCCGTCATCCACCGACGAACGTCCACCGTCCTGGGTACGTTGGACGAGGAAGACACGATCGTCGTGTTGGAAGACAAGGGACTCCACCACGTCGATGACGACGTGGCCATGCTCCATGATGACGGCGACGACGAGGATGTCAAGCACATCATGTACCTTCCCGTGGAAGCAGTGCGCGCGACGCGATCGGTCCTGGGTGAAGCCGTGGACCCGGCCCTGTGGCGCCACTTGCATCAACTGTCCCGTCAGCCGTTTTCGACCAAATACACGTGGTACCTCCATCAAGCCAGTACCCTCATGCAATCCTACGACATGGGGTACGACCATGAAATACTATTTCCTACTAGTAGTTATGTTCGAGTAGTACTCGTTCCGTGCTTTTGCAAGTAGTACATAGTAGTCGTAGTACTCAATAGGTGCCACTCGTCTGATGATGGATTTCCATTGGTCCAAACCGAGTAGTACAGTAGTAAGTACTCAATGAGTACTGAGTACTGTGGTACGTACTCAATTCAGGAGTAGTAAGTACTCAATAGGTTCCACTCGTCGGATGATGGATTTCCATTGGTCCAAACCGAGTAGTACAGGACTAAGTACTCAATGGGTACTGAGTACTATGGTACCACATACTCAATGGCTTGGTGGTGTAGGTACTGCCGGATGAAGGTGGCGAGGGCGACCGCGTTTACCGAAGCGGTGGAAAACATCGCGTTCCTCAAACAAAGCGCACTCTGCTCGATCATTCGAGTGCAGTTCAGGGGCGAAAGTGGCTTGGATGCCGGCGCGATTCAACGAGAATGGTGCGTACGTACGACAGTACTTAACTTGTTTTCGTTATGTCAAGTACTGTTTATGAATTCATTGGCGTGCTTAATTTTAGGTACCTCCTCGTGGCCCAAGGCTTCCTGGACGACGCGACGGGCCTGTTTATGGTCACGAACCGCGACGACAATGCGTACTTTATCAACCCGAACGCCGCCGCCGCCATGCATCGCCAGCACATGACAACATCGCGCGCCAAACCACCTGGGGTTTCGCACTCCCAAGCATTCCGTGCGGCAGGCCGGTTCATCGGTCGCGCGTTGCTCGATGGCCAGATGCTACCGCTCCACTTTTGCCCCGTCTTGTTCAAATGTACGAAGCCCACAATCCTCTGACGAATGACGTTCCTTCTTAAAATGTACTCCTCGCCATGCTATCTAGTGCTGCTGGGTATACCTGTAACGTTGGATGACATCGAAAGCTTGGACAAAACCATATACTCGAGGTATGTTCATTATGGCATGAGTGTTGAGTGAAGGGAGGCCAACGTAGCCTTCGGTTCGTTCTGGACCATGACAACGCGGACGACCTGTGCTTGACGTTCTCGGCGACGGAGCGTCAAGATGACACGATCGTGGAAGTGGACTTAGTTGCCGGCGGACGAGACATTGCCGTCACGGACGCCAACAAGCACGAGTACGTGGACCTGATGACGCGCTACTTGCTCTTCGATCGCATCGACGACTCGTTGCGGGACATGATTCAAGGATTGTACGAGGTCGTACCGCCCGAGTTGCTCATTCCTTTCGACCACAAAGAGGTAATAGTACCCAATAAAACGGAAAAAAACTCAATTTCGAAGTGGAAAAAGTTCAATTTCAAATTGAAAAAAAAACCAATTTCAAATTGAGAAAATATCTCAACTTCAAATTTGGAAAAAACTCAATTTCAAATTGGGAAAAAACTCAATTTCAAATTTGGAAAATATCTCCATCTCATTTTGAGTGTTGTAGTTTGAATTGATTCTTTGTGGGCTGTCCGAGATCGACGTGTATGACTGGAAAGCCAACACGGTGACGTCGTCCAACTTGCATGCCACCGAGACCCTCGACGTACGATCCACTCCATGATGATGCTTGGGAAGGTTGATGGAGGATGATGATGATGGGATGTATGTAGTGGTTTTGGGCATGTGTTGAAGCCATGAGTCCGGCCGATCGAGCCAAGCTGCTGCAGTACTCGACGGGGTCGTCCCGCGTTCCTGTGCAAGGCTTCAAAGGTAGTACGAGGCATGATGATGATGATTCAATGAGAGGACGCTTAACGAATGGGACAGGCCTCACGAGCTACGACGGCAAGATCTGCTACTTTACCCTGAAAGGCATCACGTACACGCCGGGGGGGTACCCGTGTGCGCATGCATGCTACAACCGCATCGATCTGCCCATGTACCCGCGCAAGGACTTGATGGAAGACGCCCTCACGATGCTGCTGCTGTCCGACCCCACGGGCTTTAACATCGAATAACGTATACTCCTTATTTATGCTTCTCCCCCCTACATTCCTTCCTTGGGAGCCAGGCATGGAGTACGCCCTGTATTGAAACTGTTTGCAGTCTGACCAGGCTTGGCTGTACGCCTGCGCATTGCACTGAAAGCTGGGAAACACTCAGGATCAATGGAGTAAGCCTGGATCATGCGTCAATCGTGTGCCACATTTGAATTCCACACACAACAGGGTAGTATTGCAAGCATGCATGAATGCTGTCGACGACAAGAGGTATGCCGACGTTCCGTCCACTCCTTCGGACGATTGTCGAACCACGAGAGTCGACGGCGGTGGTGCCAACTACTCATGACGCCATCGCGGCAAACATGGAGGATGCTCATGTCCAACTACTCGGCCGACAACGCATACAGCATGCATGCACCATCCAGTTGGTGGCGGCAACGACTCTACCGAATTTTGAATTTTGTGGGTCATCAAGATATAGAGGCTCGACTGTGCGAAACTTGTGTTTTGTATGGGTATACAAACATCAAGCTAATTCTAGTATTCCGTGTGTGGTGAATGTGTTTTATTGCTTCCCAAGGTAACCACCAGAAGAGCCGACAACAGTGACCGGCGCGAGTAGCACCATAGGACGACGACAATCAAGACTCTAGGTGCGTTAGATGATGGAAACCAATGCGACACGTGCACAGGTGGAGCTTCGTGATGTGGCCTCTCGTTGCATCGAGCGAAGTTACGACTCCATTCGATCTTTGACCGCAACGCTGCCGTCAGTAGCGAGCGTCACGGACAGGCGCACCCAGACATTAGCACAGCTCGTGGATGCGCGCATGGTGTTTGAGAAACTCTTGGCAGCCACGAGATGGTCCGTGCAGACGCCGATCGCAGAGCAATGCACCGAAGTCCACAGGCACATGAAGCACTTCCAAGGCCAACTTGACGAAACGACCGACAGATTGCACCACATGCATGCTGCGTTGAACGAGGCCAAGGTCCCGCACTACGACTTGCATGCCGCGATCGACGTCCTGTACGGCGGATCATATTCGCGACTGCCCCGCGTGATCCACAACGCGACGATGCTACCGCCGCGACGGGGGCCTCGACCGACATCCGACGACGACGACGACAACCACGCGCGCAATCTTTGTCGTGTGCAAGAGATCAACGACACGATCCGCTTTCGCTTGATCGAAGAAGACATCCCGGACCTCTTCACAGACATTCGAGTCGCTGACGGATGCGCCACGACGTTCGTCGCCGGCCAATTCCACGTCGTGTTCACCGTGAACGGCCGCGAGCCGGACAGTCTGTGGCGCGTGGTGTCGACCCGCACGATCCTCTCCGACGACATCCGTCGCCCCACCGCATTCAAGGTGTCCACCGCCAACCTCCGCGTGATCGCCGCCAACGCGCCGACGCCCGAGCACAATGACCATCTCAAACACTTGGTGCAAAAGGTCGTCACGGCGTCGGCGTCGCCGTTCGTTGCCGCGTGCGCCGTCCTCCAAGACTTTTGCAGTCGCTTGGCGCTGCAGATCCTGCTTGCGCAAGGCCACGCCCTGGTCATCGCGCGGTGGCCCGCCGTGGACTTTCGCCCCGTTGCCGACAGCAGCAGCAATGCCGCCCTCGACATTGTGTACTGGAACCACTTGGCCCCGTCCGGCGGCAAACTCGCCGTCCCCCCCTCGTCCTCGTCGTCGTCGCCCTTCAATGCGGCTTGCACTCATGACGCCACCGCCGCCACACTGCCCGTCTCCACCGACGGGCTTTGCATCCGGCTACACGCCCACAACAACAACAACAACGCGGCGCTGTTCTCCATATCGCTGCACCCGTCGCCGCCGCCCGAACTGGCGCGGTTGTATCCGTCGCTGCTGGAACCGTTGGTGGACCTCCCGACGGACCTCATGCAAGTCAGCGCCGAGACGCTTTTGATGGCGGCGATGGCCGTCCACGCCGCGAGCGTTCTCTTTTGCCTCGAGCGGACGCTCGTGCTCGGCGCCACCGCCCCGCTGCTGCATCTCATGACGGGCGAGGCCGTGACGGTGGCGCGGTCGCCGCGGAGTTTTCGCATCTCGCGTGTCGACAGCACGGGCCAGTCGCCGCTCGAGGTGTCGTTGGACGTCCGAACTGGCCGGTTCGTCGTGCTTTGCTTGGTCGCGGCGCGGTCGCGGCTGGTCCATGGCGCCACGTCGCAGCTGGAAACGGTGCTCAATACCCAGTGCAAAGTGCATGCCGCCATCCCCGTCTCATCGAGTACTAGTAGTACTAGTCGGCTCACCCTGGTGTGGGAAGACGAGCCCGCCGTGCACAGCGCGCTGGCATTTGCCTTGCGGGAAATCGTCGCGTTCGAGCTGAGCTGCTTTGCCGCGTCATGCGCCCACGTCGAAGTCCAGCGCCATGTACAGATCAACTGGGACAAGTACATCAACTTTCGCCAGCAAACGGGCAACAGCATCGACGCGCTATCTCTGTCTCCACACGCGCTGTTCTTTCAGATCGTGCGCAACAAAGAGTCGTCGGGGTACCTTGTGGTCGAGTTTGACCGGCTCGCCGACTTGGACACGGCCGACGTTGTCGCATCTGCGACAGAGCACGAGTACGTTCGGTCGCCGTCGTTTTCGTTGCTCCAGCTGCAAACGTCGAGCATTCCATGCGCAGTGCAGTTTTTCCAGCGGTTTCCTGCGTTTCGAAAGGATGCGATTCCACCATCGACTGCAAGGTCGTATTTGTCCAAGAAGCGCAAACACACAACCGATGACGACGTGACGCTGCCGTTTCTGTCGGCGCTGTTCCTCCATGTGATCAGCCTCTGCCATGAACGCATCCAGTTGCAGCATTATGTCAACTTTGCGCGCCGCCGCCGCGTCAAGATCAAGTATGCCGGCCAGGGCGGGACGGCGCTCGCGGGGGTGACCACGGGCGAGCAGATTGTGTCGTTTCCGTTCCCGGTAATATTGTATTTTTACCCCAAATTTGGCTGACTTTTGTGCTGGTTATCAATCGCCAACTATCGATCGATCGATGATCGAATGTTTGTATTGACTTTTGTATATCGTCCAGTGTCACACACTAATTTCAGTCGAATTCGATGTTGAAAATTGGTCGAAGAGAGGCTGATTGGATTGGCTACTTGATTCATATTGTGGGTTTTGATTGGTCGAATATCGATTGTCTGCCGATTTATTTGGTTATATTCTGCTCTTATTGAGCTCGAATTTCGAATATATCGACTTGACCAAATATATATATTTGATATATTCGAACATCAAACGACATATATACGACGACGACTACTTAGGAACGGTTCACGGTCGCGCCATTGGCCATTAAAGCCGTGCACGGGCACCTGCGAAAGTGTGGCGGGTTTGAAATGTGTGTGCAGCTCACGGCCGTCCCGTTTGACTTTGTCGCCCCTACTACTAGTAATACTAGTAGTACGACGCACCACTCGGCGACCGCCGCCGGCCACCTCATCTTTCGGTACCCGCCCGTGCAAAAGTTCCAACCCGACAACCCCCTCGAGACGTTCATGGCGGACCTGATCACCCACGTGAAACCCATGGCCGAGTTTGGGGTCAAGCTCCAGCGCACGCTGAGCGCCGTGGGACGCTACACGTCGAGTGCCGCCGACATCCGCGACCATTTCTACGTCGAGCGCGCCGATCCATTTGGGTTTGTGCTCGCGTGCCGCACGTCCAACCCCAAGCGGTGCGTCGCGGCGGGCTCGTCGGTCGACAACCTCGTCACATATCGCGTTACGATTGAATACAACCCCAAGAGCAAGTTTGTGCTCAGTAGCAGCCACAAGGCCGAGCACCCGCTACTGAATTTTATCCAAACTGCGTTCAACCTCCACGCGGACTCGGCCCAGCTGCTCGAGGCGCTCGAACGGACCACGATTCCACTGGGCATCTTGTCCAGCACGGTCAGTTCGCAGTTGATTTCTGCCAAGTGCTACCGCCACCACGCTAATGCGGCGCTGGTATGTCTATATATATATATATATATTTATTAGTTTTCGAAGTGTATATATATGTCATTGTGGGCTTTGCGGCTGGGAGAGTGGTGTTGTTGGCAAGCACAGACGGAATTCACTTTGATGCTTGGAATAGTATACTCCGCTTTGGGAACCAACCAAATCAATCGACTAGTGGTATATATTGTATTGTCCTTTTACCCAAAATTTGACATTTGTGCTAATTCTTTGCCAAATCGATCGATCGATTCTTTGTACTGACTTTTGCATGTAAAAGTGGTTTAGTGTCACATTAATTGAAGTCACACACTAATTAGATGTTGACTTGGTCGAAGAGTGGATGATTTGATTGGCTACTTGATTCGTTTTCTAGGTTTTGATTGGTCGTATATCGATTGTCTGCCGAATGGACCTCACCCCAAATTTGTATCAAATCGACAATATATATATATATATATTATACTCTTCCAATTGGCGATATGATGATATGGCTGGTGTGTTTTCAAACATCATGGGAAGTGTTGTTACTTGATTCATCGCTAGGAAAAGCCGCAGCATCCGACGTCGGGGCCTGGAGGCGGCAAGAAAGGCGGCAAAGGCGGCAAAGGCATGCGGCTCGGGTACAAAGTGAAACTACCTGGCGAAGAAAAGGGGTATTATGCTGAAAAGTCGTACGGCGGCGACGACAAGTCGTTTGTGCCGGCGGAATTGCTGCTCATTCCTCGGTCCCAGAACCACATTCGACTCACGTATGCCGATCGATGTGGTATTGACATTTATTTCCTCGAGGTACAATCCCATATATATATATATATATATTGCCCAAACCAAACAGTCGACTAGGATTTGTATGTATTTGTACGCTCGCTTGTATATTTATATATATATACATGGAATGATTGTAATGTGTGGGTGGCTTCAGATGTGTGACATGGTGAGATGGTACTTGATGCGTAGAATGAAAAAGTCAACGTGCGCAGTGCGCCGTGTGGGGCGCGGGTGCCGTGCTGCAGCGCCGACGGCGGCATCACCGTATCGCATGAAGGGTTTGGCGACCGGTTACGAAGTGTGATTTTTCCGGAAATGGCGTCGTTATAATATCCCCCACGAGTCTAAAAAAGTATTGTTATTTCTCCAACCCCGCCACCCACCCACCACACGGGCTTGTCGTATGTGCTACAGTAGTAATATTATTCTAATATATTCTAAACCCCCCCATGTGGAGATATATTTTTGTTGTTTGCTTAATCGTCTTGATATTGAACCATTTCAGAATTCGGGGCTGGGGCCTGCGAGTCCTCAAAGAACAATCGACTGGCGGCGGTGGTGGCTTTGTCGCTGGGGGCATCCACACTATGAACCACCTACATCCCATTCGTCGATATATATAAATATATATTTATCATGATATTATATCGTACATGGTATCGAGTGTCCAATGAACACGACTCGGCGTCGCCGCCCATGTCCCCCAGCAAGTTTTCGAGCTGCGTCTGCGCCCCGCCTACGTCGGCGTCGTCTTGGCGCAACGGATCCATTGGTTGCTGAGGTCGTTCGTGAGCAACTTCCACATGTCCTCCTTCGATCGCATCCAGCTTCCGCTTCTTGGCGTCCGTCGGGTACGCGGCAAAAGCCGACGCGCTCACACTCGCAATGAGCCAGTTGGCGTCCACAATGCGCACATTCCATTCCACTGCCTTGGTGTATTTTGGCCCTACATACACACATTTAATATATATATTTCGAGTGGAAATCGGCACACAATCGACCGACCAATTAAAATCCACAACACAATCAAGTAGCCAATCAAACCCACTCTTCTACCATTCAACGTCGAATTTTTTTAGGGTGGGAATAATCTATTAATGTGAAACTGGACGTTTCATATTCAAGACACCATGCGATTGATGGATATTTGGGGAAAATCTACATTTTGACTAAAAGTACATATATATATATATGAAACAGTGTCGCACAAATACCTTGGGGGGTCCGACACACGAGGTGGGTGTTGCGCTTGGACAGTTTGGTCGTGAGCGCCGCGCCAGTCAACCGCAGCAGACACGCCATCACGGCGCGCTCGACGTCGACAAACATCGAAATACATGCGCGCATGGATCTACCATCAACATAACATCATCTTTCAAGTCAAAATATCAAGCATATATATATATATATATATATATATATATATATATAATCTCTCTTGCTGATGCGAACGAGGCACTGATTGACATATGATATATATATATATATGTCTATATTCATAGATTCAATATATATATATGGAATCCTCTTGTTCTCAAAGATATTAATATATATATATATTTGAGTCAATACATACGCAAAACACGCCAACGGAAGGACCGGAAACATACTGGCGCGGGTATCTGGCTGACACACAAACAGCGGATGCTTTCGACGTGGGTAGATGCATCCGTCCTAGTATACAAAAGACAACAAACTCCACTTAATTTGGACAAGTGGGGATAGGATATATACTGGTGGTTTATATATATATACTTGAAGACAGCAGTGGAGCCACAATTCGGTCACGAGCTTGGCGCGAGGCATGGACGCGACCAGCGACGGAAGCATGCCGTCGGGGAGGTCGCAGCCGTGGCCGAGCACGATGTGCGTGATGCGGAGGACGTCCGTCGGCTGGAGGATGCGCGGGTCCGTCGTGTTAAGCTCCCGATACCGCCCGCCCACGCCCTTGATGTGCGTCTTGAGCGCGAGATGGTTTGTCTATATATTATAATATTCATTCACCAGGAAAAGTTATCAACGTTCAAAACAAACGTATTCACTTGACATTTCCATAGAATATATATATATTCTATGGAAATATCAAGTGAATATATATATATATACATTAGGATTTCGTGGATATGATTCTGGAAAATAATTATTAGTATTTTTAGAGGACGTACCCCCGTCGACCCCAACGCGTCGGTAAACACCAAGAGGAACATGTGGCCTGAAAACAGAAGCTTGGGATGACGCTACCATATTATACACGTGAAACCATGGAATCGACATATATATATATACATTTAACGTGAAACCATGGAATCGACAAATATATGAAGTCGTGCTAATAGATACTACTAGTATCTACTAGTAGTAGTAGTAATACAGGTGGCGGTGATACTGTAGTATACCTCGCTCGTGGACTTGGCTGGGTCGACGCTGCTGCTGTTTTGATGGGCAGCTAATTGTAATTTATCCGCCAACGACGTTGGAGTTGGCTTGTTGTTGATGTCATTCACATTAGTATGGCGCCGTGGTTTGTGCGAGTGGAGTGCCGGGGGTGCTACTGTGGTTGTATGGATGGCGGTGTAGTCTGTTTGCATATGCGGCGGCGGGTACTGGGCTTCCGGGAGGCACGACGCCGCCAAGCACGAGTGGATGAGCCAACCGGCCGCGACCACTTCAATGTTTCCGTGCGCGTCGTACAATTGCGAGCACGATCTACATATAAAACAGTGTTTGTACGGGCTGAGCTTGAACGTGTATAGTTTTCACATAGGATGGATGTGCCGTTGGTATATATATATATATATTAAACTAGAATAGTATGAATTCAAATATATGTATATATTAAACTAGAAAAGTATGAATACAAATATATATATATATATATATATAACTAGAAAAGTATGAATACAAATATATATATATAAAACTAGAAAAGTATGAATACAAATATATATACAAATATATAAAACTAGAAAAGTATGAATACAAATATATATATATATATATATATCAAAATACCCCATGTAATCGGCAATGACGTGCGTGACGGTGGTGTTGTAATTGTCGTAGCGAGTACCCATGCCAAATCGAATGAGCGTTTTGAGCTTGAGCATAATCTCGGGCGGGAACCCCGTGAGCCAAAACACACACCCGTCCAAAAAGCACCCTAAATATATATATATTTATATAAATATGTATATATATCTATCAGATTCCCAAGTTATATATATATATATCGTTGTGTCTTGTAAATATACAAGTATTCCTAATATTCAACGTTGTTCGTTCTGTATCGCACACTAGTATTGGAGATACAGTATCACATATGCATGCAGCACCTGCAGGCTCGCCATCGAGCATGGTCAAGCACTGTTGCAACTGGTCGTTGAGTTTCAAGCAGGTAGCGCCTACGTCGTCGATGCCGTCATCGCCGTGGAACGATGTCTCAGATGGATGAAGATGGTCCTCAAGCAGTCGATACGCGTCTTCGTCCTTGTATTCTACGCAGTCAAAATAGTTTTAGTATATATTTGCTTTTAAAATGGACTGGGGCTGCCAATCGAATCGACGAAGCAGCAATCGACGGACCGAAGTAGCCAATGAAACTTTCGGAAAAAATACTTTTGGACCAATCAAATTGCAGGTGGATGTATTTGGTGTATATTGCCAAGTTTCTCCATTTCACAAACAGTTGAACGTTGTATCGGACAGGAGTCACAGTGAGTATAGTTAGTTCAAGTAAAATGACGCTCGACGATGTCGTCGAATCTATCGAAATTACCAAATTTAGCTCGAAAGTACAATGTTGCATTTGATTTTAAAGTTCCAACAGTTCGGCTGTCACCTACTTTGGACTGGCCTGGATCAAATTGATTTGGAAAGGAACAACCGCGACTTGCCAATACTTTCAAAAGTCCCTTGACCCTCTTTGTTTGACGAAAAACGGAATATATTTGGCAAAAATTGTGTCAAAGCTTAGCATTTTTCACATTTTTGTGCCCATTTGTTCGAATTTGCCATCATATCGACAATTTTGCGTTTTTTTGGCATCCACACTCACCCTATGAATGTAGACACGTCTAACATATATATATTGAATTTGAACTGACTGTGAACAATACATAACAGTTAACGTGCTAACGTGGATATATAATGTGTCCATGGGTTGGTTGCGGGGCTTACCTTGGGCTTCGATGCAGGCCACGATCCAATCCAACGTGACCACAGGTATGCCATATGCGATGGCGGTGTTGTACTTGGCGCCTTCGGGTTGCTATGTATATATGTCGTGGGCACATGCTTACTCAATTGGGGCTAGATGACGAGAACTATTTCGTGATATGGACGATAATACTGCTTACTTCTGCAAGCAAATGCGTCGTGGAACCAAAGTTCAGGTCCGGGTGGTAGATGCCACCAGCTGCTTCGCACAGTTCCTGGACCTTTTCCCGGTCTTCCACGTACAATCCTTTGAAATAGCCGTGAGAACACACATGACACGATCGACGTACCTGTCGTGCAAATGCACAACCCTTCCAACGGCCCGAGTTCGTACTGGTCCGCCGGCACGACCTTGGCCGCACGGGAACACTCTTTGAGCCAATCCAACTTGACCACTTTCATCTTGGCAGCCTTGGCAGCTTTGTACTTGTCGGAGCCTACCACTACAGCCAGCAGGTGCGTGACGCCGTCGTGAAGGTCATCGTCCCAGCGCATGCCGAGTTGCGACACGATGGACTTGGACACGATGATCTCTTCCATGGACAAGCCAGTGCTGCACACCATGTACTACAACAGCATCGCCATATGAATGGTTGAAGTCTGATGCCGCGCACCTCCGACGCATCGGTCATGGTGGATGCACAATTATGCGGATGCATCAATATTATCCGGATCAGATTACTCCAAAAAGTTTGCACCAGCGCTACAAATCTCCTTGTGCACTTTAAAACGAGATATCCGGATATGGGAGAGCTTGGGATTTGTATATAATCCGGATACATAGCCTAGAATGGGCTGTTTCTAAAACTTGAAGCCAGAAGGTGGCTCCTGAGAGCTTGCCGTATTCGCCGAAAGCCGCGAAGAAGGTTTCATGGCAGGGATGAACGGCATCCAGATTGCAATGACGGACACCAACTACGAAGAAGCGAGCGAGTGCTCTGTGTGTTTGAAGGGGTTCCATCCCTTCCGACACAAGCACCGATGCAAGGTATGCAGAATACTCGGAACAACCTGATCCAAGGTCCTTCCATGTACGTAGTCGTGCGGGCATGCCGTGTGTCGATCGTGTGCATCGTCTCAAAAGAAATCGTCTCGCATGCCCAAGAACGAATCGATGCGCATTTGCGACAAGTGCGTTCACCAGGAACAAGAAGAACTGGCTGAGCGAACGCGCCGACTCCAAATTGAGAATGCGCGCGTCCGACAGCTAGCTGAAATGGAAGCCATCCAGCGCCAAGCGATCGAGTCGCAACGGGTATTGAAAGAGGAAGCCGCGCGACGAAAGGTACGCGCGCTTTCCCCCCACGTTCTCCCAACCACTGACGATCCTACGACCCATCGTGGTGTTCAGAAAGCGGCGTACGACGCCCTCGTGCTCAAACATTTTGGGGACGAACGTTTGTCGGTGAAACGACTTGTCCAACGGCGCCAAAGCTTCGACGCCATCCATCCTTCGCAGCACTTCAGCCAAGCGCGAAAGGACTGGGTGCTGGAGCTCGTCCAACGCGCCGACGACGTTCAGTTGTACGTAGCGTCATGATCATGAAAACGGCGTGGACTCATGCATGCGCAGCGCCGTGGCCAACCCTTCCGCGATCACCCAGGTGGAATCAATCTCGGAAGAATGCGCGATTTGCTTGGACGTGCTGGAGGCCGGCAATGCCATTTACACGACCGCGTGCGGCCATTCATTCCATTGGAGCTGCTTGAAGGACATCAAACAATCGTCATCCACCAACTCGGACCACTGCCCATCCTGCCGGTATGTCCTTCACATTGGCACATGGGATGAAGATTGGTCCATCGTCATCATGTTGATCTCCAGGTCCAGCTTGACCGAAGTGCAAATTAAAAAGAAATGCGACCACCCCCGCGTTCGCGCCACGCATAAATTTTGCCGCGACTGCGGCGAGCCTGTGACGGCAGCAGACATCAAACACCGTCCAGAGGAAGCGGGGACGACTGCTCCACGCAGCCAACCGCCAACTCGATCGCCAGCATCTGGGGGGGCCTTGAGCGGCGCCACGTACCGCGCTGGATCGCAAGGGGCGTTGGTGCAATGTCCGCAATGCCGAATTCAAATGCGGGTGCTTCCGCATATGTACAACATGTAAGGTTGACATGTAACGAACGTGACCATAATGCCTTGATTGTTGTAGGCGAGTGGCCTGCCCTCAAGGACACATGTTTCAGGTACAAGTAGCGCCGACGTCCAGTGGAGTGAGCAACAACGCACCAGCGTATTCCAACTCGAATGCGCGCGGTGGCTACCCCGGGACGTCGTACCATCGTGGATAACGATAAAAATCAAAGAAAAATGCATGTTTCCATCATGGCTTGTACGGTTGATGTAATCGCACCGACGTGGAGTCGACTATCAAACGACGATTCACCCTTGAGTTTGCTGGAGTTTTACAGCCTCTTGCTTGAAGTCTCGAATTGCCTTGACCTTTGCCTTCTCCTGCATTTGTTGAACGTCTTTGATTGCATTTTCATGAATGTTTCGCACGTGTCTACATTCCATTTATATCCATGAGCAAAGAAAATAATGGATGGAGTCATAGTGGAGGGATATGTTACTCCATTTCGTCGGTGACAGCGTCTGTCATTCGCTTGAGTCGCTTTGTCGATTTCTCGTAAATGGCATGGTTCACTTTGTAAAACGACTCCAGTTGTCGATTGGTTTCGTCAATTTCGGTGTCGATTTGCCCTAGCAATTGCTCGTACTTGACTCGCATCGACTCTTCAATGTCTTCCTTCGTGGCGACGAGGTGCGCCTTCAGCGTCTTCGTCGCGCTGCGAATCAACGGGTTCATCGGCACTGGTTTCTCGACGATCTCCACAGGAGACCATCCCCTCTTCGACACTCCTGTGTAGCTGCCCAGTCCTTTGTCTTGCTTCCGACTCCCATGCTTCCTGCTGTTGTCCATGATGTGGGTGTTTGACGGGGGGGTGGAATTGGAAATGAAGATCCTTCTCTGTATCATCAGCTTCAACGTCAAAACTCAAGGAAATTATTCTATTTTTAATTTAGCTCCCTGATATAAATGTTTCTATAAACGTCGATTAAAAATATACATGAATGATATTTAAATTTTGCGCGCGAAGACGCAATACAAAGTTGCAGCCAAAATTCGACAAGGAAGTGTCACTCAAGATGGATTGTCCGAGCAATGCAGAAAGTCCAAGTCACAAGCCCGCCGCGGCAAGTCCACGCCACCCGAAGTAGGCCACATGCAACTACTACTACACGCTTGAGAAGGCGTCAGGGCATGATGCAATTGCCAAGTCCTGATCTAGGCGACTCGAAAACGAAGATCAAGACCGACAGTGTCCAAGAAGGACACGCAGCAATGGTTTCCTTTGCGTCAAGTGCGAACATCATTGACCTCGCTGACTCAAGCGACCTTTCTGGTACAAGTACTGTAGTATCGTGACCTAGATGATTCACATCAACAGAACCACCGACGCCAGAGATTGTGGACCTGACTGAAGCCGCTCTGGGTGACGTACGACGTTTATGCATGACCACGTGTAATCCACGCTCGGTAGGAGTTTGAGCAACGAGAAAACGATTATGCGAAACAAAAGCAAACAGATTTGGATAACGATCGATCGCCGAGAAGACTCCCCTGTTCCAGTGATCAAGCGCTACGCGATGCAGGCTTGTCCACCCCACAAGCCCTTGACGAGGTGCGTATGCACGTAATTGCTACGACGAATCCAATGCAATTTTCGATACGATAGCCTTCACGGCGATACCTTTCGGACTATCCTCGAGAATTCGTACATGGAATGGGCCATGGAAATCGCAACATCGAAAGGTATCGACACTGAGTTTTGTAGGGTACACATTCATACTCGATACAACATTAGCAAGAAACGTACCGAGGTATCCGAAAGTGGTTCTACTCACATCTGGAGCGACGATCCTCAATCAGCACCGGATTATGCCCCATTGTCGTTGAAAATACCGAGTCTATCAACCAGCTTTCAAGCGCTACTCACTGGCGAAGGTCACCAATTCGAAGAAAATAGACCGACTCAATCTACACGTTGCAACGGTCGCGAGTTGTTTGACAAAATAAGAGCCGCGTATCTACATCTTAATTCAAGCTCCGCTCCAACTAGAACCAAGCCCAAACGGTACGTCAATATCCTCATAGAATCTCAACATTTCTAATATCACTCGTAGCATCCTCAAGCCTGAACAGGTTCGGGTTTTGCTGTTGAATCTGCACCTTCCTGGCACATTATCCTAGCACCGATACCCCCCAAGCCACTTTGTTGAGCCCCACGAGACTGTGATGCACTCTAGTGATGCTTGCTCAACCTTTGGAGAGACCCATTTTGCTTGGCCGAAAACGTTCCAAGAGCTCAAGTCACTCAGCTTTGTCCATGGCGGACGAAGTAAAAAGTTGGATGAATTGCGTGTACATCTGGCTCAATTGTTTCCGGTGGAGAAATCGACATCGTCGACCCTACTATTGCATCCTTGGGATGTCACCCCTTCTTCGTCACCTGCGTCGACACGAGCACCCAGCAAAGGTGGGTTCTATCAAGTTCATAGCGTGAAATCCACATGAACTCTACGTTAGAGGATGGTATGGCGACGGCCTCGAGCAAGGTACAAACAATCACAGGCTTACGGCCATAGCTCTTGACTACGCTATGCATACTTGTAGAAAGTGCAACTCGAGCATTCAACTGTGGGGGATTCCCAAGGTAACCCGATCGGTTCCATTTTGGTAGTGTGACTTGTTTTATAGGCGGTTCGTGCACGTCGCTGCCGAGCGCATGTCGTTCAAAGAGACTGCACCGAATGACATTTTCTAAAACGTCGTCCAAGTGGAAACTCCCCCCGAGTGTTTGGGATCGAACTGCACAACTAAAGGTCATCACTGAAAGCCACCAACACTTCCGAGGTTCACGCAAGCGACGTAATATTCAACCATCCAATCCGAATGTCGTGGATCCAATACCCAAGATAGATGCCGACCGAAAACTCTACTCGCCAGTGCCCAAAAAATCGGCATAGCCGCACCGAATCAATACCGTCCTTTCCTCAATCCATATCCTCACGGTACTTGAACATTAATAGTCTTGACTTGTACAAGCAGTTCGAACGAAGTCTACGTAGATCCTGACCGACGACTATAATTCTTCAATGGACGTGACTACTTACTTGTGCATTCATTTACTATATTTTATATATCGTCGTGGCTTGGATGGTATGACATTTTGGAGGTGTGGCGTTTCGTCGGTTACATTTTGTAACCGAAAGGGCTACAGCGGCTCTCCGCGACGAACGACGATGAGCTTGACGTGGAAGGGTTCCAAGCACCCCCCTGCTTATAGCTCGGTGGTTGCAGGCCAAGAGCAGCCAAAACGACCCATCCGCACGAAGCCTAGCTTAGCGTCCGTTGGTTGCCCTCGTGGTATTCCAGCCAGCGAACGGCCATCGATCCAGTCACGCGAAAGCGGCAACGCTGAAAACGCAGCGGAGATCCGTGACCGCCGAGACGACGTGGAGTTCAGGGCTGACGACGAGTTTTTCATTTTCGAAGGCACTGGCACGTCCCACCGAGCTTTGGAAGCGTACGCATTCACTGCATTATGATACTTCGTGATTATACAACTGCTGCTGTCGTAGGGTCAATCGAAGTGCTATCGCCAAGATCCGCGAGCAAAGTGTATTGATCGAGCGACTCAAACACGACAAGGCCCTGCTAGAGGAGAAGCTCACGTTGACACAACATGATCTACGATTGCAGCAACAAGTACAGCATCTGCAATGTATGGTTGTTTAGAGCGTCACCAGTGGTGGTGGGTTTTGTTTGTTTGCATAGGTACAACACAGTTTAGTCGCGAGCAAAACGTTGTTAGAAAACAGCCAATTGCCCCACCTTGGTGTGGGACACGACGGAGTCGTTAAAGCCTCACCTGCTGGTAAATTGACAAGCGAGTTGAACAATACAACGAGTAGTTGATACCTTGTTTAATATCCTATTTGGAATACTACGAGTTGATTGTCGTTCTCACGTATGTAGGGGGTCGATCGCCAGCACGTCCGTCGTCTCAAGGCCGAGGTAAACCTCTGTCGCATGCAATCATACGCTCCATATCGTGGCCACAACTTGTCTGAAAACGTACTCCGAAATGGACTGGTCCAATCCGTAGCGAGCCCGCGAAAAGTAGTATCGGCCACGGTGCAAATGAGTCCCGCGGAACAGCGCGAATTGGAAACGTTACGGCTTAAAGTGCACGCGTTAGAGAGTGAGAAAAAGGACCGGAACGCGGACTTTGCGGTTCAAACCAAGACGTTTCAGCGGCGCATCAAGAAATTGCAACAAGAGGTACAATATGTGGTGAAAATATCTATACTCACACGACAAACGCACTTTGGGGCTAGTTGCGCGACCGCGACGACATCGTCATGGGAAAAGACGCCCAGATCAACGTGCTGCAAATTCGAAGTTTGCACCAAGTGCCGCTGCTCCAAGGTACACCGACATGACGACTACTAGCCGGACGAGTAGTAATACTAGCCACATGCAGGCATCCATCCCACGCCACGAATGCTCACAGACGAAATGTGGCTGTCGGTGCCGCCGTTGAAAACGCACATTGAGTCGTCCAACGTTGCAAAATCCAACGTCGGCGGTGCGTTCGACGCGCTAGTGTCCAAGAAGTTTATGGATTCGATACGGAAACTCCCGGGGCACTATCACGAAGCGTGGCTTACGGAACTGCAGGTTGCACCTCGTCCGACTTCGACTGCGTAATCGTCGTCGTGATTAGGAGACGGCAACGAAATTGTCCTTGTTGCACACTGGGCTCAAGGCGATGTGCGGAGTCTTTCACCGACTCGCGTCTTGCTGCGATTTGTACGACATGGTGCGGCTGATATCGGCCGAAGCGTGCGCCCTTGCAAATGCTGAAGAGGTACAGTCTCTATTACAAGGCGGATATATATATGTGTATACCGTGTATATTTATGATAGCGTCATACGTTTATGATATTTCGTTTCCTAGGCGTTTGTGTTTGTGGTCGATCCAGTGCAAAAGCAAGAGTTTTGGAGTCGGATTTGTCGCGCAGATGGCGAAACCATCACCGCGAGGTCCAACATCCCGCACATTTCCCTCGACCAACAAACAGCATACAACGAATACCTGGCCAAACAACCCCATCACGTTGCTCACGATGTCCCGATACGCCTGAGCAACGACCACAGCAACCATCACCCGCAGCACAATGTAAGTAGGCTCTTTATCTCACATGTGCTTGGCCTACTAGGAACACATCCAACTATGCTCATATTTGTATGTATTGGACTGGTATATATAGCACACAACTACGAGTTCGTTGGAGTCGGCCGACAGCGACGAGAGGTCGCCTATGCACCAAGGACGTCTGTCTCAACTCTTGTCGCAGCCGGCTCCAGGCTTTGCCTCGTACGTGTACCACACCAAAGAAGTGCTCAACATCCCTGGCTGCAAACTGTTTGGCCATCCGCTGTACAGCGGCGGACACATGAATTCGGACCGGTTCATCAAGTTGAAAAGCTCGTCGACCATGTTGCTTCCGATATGCGACGGCGACGACCGTGAACCGCTGGCGGTGCTGCAAGTGTGTGGCAAGACACATCACTTTCGCGGCATGGGGGTGACTGTGACGGTGGAAAACTGTTTGTCGTTTACCCAAGAAGACGAGTACCTGCTGTCGGGGTTGGCGAATTTCTGCAGCGGGCTCTTGGCCAAAGTCATGACGTTCACTGAAGTCGAACGCACGCGAAAAAGCGAAACGGTGCTGCTCACTTTGTCGCGTCAAATCTTCACTTGCCTCGACTTTCCCAAACTGTCGATGCTTGTGATGCAGTCGACCAAGGAACTCCTGGATGCAGGTATTATATATATTGTATTCTTGGGAATGAAACCCCCCTCCATCGCACAACGCTCATGAAAGTGAGGTGTTAGACCGATGTACGCTGTTTGTGACGAAAACGATCCCAAACAACGGTACTGTATCGCGTTTTATAAAATGGTCTAGTAATACCTTGACGGGCGACGAATGATGGATGGGATGATATTGTCCTTTTCGCTGAAATTAGAATCGATTTGAGTCAAATTCGAAGCTTATTCATTGTATGGTAGTATACACCTTTGAAGTTGAACAATTTCACTGGGCCAAACGATTGGGTCAAACTACACTAATAGAGGATTGGTTGCAATTTTCGTTATAAATATAACTGGATTGGCGAATCTATTCTCACATAGCACACGTATATTTGTCAAATTCGTTCGATTCTACTCATAAGTTCAAATATGAACGGATATTTGATACTATATATATCATGGAAAGTAGAACATGTCCTATGTGCGTGGCAAAGCGACATCAACAACGGCACGGTGCACCATTCGTGGAGAAATCGAGGTTCGTTCTGAGAGATAACGTGAAGGCAATGCAATCATCTTGATTTGATCAGGACATGAAGTTGTGGTCCACATGGGCCAAGGCATTGCTGGAGCTTGTGCCGAGACGCGGCGGCTGATCAACGTGCCCGATGCGTACGAAGACAAGCGCTTTAATCGGGTGCGTAGTTCCGTACACTTGAATGAGGTATGTCATGCCTATGATTGGCACACACGGTAGGCCTGGGACGACAAGACAAAGTATCGGACCAAGAGCATCTTGGCCATGCCCATCATCAGCAGCAAGGACAGTCTCTTGGGGGTGATTCAAATGATCAACAAATCAGGCGGCACCGCGTTCAAAGCCAAGGACGAAGAGCACATTGCAATGGTGTCGCAACTGATTGCGTTGGCGATGGAAAACAACAACTTGTTCCAGAAAACCCAGGTGCGCAGTCGCCATGCGTCAGTGTAATCTATATATATATATGATATTGTCCTTTTGCCACCAATATTGGGTTGGCTTTTGTGCTGATTCTTTGCCAAATCTATCGATCGATTCTTTGGACTGATTTTGGTATGTAAAGATCGCCCAGTCTAACACGAATTGAAGTCACACACTAATTCGATGTTGCATTGATCGAATAGTGGATTTGATTGGCTACTTGATTATTGTTCTGGGTTTTGATTGGTCGATCATCGATTGTGTGCCGATTTCATGCTGCTCAATCGGTTGAGCAACCTCTCCCATTTCGAATCGATGTGACAATATTGATATCTATATATGATATTGATATCTATATACGATATGGATATCTATATATGATATGGATATCTATATATGATTTTGATATGGGTGGTAATTTTGTACTTTGGCGTGGGTAGGATGTGAGCAAGTGTATTGGCACGTACATCCGCCACTTGCCGCTCAACGAAGCGTTGCTCAACATGAATACGCACGCAGAAGAAATTGTGGGGGTACAAATCGCGTGCATTTACTTGAACGACGAGCGCACCAACGAATTGTACACGTACCACCGCCTTCGAAAGACTCGCGTGGACATCAAACCATCCAGTTACAAGTATGTACATCAGCTATATATCTACGGCTGTTTGGGTGGTTTATGATGGCTTGTGGGTGCAGGAATAGCATCCTCGAAGAAGCCCTGTCCTTGAAAGAACCGCTGATCGTCAACAACGTTTCTCAATATACACACTACAATCCAGCGGTGGATACCCTCAATGGCATCGCTGCCCAGCAGGTCTGTGGTTTTAACGCCAGATTCGATTACGGATATATATATATATATATATATATACAACCATTACGGATATTTAAATATATATTTTTTGCAGGTCATGTTTGTGCCGCTGTTCCAGGACGGCAAGAACGGCATCGACGACCGCGTGTTTATTGGGCTGCTGCAGCTCGTAAACCGAAAAGGCACGACCCACGACTTTGACTATGACGATTCACTGGTCGCGATCATTGCAAACCAAGTGTCGGGCATCCTCATGAGTATCATCGAGCGTCAAGTACGAGTTCTTGCATCATGTTGATTCTCTCTTTTATTTTTTATATCTGACTTTTAACAAGTACAATACACTGCTAAAACATACTCGAGTAGTGCTGGTCAATGTAATGCATAACTTGTTTATAATGTATTGCTGAATATTACTCGAGGACTGGTTAATATAATGCCTAACTCAATTCCGTGTATCTCGGATGATAATGCATTGCTGAATAATACTCGAGAACTGGTTAATATAATGCCTAACTCAATTCCGTGCATTCAGCCCTCGTCCCCAACATGACCTTTTGTGTTGTAGACCATGCATCAACTTCACGAAGACACCAAGGTAGTACGGCGACACACTAGGGTTTACCACATCTCATATATAGCTTCAGCGCTTGTCGTGTTGTGTTGCTACGCTTGTCGATATCTCGGTGGTCGGAATGTTGATATATTGGATGCGTAGTTGCTCTTGGAAACATGCATGTCGTTCTACAAGGAGTTGAACCATGTTGGGATTATGAACGCCGTGTACAACGCCACCATGTCGACGTTTTCAATCGACAAAGGGCAGTTGTGGCTCTGGACTAGCGACCGCTCGAGCATGTGGACATCCAAAGTACGATCTAAATATATATATATATATATAATATTTACGATACATATATAAATCGAACACGCTGGATCGTTTTCTGCCATATTAGCTCCTTCCGTCGGACGAAATCAAGTTTATCAACCCGACGTTACAACGTCGACTGTCCGTGTCTTCAAATGATCGGATCGAAGTATCTTGTTCCGAAGGTATATTATATTTTGGAAGCGCTTGAACAAATATGGTAACTATTGTATGCATTTTATCATCCAACGACGTAGGGCTATTGAAGCGTGTGGTGAGCGAAGGCAAGGTCGTGTCTGTGAAACGATGGGACTACATTGTACGATGTCACGAGTTGTGCGACTTCGATTGGTTTATGACAGTCCTTAGGGGGATGGCGGCAACCAAGACGGCATTCAACGGATCACTTCCACCGACAAGAACGCATGCTTTACAGACTACTCGATCACTGCGTGTCCTGTGTGGGACTCATTTGGCATTGAAGTCATTGGCGTTGTGATGCTCATGGTAAGATCCATAACAACCTATCGAGTTAAAGCAAAAGAGATTCCGTTCACGCGTTCACAGTGCATTACAATTTGATGCTTTGTGCTAGTATCCCCGCGGCCGCAACCTCCACCGCCTCGAGTTGTCCAAAATTCCCATTTTCACAAGACAGGTACGATAATAAATCATATCGCTTGAAGTCCCTGTCGCCATGTCGTGAAATGTATAAAATACCCCAATATATTATTGAATCTTTCCAGACTCGGTTCAATCAACCGATTCCCATTGGTCAATCTGAAAATGCTTGTCTCTGATTGGCTACATTATTTTTTCCAATCGGGAAAGCCAATGAAACTTCGCCGCGAGATCATATTTGGGATCGGTTTTACAAATCGCGCAGAATTGGGAATTTTGTAGCAATTTCATATATTTTGACCATGGTAAATATATAGATTACGGGAGCACTCATGGTCTGCCGCGACGTGTCGCAGTATATTCATCGCGTCCAGAGAATGCAAGACTTGCTGGAAGAGTACACGTCTGCCACGCGTGCAAGTACGTCTCGCCTTGTTGTCTTCTACTGCACCAAGCACTATGAATTTTGCGTTCATGTTTCAGTCGTTTCCTGTCGACTTGTTAGGTGCGACGCTGTTCAACATGAACCTTGTCACTGTGGGCAAGCCCGCCCCGACTACGCTGTCGTCGCCGTATGGGTTTTCACTGGCTGTGACCATCGACAGCAGCGGCGCATTGCGCTCATCCACGTACCCCGTCAACATGTTTACACGAGGCTTTTCGCTTTGTTCGACACATGACATTCTTCGGCTGCCCGTGGACGCCCACGGCAACCGCCACGTGATTCAAGTCACCGCGGCGTCGCAGCCCCACTACGAAAGCAATCACTTTGACAAATGGTATGGTGCATTCATTTCACCCAAATTTGAGTCATTTCGCCAAATAGTTTTCGAATCTATTGAGTTTTCGAGTGAAATTTCGTGTTGTGGCGTGGTTTCTCTGATTGGCTACCTGTGATGAGCTCAAAATTATTAGCCAATCAAAACCTTCTCAATGAAATTCAACCAATCAGATCGATTGTGGATCGGTTTGGTCGGCGCGATTCGATTGCACCCCCTCCCCAAATTTGTATCAAATCGACAATATATGATCCTATTTAATCTTTCACACACTACTACTACTACTATACAAAGTTTTTAGTATATAATAACGTTATGTGTGGTTTTGCCCCATGCGGAGGGATCAAACGTTTGAATTGGCAGAAATTCGACATGACGTAATTTGATTATTGGCTCAGGCGGATACATTAATTCTACTTACAGCTCCAGTTTCGAATCGATTTGACAATAGTGTCGCGAAAATCTGTCCAATATTCGTTTTATGTGATGGGTGGTGTCGTCGTTAGGATGGGACGGGATGTGGTGGCCGGCGACTGGGAAAAAATCAAATTTGACCTGCACAACGCGTTCAGTCGCAAAGAAACGCTCACGGCGTACTACAGCACGACGCATGCGCAGTCGCTCCAGTTTGTAAACACCCTCGAGACGGTGATTTCGTCGGCGGCGCAGAATTCGATTGCAATCAACGGCACTTTGTCGTCGAAGCAACAGCCGATGGCAGTCGCCATGCCCGACGCCAGTATTCGCAAAGAAATCGCGTTGTTCCTGTGGCAATTTTGCTCGGCCGATTTGAAAATCCACCTCGACAAAGTATTTGCCTTGTTCTCGCCGTATGACCCCAAGGCCACGGGATGTGTCGACCCGGCCGACTTTGAGTACGTTGTCAAGGCGTGGGGAGTCCACCTCAACCACCACGTAAGTCTGCTCACTGGGTTCTACTACAGTGCTGTTGCGATGGATGGAGATAAAACATCATCCAATAATATACATACTTGGTAGGAATACGATGCCCTGTATAAATGCTTTGCGTTACCCGTGGGGCCTTCGCTGGACATGCCATACGGCGACGACGGCACGGACGTTCCGTACAGCATCGATTACAGGTTGCTTGCTAGGTTTACTTACCTACTCACTCGTGTTGAGTGTATTGTTGTAGTATTCAATCTATATTGTGAATTCGCTATAAACTTTCGAAATTCGCGTGGTTTTCTATTCAGTCTTGCATCTCGCTGGAACTTCTAATTGGCTGAATTTATATATATATATGTAATTGTGAATTCGCTATAAACTTTCCAAATTCGCATGGGTTTCTATTAATAGTGTCAGCCTTGAATCTCGCTGGAACTTGTGATTGGCTCAATATAAACTTGTCCATTCTGTAAGAGCCAATCAGGTCCATTCAAAAATGGACAAAATATTACATCTGAATCGACGAAAGTGATTGATATGCATGTTTATAAACGTACGTTTGGACCAAATATGTGGAGTCATTGATATGTATGTGATGACAGGAACGTATTTGAGACGTTGGCGCCGCATTTTATTCGACACACGCACTTCCAGCACGAGATTTTCCCCACACTCCACCCCACCACGCACGTCATTACAAGCGTCCAGCTGTTCTTTACGCCCATGAGCCACGACGGCGTCGTCGTACCCACGGCCCTCATGGCGGCCGACGACGACGACAACGCCGTGTCACATTAGCACGACATAGAAATGTGATGTGTGACACTGTTTATTGCTGTTTCACGGGCACCGCACTCCACGTTCCCGTCACTTTGACCACCACCACGACATGCAACAACCCCACGAAAGCACTGGCCATGGCTTGGCCGGTGGTCCCCAAATTCGCACGGCCCCAACCGCCGCTGTAAAACCCTAAGGATAGCGCAGTGCCTAGAACAACAACAACAGCAGAGATATTATCAACATCCCTTCGACATGCTTGGATACAGCAAGGGGTCATAGTACCGGAGGCGAGGAAGGTGACGACGCCGAAGATGCGATGCGCGGCGTCCTTCCATTGCCAGTTCCACGTGTTGCCAAATGTCTTCAACGCACCCTAGAGCATGATATCCAACACATACATGTTCGAATCAGCGCACAACATATATATGAACACACATGGACGGCATCGAGATGGAGCATGAAGAGAAACGACCAACTACTACGACATGGGCATGGAAATGACTCGTACAAGGACGAAGCTGATGTAGTACAACGCAAGCGCGGCACTGCCCACCCACGAATGGATGGTGGTAAAGTGAGGGCGGCTGTTGTTGTCCTTGGTGACGTATATGGCAGTGAACCCAATTGACGCCAACACAACCGACACGGCCTGCATGAACGCATGCCACTGGACCAGCGACGTTCTATCGTGAACATATTAGTGCAGGAACACGTCCGGGTGGGGGCCGCATACCGCTTGGCGTGGTTCCCTTCGACTCGACGGTCACTCATCGCGAGCAAGGCGCTGAGGATGACATGGTTAGTTGCATCGAGTTCAAGGGAAACAGTTGCAGACTGACGTACGATGGAGTTGCAAGGAGATACGCGACTGCCAACGTGATGGGGTGCCATGAGAAGAGTACGACAGGTTGACCCCGTCCAAAGGTCAGATATCCGATCCATCCCACGACCGCCGCTCCAAGGGCCAACGCCACAGATTTTAGCGCCATGACAAGTAATGAAATGACATTGGAAGGGGAATCCTGTCATCCGGATACAATGGTGACAAATATCCGGAAAACAAAGACCTCAACGTCCGGAAATGTACTTCAGCAGCTTCAACAAGCAACCATAATGAATGGCAAAGGCGGCAAGAAGCGCAAAGCCGCGGCGATGTCCGTCGAGGATGAGATCGCTGCGGTGAACGATATTCTGCAGTCGGAAACCACGTCACGAGGTAGCATGTGCGCTCGATGGCAGAGAAAAAAGTATAATGATGGTGGATGGCAGAGTCGTGGCAAGTGGGGAAGCGGCTCAAGACGTTGATCGACGCACACCCGGACATGACCAAGGAGCAGCTTGGAAACACCATGTGCATGTGGGGCACGGCGATTTCGCGCATTGCGTCGGAGAACGACGACGCGACATTGGCCGAAGCTGCCATGGACAAGTTCCATCAAGCGTTGACGTTGCTGGGCCAGGACGAGATGGGTCCGTACGGCATGGCGCTGTACGGCAGTACGTCCATGATTGTCGCGACGGAGAAGCAAGACCGGTGCGCGTCTGTCCATCCTCTTCAGATATCCTCACAGGACGTTGTAGATCTGTCCTCGAAGCGGCGCTCGCGCAATTTGACGCGGCAGTGGCGATGGACACACCCGAAGCCTTCGAGTCCCCTTTTCAATACGCCAAAGCGTTGAAAGAAGGATCGGTCCTGGTCCAGCATTTGATAGGTACATTAGTATGACCAGCAACACAACGGTGGCAGTTATTGTCAGTTCTCCATCGATTCTTTGACTTTTGTATGTAAGAAGGGTCCAGTGTCACACACTAATTTCAGTTACACACTAATTCGATCTTGAATTGGTCGAAGAGAGGCTGATTTGATTGGCTACTTGATTCATGTTGTGGGGTTTGATTGGTCGTATATCGATTGTGTGCCGACTTGGTTCTTCTGCTCATTGAGCACCCAAACACTCGAATTTCGAATATATCGACTTGACAATATCACAATCTGAATCAGAGAAATGGATGGTGGTGGCCTAACCTTTCGTCGTAGATACTGCCGCCGACACCACCGTCACAGACGAGGACAACAAGGGGATAGCAGACAGTATCGCATTTCAATCCCCCCAAGCCCTTCAACAAAAGGTTCGATGTCTTGTTCTGCTACTATATGACACTATTTGCATGTAGGGTCTAGAGATATGCAATCACATTCTCCAACAACATGCAGCCGTGCTTTCCGACACTCCACTTCAACGTACGAGTGTTCTATGCAATTCCACATCGCCATATATATATATATATATTATTACGTGGTAGACGCTACCGGTGACAACGACTCGGGTGACGAAACTGGTGACGATGAAGTGGAAGACGAAGTGACCAAGGAAGACATGTCCGAGGTCGTGCTGCTGCAGGCGCAACTCACTGCGCTACTGGCCACAGCCACCCCCGACGCCATATACGACCTATTCAAGCAAGCATATGGTGGGTCCTTTGTCATTATAATCTCATGTGTTATGTCCAAATATATATTAAATTTAGAAATAAAAAATTATAATATATATTGACGTTGTTGTGTGTTGATGTAGAACTCCATCGAGAAAATGTCAACGCGCTGATTGAAATGAACACGTTCGTGTGTCGCGTGGAATTGACATGTACGTGCCGTTGTCGATACTATTTGATTGAAATAATATATATATATATATATATATATATATATATATATATATATATATATATATTCGTGATATTGGTGGTGATGTGTGCAGCGTCAATGGTTCCGTGGGTCGTGCCCCGCCTCGAATGGATGCAACAAGAGCTGCTTCGTGTTCTCGACGAGCTCGAGTTTGACCTGGACTCGTGTTTTGAGGTATGATATATATATATTCGTATCCATGCAAATATATATTCATATCCATATATATATGCATTCCTATCTATATTGTAGTATATATATATAAAATATATTGATATATGCACATTCATATCCATATACAAGTATATATATATATATTTATATATTTACATTCCTACCTATATATCCGCCCCCCCTACTAGACAAGTAGTAGTAGTAGTAGTAGTACTAGGCAGAATCTGTGCGTCGTTCGTTTATGTCTTGGTGACGGTGGTGGTCTGTGTCTTGATTCCAAATGTTGCCGATTCATTCGTTTCTCATCTGCGACACCGTTTTCCCATGATGTTATATTTTTCGTTCGTATTCATTTGCTTCAGTATCTGTATTGATATTTGGTTATATATAATAATAGCACGTGATGCGCGCGTCGACGTTGGCAAAGCCCAAACCAGTCAACGAGGTCGTTCCCAAGGTGCTCGACGTCCTCGGCCGCAACCTCGTGGCCCAGCTCAAAGCGTCCTCGTCTTCTTCGAACGAACTTCACGCCCACGCACTCAAGGTGCTCCAGTGCGCGCACCACCTCCACGACGCGTTCGGGTGCTACTCCCTCGCCGCACTTCACGCGCTCCCAGCGTTTGTCAACCCCACAGAGTGCCACGTATGGCTCGACACGTGCGAGAGCTACGGCGTGCTCGATGATGAGTTCCAAGCTCGAGACTTTATTACCATGAAGGACCAAGACTGGTTCGGGGCGTTCGCAGCACCCAACGGCACGCTGCACCCGGTGCACGCCGAGCTCGTAGTCGCCCCATCGGCGCCATCGCCGTCGTCGTCGTAGGGTCTAGTGGATGTAATAACTCTAGTATTTCCGATTGACGAAGGATGATCCCGTTGGGTATGACTACCCTGAAATACATTTACAAATATATATATTGTGACCCTAATTCGCCAGTTTGGGACCGAATTCAATAAGGGAGCGCCTGGTAATATTTTTAAAATAATAATACTATGTAGTATGTCATTTTCTGGCAAAATGTTGGGATTCGCAACCAAAAATACCATTTTCAAAATGGAGGTAAAAGGTAAAATTTATAATATGACGTGTATATTGGGTCCATTTCATTGAGTATCTATCATCCCATTATTTTGCCAGGAAATGAAATATTCTATCTTTTGGAAATATTATCAGGGGGTGCACGCCAAGTCAAGTGGGGGGGGGTATTCACAGTCGCTGTAGCTACCTTGTCAAGATCTATGCATGTATGTACAGTACAGATCTATGCATGTATGTACAGTACATACATCTACTAGTACCTCCCCCCATTATCTACCCTCGGATAGTACAGTACTACAAAACTTCGAAGTACCCCGCAGTAAATTAATAATACTCGTAGCGTTCAGGGTCTCATGTGTGTTGTTGATGTATTCCAGTTCAACGGGTATTTATTATATTTTCGCTACAAGTACAGTCGTGTGCCACACAACACGCGTTGCAACAGCTCCTGCCGCACCGCCGGCACGGCCGCGCACCCTCGCGACGGGTCCGACGTGTACTCGAACGTGAGCCACCCCGTCCGTCGCGGTCCGTCCTCAGCTGTCACATCGTCCTACAACACATACACATAACCATTCGTCACAGGCCAAAAAAAGTCCATATTTATTTTCATATTTTTATATTTTTATATTCTACTAAGTAGTATTCGTTTGACATTCTAGAATTCGAATAAAAAGGTTATTATATATATGAACTACAATCAATGGAGTCTACATAACTATGGTATCAACGACGTATACGAAGGTTCGGATATGTGACAAGGGGAGAAATTCGTACATTGGCCCACGACTTGGGCAGCTCCCACCCTGGGATCGGCGGGTCCCCGCGCACCCACCCAAACGACTCGTGGATCCAGTTTTCACCCTAACATGTTTTAGTTATGTTTATTCCGTGGGTTATTGTCAAATCGATTTGAAACTGGAGAGCCGTCAGCAGAATAATCGTATAGATTAAAGAACCGCCTGAGCCAATCAAATCACATCATGTCGAATTTCAGCCAATCCAAACGTTTGACCCCTTCACATTGGGCAAAACCTCATATATATACTAATCGTTGTAGAGTACATAGTGTGTGTGCAAGAAGATGAAATAGGATGATCAAATCGGTTCAAAAGCTATTTGGCGAAATGACAAGTCCAAAAAAATTGGGGTGAAATGCACAATAGTGCTTGCTTCATCACACAAATCATCAACAGGGTTATTATATACATACATGGTTGTTTCGTTATAAATTGGCAGTTTCGTTATAAGACAACTCAAATTGAACCAGAATAGCAGAACTAGAATGTGTTGTAGTACCGGTTCCGTCACGGCTAGCTTGACGAATATCTTGGCGGCTTCGCGCTCTTCGCGGACAGATAGATCAAACTCGTAGTACCGATCGGGCTGTTGCGGGTTGAGTATGTTGAGCCACCCGAGCAGCCGCGCGCATTCTTGCTTTTCCGCAAACGACAGCGCATCGAAAATCTACTTGAAAAAAGGTTCAGAACGATGTCACAGATAGGAACGGTTGGTCGAAACGATGTCATAAAACTAGGGACAGTTTTATGTACGTACCTCCATAAAGTGTTCAATGTCAATCAGTCGGGGAAACAGCAACCGACAGGTTTCCGTTTTGCCATTGTGCACACTCGGCATGCACCGCACAATCTCGGCCGCCTACACCATCCGTACGTTCGGTCGTTGTGAATTTATGTAAACCCATCACAGAAAGTATTTAATTACGACGGTAAGCTGAAATTTGACAATATTCGCCATTTCGGGCAAAATTCAATAAATCTGATAACAAGTGAAACATGTCTTGTTTGAAGAGTGTTTAACTCAAATCCAGTCATTCCTTGGTGGGATTTACTCGTTGAGGAGGCCATCTTACAAAATTGAACGTTTTACCTCAATGTCGTTTTTGATTTATCCCAATTTGCTAGAAAGTGGAATAATATTTTTGAAATATTACAAGACGTACCCTTATATGCAATGAAAAAATGGGATTTGGCAAAACAATATACTATCTGAATATATATATTACCAAGTATTCTATAACATATGGATGAATGATTCGTCTAGCCCATTTGAGTCGAGAAGGATCGAATATCAAAGGGTCTGGATGAGTTTCTGGTACCTGATCGACGGACAGCCATCGATCGCACGTAGCTGCTTCGATTTGAAACAACTTGAACCCAATGTCTTCCTTGGTGTGGCTATGTACTTGAAATGCCTACATTTGTCGATCTATAGTACCAAATACATATGTGCGTTCTAGTCCAGATTTCCTCTGACGGTTGGTCGATCAAACCGCCGACCAATCGCCACACGTTCGAAACATGATATGAAACTCAAAGTGGTCCGTTCTGATTGCATTTCAAAAATGTTTTCTTTTTAGCCAATCATAATTCAACCTTCATTCTTTTTATCCAATCATATTCCTTTGCTTGATTGGTTGAAAATCCTTCCAAATTGTCAATTTTTTTGCTTGGCAAAAAGCAGCCCAATAATAGTAGTACTCATTAGGAGTGGCCAACACCAAACTCCGCAAGTCCACCACCATGTCTTGACAAGAACGAACACCTCACCACATGAACATCACATCTCACTGACAACATATATGGATTCCAAACACTACACCAAAACGAGATTAGAAAGCAACATATATATTGTGCTTTCGAGTAAAATTTCATTGTGTTGTGAATTTAAATCGATTCGATTGGCTACTTCAGATGAGCTCAAAATTATTAACCAATCAAAACGTTCTAAATGAAATTCAACCAATCAGATCGATTGTGGATCGGTTTGGTTGGCGCGATTCGATTGTACCCCCTCCCCAAATTTGTATCAAATCGACAATATTCAAACACAAACCACAACCAAGCCCAGGACCCACTCTACCCAACTCTCCATATATATATATATATATACAATACTGATCATCCAATGGCATCACATCTCCTTTGGGGGAGCGCGACGACATAGACGCTGTGGGCCTACCATTTTCACGTCGCGAATCCACTTTTTAAACTTTCGAAAGCGCACGGCGTTGCGCACGAGCTCCCATCGATCGCCGACACTGCGCCGCCGCCGGGTTCCGGCCGTGGACTTGTCGGGCAGACGCAGCTCCGTCCGGCTGTCGCGGGCGATCTGCGCCACCAGCTGCTGGTACCGCCGGTCGCTCATGGGCTTGGTGCCCCGCGTGGGACGACTCGTGGACACGTAATCAAACTCGAGTTTGCCCTTTTGAGGCATCGTTTGAAAGAAATGAGATGTTAAAATCGTCGCCTTGCCGTCCAACCATTCGTTGCGGAAGTTTTCCCAGTTGCCATGTTGAGAGGTATCTAGACATATATTTTAGAAATATACAAAAGTATATGTACAAGAGATAGAAATACGATTAAGAAATATACAAAAAATATGTACAAGAGATAGAAATACGTTAAGAAATATAAAAAAGAATATGTACAAGAGATAGGAAATATACAAAAAAATGTGTACAAGAGATGGGGAGAGGTCGCATCATTCGTAGTAGTATACTGCAGCGACAAATAGGTTGTACAAATAAATATATAGATATTGTGATGATTCGGTATAAATTTCCAGACCCCGTCGAATCGAATCTTTACGTTATAGGCTAATCCAATTTTGAGTGGATTTGATTGGCTCTTACAGAAAGGGCCATATATTCAACCAATCAGAAATCCAGCGTGATTCAATATTGAATAGACAAATCACACGAATTTTGCAAGTTTATATAGCGAATTCACGATATATCTTGCACTTGAATACTGTATGTGTCGACCTGATGTATACGTACAGTATCGATTCATCCAAATGTATTATAGATCGATGCATGACGTGGTGTAGTTAGTAGGACGACGAATCATGATATATTATATGTACAAGCAGGTCCATACCATATATATAAGCATACCATATATATATATAATCGTGCCAACTATATACATATCGGTCCAAGCCGTTCAAATCAATGGACACAACATATGTCGTGTTGTACTACCCATCGCGTGATCTCATAGGGCTCACTACATTGACTATACATATCTGCTAATTTATCTATATATTTACAAACATTTAGGGAACATGGCAAATATATATATATATACGACCATGCCATCAAAAGATAGCGTATTCCGAGTCAATGAATACATATATCGCAGTATCAACCACACGGGCTTACCGCCGCGCCCGGATCTGGATTTAGAAAACTGCTTTTCCGCTTGGGCGACTTCGGCCAGCTTAATGAGCGCTTGCCGGTCGATTTGCTTGGACAAGTCGAGGGCGTAGTGGTTGGTGGGGAGCCCCAGCAGTGGAAAGTAGAGAGCCCCTAGCCGAATCCGCAGCGAGAAGCGCTCGGACATGGAGAGCACGCGCTTGACCAGGTTCTGCGCCTCTTTGACGGACGTGAGTTGTGGGAGGACCTTGGCGACCGCGCCCACGCGCTTGGTCTCGTGCATGTCGCCGCAGCTCTCCATGAGCACGATTGCTTGGGCCGCCGTCATACGAATCTCTGTCTCATGTACCTTGTCTCACATCAGCACATTGCAATCAGTAGAATCAAAACGTCATCGCATCATTCTGAACATGGGATAGGGTTGATGTATGCAATTTTATCATGCTCTTGAAGTGGCAGATATATATATATATATATTATTATTCTATAAGGATTGTAATCAATGACAAGGGGTCAACGTACCGCCGCATTGAGCAGTTCTGCTTGCTGCATGGTTTCTTTGCCCCGTTCAACGGACTGCACGAGCTTTTTCAACCCGTGCTCCGTTAGCCCTATGATATAATAGCATATGTTGGCGCCATCATATATATAACAATACAAATCCATTTGCATTTACATATATATATATACTGCACGCGTTCAAGTCCACTACTAGGATGTATGCGCATGCGTGGGTTATACACTATAGTTGGCATCCTCATATATATATATATATATAAATAGCTCATTTATGTAAATATATATAAATATATATAAACGCACCGTAACAGACAAAGCTCTCGCGGTCGTTCATCAATTCTCGCTCGTACACGAACGTGATGTCCAACACACCCGACGATGGCACGCACCAGACGCCGCCGCTTTCGTCGCGCAGGGCCAGCGACTCGGCCGACTGCGCCGCTTGGTGCTGGTGAACCCTTTGAATCACCTATATCCATATCAAGATATATATACCCCAGCAATATTGACCAATCAGAAGGCGCAACGTGTCAAAACCAGGCAAGTATCATCCGATATATATATATATATGCTGCATAATGTGATATGGGGGTGTTATTGGGAAAAGAAACAACTGTAGACACTACGAGTAAAACGTACTTGGTTTTTCATGAGCTCGACAAACTCGTCCTCTTCGATGGTGCCGCTGCCGTCGACGTCGCACGCATTCATAGCTGCTTCGACGTCTCCTTCTGTGGCTGTGGCGCCCAGTAACTACCCCCATAACGATTAGTTAGTTGATTGTTCATGTCGAATTAAAATACAATTTTGTTTTTCTAAAAATCTATTTCGTATATATACTGACACAGACAAATATTTTGTTTATTGAAGAATCGATAATCGTCGACCAATGAAACGCCACCATGGTTCAAGACGAGCAAACAATTATAGCAATATGATCACGATACTCTCCATCAAACAACCACCCTTAGTACGGATAATATATATATATATATATATATATATATATATATATATATATATATATATTGTAGATTCGGGACGGATTTCCGGACCCCGCCTAATAATCGAACCTAATAGCACAGCTATCCTCGCACTGAATTTCGCCGCGATATGTGATTCGTTATGATGAAATTCTTGTCGCTGATTGGCTAAACGATTCTATCTAAGTTTCATGTCCTTTTGCGGATTGATTTTAATTCTGTAGAAATCTTCAATTTAAATATTCAGATTGGAAAGCCAATCAAATATCACAGTAGAGAACGGTACATAATTGCGAAATTGAAGGACATCCACAATATATATATATATATGAATCGTACTATAAACGCCTGGCGCAGCTCGTCCATGTCGATGGTGCCCGATCCATTGGCGTCGATAGATCGGAAGACTGCGTGGAAGAGTCCGCCGCCGCTCAGTTCCGCCTCGTCGATGGTCCCGCTCTTGTCGGTATCGATCTTGTCAAACAAAATCTCTACCACAATATTAATATATATATATCAATAATAAGGCTAGTATTCTCTACCATATATATACTAGATATATATATACTAGATATATATATCACATCTACAACCAACCGTAATATATTCACAATCAACATCCATCCATCCATCCATCCATCGCAATCACGCTATATACATTCCGTTGTTTAGTATCGAATACCATCGTTTCCACTGACATGGTGTAATATACATGTTTATACATATATATATATATTCCAACAATAACGCAGACATCCCCGATATATATATGTATATACTCGATATAAGTACTAGTATATATTTCCCACAACACTGATATCCTCGATATAAGTATATATATATATAATACATACACCAATGTCATTGAAGACGTAGGAAATGCAGTTATTTAGACACCACAAGCATTTTCATATACACGGGGACACGAAATATGTACACATGTATATTATATATATATATATTGCGTGTAGACTCGATGTTGTGTAGGGAAAGTTGCAAACCTGTTTGTTCCATCGTGGGTTGAAACCCTAGTTCCACGAGCACTCCGTGGAGCTCGGCAAGCGTAATCACCCCCGCGTCGTTAGTGTCGATGTCGTGGAAGGTCAGATCGAGCAGCGTCTTAGCCCCCTTGGCGGGCACCGGGCGAGTGGCTTCTTTCCGCACCAATTTGATCGATTGCGTGAGCTTCTTGGGTGCGTCTCGCGATGGTTTCGCGTCCAGTTTGGCAAAGAAGCACCCTTTTTTCAGCGTCGCGAGGCGCAGTAGCTCGGTGGCGATCATATTGTCGTACGGGTCGGCGCAGTCGAGCATGTAGTCGCCGCCGGGTTCCATCGGATCGAACACTTTGGCCTGGGACCGCTCGTTCAAGTTGCACCCCTTCATGCTCACTGTGCACCCGTCTACGTCAGGCATACCCAGAATCAGACGGAGACGGGGGGCGTGCATGTCGCAATAGAATCAGACACTGGTCAAATGGCGATGATTACGTCTGATCCGAATGCGAGATCGTTCAAGCGGTCGAATCAGAATCAGACTATTATATCATTTATGGTCCGAATCGAATCACACCGCCTCCAGCATGTCCACAAGTCACAATACCACCAGGAACGTCGTAGCTAGTACAACATACGCCCCTTGTGTTGTCGTAGTAATACTAGTAATCGTTAAACTACTAGGTGCCAATAAAGAACACAAAGATAGTACGATGAATAGTGGTAGTCATCCTGTGAATAGTTGTCATAGGCATAATACTAGCAGTCATAGTAATACTACTACTACTACATACTACTACTAGCAGTAGTCGTCATCCTAGTACTCGTTGAAATACAAATGGAAAACACAAACACACACCAAGCCTAGCCCATGTCACAGACGACGTACGTACTCGGCGTCCGGTTGTGCACCATCGCATACATGAGCACCTTTCCGCCTGGCTGGCCAATGTTGTTTCCATCCAAAACGAGGGTGCTGATCGTGTGGCTGCGCGCGACGGTGGACGCGAGCACGGACGCGCCTTTGGTCCCGATGTTATTGTATGACATGTCCAGCAGTCGCAAGGTCTTGTTGATGCACAGCGACTGTCCGAACGCCATCGCACCAGCATCGCCGAGTGCGTTGTACGCCAAATTCAGCTCATACAGGTTGTAATTGAGTTTGAGCGAGTTGGCCAACGTCACGCCGCTGCCACGTTATCTCTCTCGTCAGTGATGTATTTTGATAGGATACTAGTAGGACTAGGACTAGTACTACTAGAACTACTAGATAAAACTGAGATACGAGGGTTGTGTATCTACCTGGCCAAGCGCAGGAGATTCCACGACACGTCGAGTTGCGTGAGGGTCAAGTTGACGTTGAGCATGCCGCCAATGGCTTCGCCCCCCGTGACAAAATCGGGTTGCACAACGTTCAAATTCTCGGCTTCGCCAATGCGATTCCGGCTCATTTTCAGCTGAATCACTGATTTGTTGGCTACCGTTGGCGAAAAATATGTAAGGTCGTGACGACTATCGTACGGCATCGCGACGAGGATTGGGGGGGGGGGTATTTATACACTGGTAGTGTAGGGTAGTGTAGTGACATCATATGATTATACCTTCAAACGCCACCATGAAGGCAGCACATTCCGAGTCGTCAATGTCGGCTTTGCACACCCCGAGGTGGGTTAGCGTGCACATGGCGGACCCGATGTACGCCTTGAGGGTCTTGGCACTTCGAGGCCCCACTTGGTTCATGGAAATATCAAGTTTGGTCAGGTTCGGTTTGGTTTCCAGCGCCTGGAGCAGCTGGTTGAGCGCGCGGTCGGTCAGCCGGTTGTCGCACACGTTGATTGCTTCGACAAACGGCACGTCACGCAGCGCTACACAGTGTCACACACACACATTTCAGCGTGGCAACCCATCCGCAGGAGCATTCCATATATAAAAAATGTGTCTTATCATATTGTCAATTTCCTCAAATATCCCAATTCTGCCCTGTTTACTGAACCAACCCCGCTGCAATCTCGCCGCGACATTTAATTGGCTACCAAATAATCCGCACACAGGACATGAAAAATAGATAGAATATTATTTTAGCCAATCAGCGACAAGAAATATCCGATAAACCAATCATATGTCGCGGCGAGGTTCAGTGCGAGGTGAGATTCGATTGGCAGAAATTCGTACACCGAATCTACCATTCAATTGTGCCCTATGCCACACAGTAGATGCATTCTGTTTGTTGTTTTTTGTCATATGTATTGAGCCAACGAACCAACCAAGAGACGACGGACGTACCCCTGGCAAACTCGACGAGAAACGTGTCCCCGAGGCTCTGGTAAGAAAAATCAAACGCGGTCGTGCCGTGTTTGCGGATGAGGATCGGAAGTGCCATGGGCAGCTCCCCCGTGTTGGACAGACACGCGCTGAGGAACATGGTGCGCGGACTCATCTTGACGTCGTTGTCCCCGCCGGTGGTTCGGCGCCGGGGCGAAGTTGGGGGGTGATGCTTGGTCATGACGGCGGGGGGCGGCTGGTACTCGAACAGGCTGGACACAGGAGTGTCGGTCTGTCTTGAATTCGGAGTGATGGGCCCACCCTCGTCAACGGCACTGTGCTCATGGCTGCCTCGGGGGGATTTTGAGGGAGATGTGAGTTGTGGGGGCGATGCTTCACTGTGCTGCGACGGAGTTCGTAACGTCAGAGCGAGGGGCGCGTGGGGCACGGCCATAAAGCAATGCGGTTTCGCGTGGAGGCCAGCATACCTACGCGTGCAACCGTGTCACATGCAGAACTCATATACGGTGCACTTGTCAACTTAGTAGTGATTTCCCAAACATGACCAAACGTGATGAAGGGTAGTTAGTATGGGATGGGTCTTCGTCATATGTAGCACATCGAGGAATTGGATTTCGTGTCGTGATATAATCGATCTTGCGTCGACTTACTTGGCAAAGAATTTGCCCCGCGCGGCGACCCCAAAGTACGCTTCCTTCATCTGCTGGGCGACGTCAGCGTCCTCGTCGGGCTCTTCGTCGGACGAGCTGTGGCCGCCGTCGCTCGCGAGGGCCTTCTTGACGTCCCGCATGCGGCGTTCCGGCACGGACGGGGACGTGACTTCGCGGCTGCTGTCGGAGGACGGATCATCCACCTCGGTTTCCGCCTACAACAAAGATAACACCGACATACAACGATTGTGTTTTCAGGGCACGGAAGGGAATTCATCGATTCGCGTTGTAACCGCATTCACACTTGAATGTGGCTCTGGTTCGAAGGTAGACATGTAAACAGTATGATGCATGGCATTATTCACACATCAACGAAGCGAAGGCTACATAGGAAGCTACCCAGAGGAAAACGACACGGAAAACGTACATAGGTGGGATCGGGGGAGGTAAAGACATAAGCATGGGCGAGTTGGGGCGTGTACTTGGACATGAGGCCGTCCCGAACTCCAGACCGGGCGTCGGTCGAGATTTTGAACTTTGTAAGCAGCGCGTCGATCTCGTCTTCTTTCTCGGCCGACGACACCCCCCCCAACCGGCTGCAAGCACAGCGACGTGCGTTAGCAAGGGCGTGAGCAACGCCTCCTTCGCACGAATGTATGGGAGTGGAGGAGACAAACCGTTTGGATGGAGATATATAGCCGCCATGACTCGGATAATCGTTGGCCTCAGGCGGCGAAGATGCGGGCAACATGGAAGGCAGGACGCTCTTGAGGGGGCTCGGATGATGAGGCTGTGGGTGTCCTCGCTTCGAAGGCGAACGCGACGGAGTCTTGGGGGCAGAGGATGTCGGCTCCAACAAGTCCGACTCCCAACTCACGCGACCCCGCCACTTGATTTCAGGAGTGCTTCTTCGGTCGGGGGACGACTGTTGTTTGACGGGGGACGTGGCCGGCGTGGTGATCGCATGACGAGACGACGGCTTGGTCAGTACCGCTTGCAGTCGCGGCTTGAACGAGATGAGCAAAAGTCGATGGTTTCACTCTGAAGGGTTTGGTGTACCTCGTCGTGTTCAGGGAAAAGCGACACCACCGCCGTGTGCTGGGTGTTCTTGCCGCCATGGGGATATTCGAGCGACGGCGGGGGGGTTTCAGGGGAGGCGGCATTGCTGTGGAAAGCAGTCGTCACGCCAGGAATGTCCATGTCCTGACTTGAATTTCTACAAGTAAACGATGACAACTTGATCATGAGGGATAATAAATAGATCACGTACTTGTACCACGGCATCTTGGACTGCAGCGTGGCCAACTTCTTGTCGTAAACGCCCTGCAAATGCTTGGATGACGAAGTCGATCCTTTCCCGTCCTCCTCGGGCGCGGATGGGGACTCCATCGACTTGGCTGACGTTGGCCCTACAGTAGCGGTTTCGAGCGGTTACACTGAATTGTGGATTTATGACCAACACACACCTTGCGTTATACGTACTCCATTACGAGCAGCTGAGCAGCATCGTACGTTACCTTTTATCTACAGTAGCGGTAACTAGTGTATGAGCTGTCCATCATCGGAGTAATCGAGGTAACGTTAGCTACCAGTATGCAATACACCTTCGTTCATACTAGGGTACCAAAATACCACTACTACGTAGTACTAGTACTACTTACTATACTACTATTATAGTAATAGTAATGACGCAATACTGTTAATATGACTGTACTAGTATTAGTAAGTGCTGTAACGTCGAAAAAGTACAAATATCATGAGCCAATCAAAATCGATTTATTTCTTATTTTTTCATGATTTAGAAAAAGACGTCGATTTTCTCCAAATTTCCAATCGAGACATCTGATTGGCTAATATCCACATCACCTTTTCCGGTAGAAATTCAAAATGATATTGTAGCCAATCCGCGACAAGTAATTCGGATTGACCAATGGGAGAGATTGGTGTGCGGTTCGGTCGGTGAGATTCGATTCAACAGGGTCCGGAAATACTTACCAGACGCACGAATGTCCAATAATACATATTTGATTCGAAACTTGCTCCTGTTAGAAGGATTAACGAACCGCCTGAGCCAATCAAATCATGTCATGTCGAATTTCTGCCACCCCTCCGAATTGGGCAAAACCATATATATACTAATCGTTGTAAAGTATAGTGTGTACAAGCTTAAATAGGATCAAATAGATTCGAAAGCTATGGGAAAAAGTTGCAAAATGGTAAAATCGACGCCCCATTCCACTTCCCATATATGCATTCACTGTTATTGTCAAGTTGATTCGAACACCACATCTGCAGACAATCGATCGACCAATCAAAACCCAGATCACGAATCAAGTAGACAATTCAATCCACTCTTCAACGTCGAATTAGAGTGTGACTTAAATTAGTGTGACACTCGAGGATTTTTCATAACGTTACAAAAGTCAGTGCAAAGAATCGATTGATAGATTTGGCGAATCAGCATCAAAAGTCCAAATTTTGGGTAAACTAAACCACGACTTGAGAAACGTACTGTAATAGGGAGGTTATACAGTGTAGGAGGTTTTGAAATCCTTCTTTTTCATTTATATCTAAATTAGATTCTTCCAGCCGTTCCGGATATGAATAGACAATTTCGACCAATCATGAACATGCACCCTCTTTTGGCATGAAGTAGTTTCTGGCGCCCCAGTCACTCGAAATCGAATGCGTGGCCACCAAGTGTTCCGAGCGCTCCGCGCTGCCGCCCCTGTGCGATTTGCGGGGGTCAAGACGTCTGTCCCTCGTGCCTTTGCTGCCGCGCAGCAAGTGGCTGGGTATGCCACCATCTACGACCTCAAGACCCCCTTTGAGGTGCTTGTCCATTAGGCTTCTTTGTCTGATCCTTCATGTTTAGGACACGAACCGTCATCGTAGTGACGCTGAACTTCGCATTGCCCAAGTGCCGGTGGTGGAAGTCGATTCAGACGTGGCTGTGTGCGACGGCGGTGGAGGCGCCTTGGGCCACCCAGTGGAGTACATTGCGTTGAACATCGTGTCGGACAAGCCTCAAACGTGCAAGTACTGCGGCCTTCGCTACAAGCAGAAGCACCACCATCATTAAGCTAAGATGGAGACTCGTCCTATCGTTCTCCTTAACATCAGGCTGTCTACACGTTTCTCTCATATTGCGCCCTCTTGCGCTTGTTGTTCCTGCTGACTGTGCTAGGTTCGCTTAACGCTTGCACAATTGCAGCTTCGACGGGTGAGTGCTTCCTCGTGGAGGAATTTTCCCCATCCTTGTCTTCCCCGTCTTGTCCTGCATGGGATAACTGCATCGGTTCCTTCAATCCAACGTTGGGATTGCACATAAAGCGCACCGTCGCGCCACAGTTCTTGCTCCTGGCGTGGATGAGGAACGGATGCGTCAGCATCACATCGCCGGCACGTCCTTGCACTTCGACCCACGACTGCTTGTGCTGGTTGACCCACCCTTTCGCGGCTGCGCTCACTTGACCGCCTTCACGACTTGTCATGTTTGGGATTTTGGGGATATTTCCTCGGGAGGTTTCGTGCGTACCTTTAAGTCCATGTGGCTTTGCAGCGGCGAGAATATGCGCCACATGCTTGTGCGATCCTGGGGCCAATGCCTGGAATATTGGTTAATGGGGATTTTTCCTTGCGAAGATTCGACGTTGGTGTTGGCTTACAGTGCCGCCGTCCCCAGGCGCAATATCCGAGAAGAGGAAGATGGGAAGCAAGCCCGATTCCTTGCTGTCGATGTGATGGATGTACCGCGCGCCGTCAACATGCCAGTGACCTGCCGGTCCCCACGGCAACATGGCATGTCCTGGGAATGTCAGCACCCACCTTTGTTGCATGAACTTAAGGTTCGAAGATGTTTGGAGCGAGAATGTTACCATCCACAAGTCAGGTCGGAGGGGATCCATCTGTCTTCGCCGCAGACCTGATCCATGGCGCGCTTTAACCGCGGAGTCAAGACTTCGGTCCATGGAGATCCGGTCTTGTCGTCGTACGATTCTACGCGAAGTGTCAATGGTAAAAGAACTGTGTACATCGAACCTGCCTGTGTATACCTGAGATCCAATGCTTTTCGGGCCACGTTGCGCAATCGTGTTGCTTGACCCCATCTTGCTCGATGCGATTCCAGAGAAAATCCCTGCATGCGGCGGCGGTGTCGACTGGGAACGCATTTCGGAGCAACACGTAGCCATGTTCGATAAAGTGCGCGACCTCTTCCTCCGACAGACCAATCTCTTCGTCCTCTGTGTCTTGGCTGTCGTCCTTGTCCTTGGACTCGTTGCCGTCAATGATGTCTTGAACGCAGGTTGATCCCATGTCTTGATTGAAATGATGATCAAATGCCACAGACCGACCAATCACAAGTGTCAATTCGTTTTAGCAACCATTATTATATTGCATACAAATTACAAGTCTGGGTGGCTAAAATCTAGGAATTGATTCCTAGGCTTACTAAACTCTGATAATATTTATGCATGGCACGCATATATTATTGGTATTCATGAAGCCTGGAAGTTCATACTACCAAGTAACATTCTGCATTCGTCAACGGAATATAAGCCTAACGTACTACGTAACGTTACTGTAGTACGAAGTACTATAATACTTCCTTTGTTTCGTATTACTGCCACCATTTGCCTTCGGAAGGGCACAAATTCATATTTTGCCCAAATTTGATGCGACCAAGCCTCGAAATTCGACCATGAAATGGTACTCCGTATACTAGTATATCGAGCGCACATGCGAAAATGAAATCTACCTTGTCAAAACTCAAGTTGTTTAAACGTTGTCAGAATAAAAATTCGAAATGTGTATAAAAGTAGGGGACCTGAACAGTAGTACTCAATAAAAATATTCGAAGTTCATCGAACTTCGTTTGTCCGGATGCTGTCTGGATATTAAATTTCTACATGATTAACAGTTAGTATTGGAAAATGGTGGTAGTAATACGAAAAAAGTGCCACTTCGAAGTGGTGGCAGTAATACGAAACCGAGGAAGTACTTGGGAAGATAGGTACAGTAGTGTGTGCAGTACAGTAGTAGAATACAGTACGGCAAAGCACTCGATATGAAAATCAGTACTACTAAAATATTAATAGTAGTAGGAGTATTCTTGATAAAAATTGGTGCAGTGCTTCGAAGCATGCTGCGTTTTCATTCGTCAAATCCTCGAAGATTCCACCAATCAACAATGACTGTTACGGTTCAGAATCCCCAAAATCTTCCCATCCGTCATTCGTCCCTTTCCTACGTCGAACGATGGCGGTGGACGGCGTTACCGTATTCAAGCTTGTGTCTCTATTGAGCATATGGATCGTGGGGTTTGGGGGTGGCATCCTGCCCTTTTTCATCCGCCAGCAGAATCGGAAGCTTATGAGTCGACTGAACTGCGTGAGCGGCGGCGTGTTCCTTGCCGGCGGGTTCATGCATTTGCTGCACGCGGCGATGGAGAACCCAGGGTTGGCCAAGTGGTCCACGGTGGACGAAGGCATCTACGCATTTCCATATGCAGAAATGTTCTGCACCATCGGCTTTCTTGGCGTGTTGGTGGTCGAGCAGGTCGCGCATTCGTTCCAATCGGCCGCGTCGTCGCCTACGGGCAGCTCGTCAACGTCCCACCACCATCCTCATGAACCCCATCAATCGGAAGATGACCACAGCATCGACAGCGCCCCCTTCTTGGAACAAGTAGAAGGCGCCACGTTGCCACCAAAGAAGCGCAAGAAGTCGCACGACGACGACGATCACCTTGCCTTTGACAAGTACTCCATCCCAGTATCTACTTTGAGGGATTCTCATATGCGCTTCCAGGAACGCATCTGGAGCGGTCGCGTTCGTTCTGTTTGTCGCGCTTTCTTTCCATTCGGTGCTGGAAGGACTCGGCATTGGCGCGCAATCCACATCTGCGTGGGGCGTGTTCTTGGCGATCATCCTCCACAAGGGATTGGCGGCATTCGCCCTCGGCAGCGGCATGCTCAAGAGTCAGGTGCACAAGGGCAAGTTCATCGCGTACATGTTCCTCTTCTCCATGATGAGCATCCTTGGGATTGTCGTCGGATGGTGCATCGCCGAGTCTGAATCGTCCGAAGAGGTAGTTGCCGCCCCCTACCAGATTCGTTCGGTTCTTTTAATACGTACTAGTTCTTTTAATCCGCATTCTTCATTCCGTTCTTATTGTCTTTTTGTTCTTTTAATCCCCAACAAAAAGCGTTTTTTGTATCATGCTTGGTTCGAAACGTTCTTTTTTTTTTGTTCTTTTTTGTGTCTGGCTTCCACTGGACCGTTGCAGTATCGTCATTTTCCATATTTGTGTCATGTTGTGTAGTCGGCGGCGGCGGGTATCTGCCTCGCGCTCGCGTCCGGCACGTTCATCTACGTGGCGGTGATGGAGATCATTCCGTTGGAGTTTGGCCATGGCCGGAGCGACCCGACCAAGACGCTGCTGCTCTTGTTTGGGTATGCCGTGTTCGGGTGTCTCGCGAAATGGTCATAACATATGTGTTAACACACCCTACACACTTCTCCACCACTGCACTACGTTCTACTACACGTCGCCACATCCACACATGCGTAACAACTTGATGTCGGAGGGAGGGGTCGTCTATGGGTTGTCTAAGTGCAGCGCCTGCACCGAGTGCTCTAGTCCTAACTCGTCGCTGCCGCCGGCCGAGTCCATGTGGTCGAGGTAGTCGTCGCCGAGTCCACGGTGGTGCACCCGCTTGTGCTGCACCTTCAGTCGCTTGGACCCAATCTGGAACCCGTTCATGCTCGCGATCGCCGCGTCCGCCGCCTGCGCCGAGTCGTAGCTCACAAACCCTACAAACAGTATTAGAGAGAGAGATAGTAGTCCTTTGCTAGTAATACTAGACGTACCAAAGCCCTTGCTCTCGCCCGTGTTCTTGTCCATGTACACTTTGGCACTGATGACAGTGCCGAACGGCGCAAATGCGGTCGCCAGGTCGGCGTCTGTCAAGTCATGGGGCAAATGGTAAATGAACAAGTTGGCCCCCACCGGGCCTTCCACTTGCGCCGACGCGCGTGCCCCGTCTAGATGACGACGAATCAGACTCAGAATCGAATCAGAACACATAATCGATTGGAATCAGAAGCACATGTACCAGCCGACGCTGGCGAATCCAATGGAAAGCCCCCACCGATGGGGACAGTGGGGAACGATTGAGGGGGGTACCCTCCCCCTCCGGGCGGCGGCATCGCGTACGGATTGTAGTACATAAATGCCGCAGGATTCGTGGTTGTCAGGGGCGGCTGGGGCGGCGTGGGCAGACCACCTAAGAAGAAACCATGTCACAAGGTTCAAGCCGCCGCAAATATAAAGAATCCCACGGACAGAGTTGTTGTACCGAGGGCAACGGCTTGGGCCCCAAACGCTTGCATTTGCTGCATGTATTGCTGTTGGATTTGCTGCAGTTGCGGGAAGGGAATGGCGGCGCCGGGGGGCATCTGCCAATATGCAGCCGCGGACGTCGCCGCCTGGTTGCGCGCGCGTTGGATGCGTTGGCGGCGGCTGTCGGCAAACTTCACGACAAGGGGTGCGGTCCCTCGATCCTAATGGGTATCGGGTGAGGAAACGCGCCGTGCACAGGTGGGGAACGACCTACCATCGTGATGGCACCGTTGATGGTGTCGATGGCAGCAGACGCGGCATGGCGGTCCTTGAACTTGAGAAAGGCGCATCCTTTGCTTTGACCAGTTCCTGGGTGTCGCAAGATGTAAATCTCTTCGATTTCGCCGTGTACGTCAAACACGCCGCGGATGTCTGCTTCGTCTGCGTGCTTGGGGATCATGCCGATAAACAGCTTGTGCTCTTGGGACGCTAGGCAAGATGGTTTAGGATGCACACGGAATGATCAAATGATCGACTAAAGTACACGACGTACCACCCGCTTGACCCTCAGCAGGACGCACTTGCAACGGGTTCGGGGACATGGGCAGCGTTACTTGGTTGTGGAGGGTGTCGATCGCGGCCTCGGCGGCGTCGCGGGTACAATACGTCACGAATGCACATCCACGGTGCGCGCCACTGATTTTGTCCCGGATGATCACAATGTCGTACAACGGACCAAAGTTTTCCAGGATGGGCCGCAGCTCGTCTTCGTCCATGGTGCGCGGTACTTGTCCCACAAACAACTTGACTGCATCCTGGGGCTGCTGTGCATGTCCGTGGTGACCTGCGTAATCTTCCACGTCTTGATCGTCGTATTCGTATCCACCTTGCGCAGAAGCGGGAACGGCAGGCGGATACGGAGCAGCGTCGGTCATCTCGGCAGCGACGTCTGGGATTCGGCTCACGAAATGAGGGGGAGGGAATGACTACTAGAGGTCCTCGTGAGAAATAATAACCCGTTGAAATCAATATGCAAACTTTACCACCAAGATCGTCGTCAAAGCGACACAATGTACCGGTATGGAATATCACAGGTTTAATGTACGGAGTGTCGTACATTAGGGTTTCAAAACGGTTACTATGTATCTGGCGCAATCACGACCATGACCGACGCGATGGCAGCCAAGGTAGGCCATAGCTCTGATGATGCGCTTTGCACATGAGCTTCGTTCCAGGCGCGCCAAGACGGCAAAGCAGCCGGCAGTCCCAGCTCCCGACAGTACAGTACGGGCAAGCCGTCGTTGGTTGGTCTTCGGCAGGACAGTCCCATCTCATCACCGCCTCGAGCCTTCGCCATACAAGGCAGTGTCAACCAAGCTAGCGGAACACATCCCATCAGCAGTGGCAATGTGAATGGTATCGTCGCGTCTCCTACGAAGATAGCGGGTACCAGTCCCTCCCGTCCTCCTATCATGTAACGTACCACAACATACATGATCATCAATGACCTTACCATCATCGTCATATCACCCGAAACTCACTCATACCCGACGTCCAGTCACTTTCCCATCGACATTGGACCCACTCCCACCACCCCCTTGTCGAAGCGCAGAAGCAGAATCCGTCCTCGCAAGTCGGCAGCCCCAGAGCCCCCCCTCCTCCATCCCATCTCGGTACGCTCGTTATCGGTCTCCTTCATGATCACACTTCGTCGTAGGTCGTCCAGCTATCGCCATCGCTCTCAAATGCCCTGCCGTCGTTCGGCTTGCTGTCGCTCGACGACTGGCTTGCCACGTACGAGCACGACGCGATGCAGTTTGAATCGTTGGGGGCGTTTGCCGAAATCAAGCTGCAAGAAGCGCTTCGGCTTTGTTCCAAGTTTCCGCACCCCATGAATCGATTCCGCGCCGCGGTAATATATAGAAACGACGTTTTGCCCTTTTACAACTATATATATATAGTTGAAATATATATAAATATATAGTTGATATATATAAATATATAGAGTTGATATATATATATAGTTGATATATATATATATATAGTTGAAATATATATATAGTTAAAATATATATATATATATATAGTTGAAATATATATATATGTAGTTGAAATATATATAAATATATAGTTGAAATATACATATATATTTGCATCCTATGCTTAGGTCGTATGCAACTTGCTCGAGCGCGTGGCGTTTGCCCTAGCAACGTCCGACACGTTCAAACGATACCAGTGGAGCATCTTTGCCCTCCGCGACGAGTTGCTGCGCATGATCTTGTCGGACCTCGCCGACGACGACGTCGTAGCGTCGAAGGACACGCACACGCCCCGCGCCATCAGCTTTTTTATCCAGAAAATGCCTTATTTTATTGAACTCCGCCTTGAAAATGACAAGGTAGGACAAGATTTATATATATATATATATATATATATATATATATTGGCCCCTCTACTCTTGGTGCGTTTGCATTTTGCTCAACAAATAAATTCCGTGCACCTTGAATGTCGTGTGCAGTATTATTCTAATTTCGCTATTAACCAGAAGAACCATTGTTTTTATTCATATTGAATCACGCTGGAAGTTCTGATTGATTGAATATACTTGTCCTTTCTGTAAGAGCCAATCAGATCCACTCAAAATTCGATTAGCCAATAGCGTGTGATTCGATTTGTCACGGCGGCGTGATGGGGTCTAGAAATTCGCTCCGAATCCTCCCACAATATCTCTATTATCCTACACTACCCCTGAATTCGTGATATTTGTCGTATATCCCTACATTCTGACTTTGTTCATTCGACTCGCTACTGCTCCCAGCACCTTTAATCGCTGCAAACTATCCACTGGACACTGTATCGAAGCCACCTACACACTTTATATTCATCCTTTATCACATTTTCATTGTCGTGTGTGATATATACACTGTATGATATGAGTACCGTGGTAGCTGGCGATTCCATATCATTTGACAACATATATATATATATATTTGTAGAAAGACCAAGATTTCAACAAACATCAAGCAGTGCTGCAAAAGCTGATCCAGTCTATGTTCAAAAGTATCGGGAGCGTGTTCCAGGCGTGGAAAATGTTTGCCAAAACCAAGCGCGAGGACCGATTGAGCAAAAAAGCAGCCAAAATCACGAGCACGATCCTCGCCAAGCGCGGGCAGGGCCGCCTCGCGTTCCTCTCGTGGGCGCGGTACTGTCTGCAAACGCGCGTGAAAAAGCTGCGCTTCAAAGGTTCGGATGTACTAGTAGTAATACTAGTGCTACTAGTAGTAGTCGTTCGCGTTGCATGAGCCAGGGTGTATGTAGAAGTGCAAGTGGAACGAGAGCATATGCTCCGGATGGGCGACCTGAAGAAGCAATTGAGTCAGTCCAACGACGCGATTGCGCATTTGAAAGCGGAAGTACACGTGTTGCGGGTACCACCCAACGACTGCAATTATATATATAATTCACGATGGATGATGTGTGTGGCGTAGACGGCCCAAAACAAGGAAACAGGGGACCAAGTGATTTTGGAAGAAATGCAAGACGACGAAGGGGACGACGACATTGATAGCACCACGACGAGGCTCAACATGTCCTCCAGCAACTCGTCGTCGTTTCGGCGATGACTGACACACACCTGGCATGCCTGATGTAGCCACGGTAGTATAGTTCTATAAGACCGTGGATCCACGCGTGATTCCATAGAGACTGCCGTATCAACAGCTATCTAACTGTGTAGTCCAACATATATGACGTGGGATTACCATCCAAGTGCCAGTGAGGTTGTTGTGTTTAGTAATTGTGGGAATCACACGATCGTCCGAATTTACGAACGCCTGGAACGGATATAAGCATTGCAGTACCCAATCATCAACCTCGGATTTGTGGCTAACGTTAAGGAGCAACATATGACGCCCCATGAAATAGATATGATCAATTATGAATTAATTCCCTTGGCTACTGGTACTGTATGGGGGAATCCTTGCGCGATTAGCCCTAATCTCACACGTCTGAAGTGGATTGGTCCATTCATTTGTCCATACCTCCATATATGACTGCTATCCTGCCTCGAGTAGTTTTGATACTAGTATGCAGTAGCTATGTATTAATTCTTACAGCCTTACTGTTAATACTCATGTTACTTTAAATATAAGTACTATTAATACTCCTTCGTTTATTAATAGTAGGACTCGTGAGTACTATTAATAGGTGTACATGTGACACTGTGAGTTCTGAAATAGCAATATCTCACCATCACCACCTGTTATCTTGTCGCTGCTCGTCGTCCATACAATTCGCCGCAGCAATACTACTTCAGATTCGTCATACAGCTTCTCTCCAGCGCATGACTTCCGAGCCAGGTCTCATACACCGATACATGATCGCGCCGAGCTGTAGCGTAGCCAACACCTGTCCATTGATCTCTTCTTATGTAGTCGGAGGTCATCACCCATGACGTAGCCAACACCTGTCCATTGATCTCTTCTTATGTAGTCGGAGGTCATCACCCATACGCCACCAGCACCACTAGCCCAAACAAGTAGCGCACCGGACGGAGAACTTTTAGATCTTCCTATACGTGATAAAGAACACGGTCACGAGAGCCTGACCAAGGGCGTCGCGACCGGACTTTCCGATCAACAACAACGACGCTGTTAACCCCGCTAGTAATACTAAATAATCGGAGATAGCCAGAGACTTGAGCGCCACCTGCACCATCCTGGACAACGTGAACAGCAAAGTGCATTGGGCGACCCAACGGCCACAACCCGCATGTCGTGCGTCGACGACCCCGATGATCCAGCATGTGATGTCTCGTTATCACGACGGGGGTTCATGTACATGATCATATAAATACCAGTAACTGTGACAAGGTGGAAATAAGCGAATATAGTACAGTTATTACAGGCATGGGGTTCATGTATATTTGTGACAATGCGCGATTGTTTTACGATATTTTAATCTGACTTGGCATTTGTAAGCCATAGCCAATGTGATAATGTTTGATTGTGAATTGCGGCAACAGTCCTTTATAACATGCCCCCCATGCAAACCGTGGCCATCACACTATAGACACAGCGCCATGGGACCTGCGATGACGAGAACCCTTTGTGGGGGCCATTGGCACATACGTGCAAGGCTGTCATATCGTCGTCGGTCGGCTTGGGTCGTGACGTCCTCCCACAACGCCATCGTCGCCGGAAACCAACCAGTGACAGCACACCGTCCAAGTTGCTACCTCGTTGAGTTTGGGGCGTTGCATCTTGCATGGGGCATGCAATGCTCAAAATGGCAGCCAATATATATATATTTCGCGGCCAATGAAGTCAAGGATATATATATATTTCTATTTCGCGGCCAATGAAGTCAAGGAATGGATGCGAGGGGTACTGTAGTACTGTATTGTCATGTCGACACCAAGGAGGAGTGAGGTGGCCTGACGTGGACGACTGCTATAAAATCGTCCGAATTTACCAACACAGATGACGACCGACGACGGCATAGTAACTTGACGTTATGACGTTATCGATTGCAGTATGTACAGAGAGATCGTACCAAATACAGTACATGTACGTGGTCCATGGGTAATGTGGTTAAATGTATATATATATATAACAACAGCGGGGGGGCTACTCCTGTACTTCTGCAAACAAACGTTTACTCCATGTCCTCCTCGACGCCGCCTTCGTCCATATTCACGGCGCTTTCCGTCATGTTTCCTGCGTCATGCAGTTGCATCGGCGACGGACTCATGTGGTGCATCGTGCGTCGAATCACATCCAGAAACGTAGCCGATGTTGATGACGTGCGCGCCGCTGCTTCGGGAAACGACGAGTGTCTGTCGACGAGGTCGTTGCTTCCGACATTGCTGGGCACCTCCTCCAGCAGCGGCGGTGACGTCTCCACGGCCACGCCCCCCCCTCCAAAGAAGGGGGGCGGCAGCGGACTAGATGATGTCATGCGGGGTCGGGACAGCCGTTCCGACAGCTCACGCCACCGTTGCATCCCATCCGCGTCTATATTCGATCGGTTGAAACTATGTACATACTTGTATCGAGGGAAGAAAAAGAAGGTTCTTGTATCGAGACACAAATAATGTATGGACACTGACCATTTGAGCCGAACGAGGCCGTGGAAGTCGGCGCGAGGATCGCGTGGATGTGCACGTCGATGCTGCGACGCCCCATGGACGGCGGCGGCGCGGTCGTCAGAGGACTCGGCACCGTCTACACTCGACAGAATAGGGTCATAATTCGATCGACCAATCAAAACCCACAACACGAATCAAGTGGCCAATCAAATTCTCGCTAACGACCCGATCCCCATCGGAGTATGTGACACTGCACAGGGGAATGTAGTGATCGATGGAGTTATAGCGAATCACACCACCACATCACACAAATCCACATTTTGACTGCAAGGACAAGCATACACCACCAAAATCATGTCAACATTTTTGAATATATATTGGAATCCATTTGAATCTAACGGGTTCGACAGAGTTTATATATATATCTATATATATCGATTTTGACGAACAATCAGCTCACGGAACGTAGGTATATCCGAGGTAGCAGATCCGCCACGCGTCAGATTCCAGGCAGAGTCGCGTGGTTCTCGAGCTACGAAACAAAGTAAATATATCCGTCAGATACTTCACAAAGACGCCCCACACGACAATTCAATCCGGACAGAGACGGGAGTTGTACATACCTGTCGCGAGGGATTGGACGGCAGGCGCCGCGTCCGCCAACAGCCGCCCCACGCGGTCGAAGAGCGGGGCCACGGTCGCCACAAGCTCGCGAATTTGAGGTGCCTGGGACCCCATATCATCTACTAGGACACGCTATCAATCATCCGGATACCATTGAAACTCCAAATAAATAATGAAGTAAAAACACACAAAAATAAATATCTTATGTCAAATAATATTCTGACAGAGCTTCGGAGGTGAGAAAATATTATCAAAATATTTTGATGTGACTTTTGGATGCCATGGAGGAATGGAATTTCAAGTAGGTAAATTTTGAAAACAGTAGAAAATTGACGTAATATGTCCATATATATATGTCAGATTTGGTAGCCAAACACACAAAAGCTGTCGTTTGAAAAATTGTCAAAATATTTAAAAATAGAAAAAATAGCTGTTTAGAAGTGGCCCTAAAACAATAAAAATGTATGAAACCATTGAAACTCGAATCAAGAAGATGAAATATAAAAATACACACACAAAAATATAAAATGAAGATCAGAGCACATAACTTTATACAAATATTATATATTTATACATACAGTATGTGTTGTTTTGTACTGTACGGTGGTGAGTATAGTTGATACAGTCCATACTATTATATCGAAAGAGAGCGATAGATAACACATACAGTAGGATTGTGTTCACCCATCCCCCAAATCAATTGTCATATTGCTTCGACATATGAATGAGAAGCATACCGTCGCTATCGCCAGTGTCGACGGACGCCGCTTCGGACTCGACGGCGGCTGCTAAAGCATCCACAAACGGCAGCATCTCATGCAGCACGGACCGCATTTGCGGCAGCAGCGCACGGATCGTCGTGGGTGTGTCGGCGGAAGCAGGCATAACTTGCTGGGGATTACTCTATACCGATATATATCTGTAAATATAAATATCGTTTTTTCATATTCCACCGACCCGATAAATAGTAGTATAGTTGCAAAACACATCGAAAAAGAATATTCAAAGTATATCTCGATGTTTGAGATACTTGAATATTACAAGTAGTACATAACCTCCACGATACATATGAGAGAACAAGGCGAATATATGTACAACACCCATATAGTATACAGTAGTAAACATGTGGGCGAAAAAAGGACATACGAAACTATAGCATATATATATATAATTCAAGTATCATATAAAATTCCACTATAATCACATATATACTTGGATGAAGTACAAAAAAGTTAGACCGATATGAACAAGATGCACATACTAGCGTCATGATCATCAAGGGTTGGAGTAATCAATATATATATATTAATAGTATATATATTCATCGCAAGAGATGACACAGTACCAAGGATGGAGCGGGGGAGAGATGGCGGGAGGTATTTGCATGCAGCGTCCGCGTGCGAAATGCCGCCAAGCGCGGCGACGTCGCGTCGATCCATTCGTCCCATCGGGTCGGCCATCCATGATAATGCACATACACTTGGTGGACGTTCAAGTCGAGGACCGTGCCTTCCAGCCATTGGTTCACAGTGTCCTTGACGTCCAGCCATTGGCCAATAAAAAACTGCCGTCGGCGAATAGGAGCGGCCGACGCCGGTGACAAGCCGTCGTCACGAGATGACGTGGCGGGCAGCGACAGCATGGATTGAACGGTCATCAGGCCTTGACGAATGTGCTCCACCGACGGCAGAACCTAGGCATCAATAGTGGGTTTCATCGCATAGAGCATACATCACGAGAGAGAGAGGCTTGCATGCGACGAGGTTTGGTCTGTCTTACGGGGGCGGTGGACGCTTCGGATTCTGGTTCACTCGCTAGCGGCGACGCATCATGCGGGTTGCCGTATCGCGACCGCAGGAATTGAAGGCGGTCGTGGTGGACTTGGGACGACGGTGGTGGCATCGACGAGAAGCCAGAGTCGACGGCTGCGCCGAGTCGCTGGCGCATCGTCGCGAGTGAACTGGCCGTGGACGCATCCAGCCGCGCGAGGCGAGACTGGAGAAGCTCGGCGGTATCGTGCAGAGGTGCCAATAGCAGCGATGATGAAGGGGGCGACGTGGGCTGCTGTTGCTGCTGTTGTTGCGCACGCTCGGGTCGTGCCACCATGTGCACCATGTGCCCGTCCTCGACGTTGTACGCACTGAGCAAGTCGCCGTCACGAAGAAGCTTTCCTGTAACATAAATAACGATGAGAAGATGTCTCGCGTGCAGGAAGGATGCTCACACGTACCTCGGTAGATGAGTCGCTGGCGCTGCGGGGGCACTGACGTCGTGCCCTGCAGCGTGGTTTTGAGGTCGCGAATCGATATCGCGCGCGGCACCGTGAGGGAGAACGTGTGGTCGTTGAGCGTCTTAATGCGGATTTCCATGTGCAGTGATGTCGACGACGGTAACGTGGAGGATGTCGCCATCGACGGCGGCGCGGTGATTGTACTTGCCGTCGCCATTTGGAAATGCAAAAGTGCACCTTTGACAGTGAAACCTGCTCTATTTCTGTTGATGTTATCCGGATATGGTGATGTTATCCGAATGCCTGACGTAATTCCGGATAATAGAGCGGTTGTTCACTCAAGAGTATTATCCGTATCCGGTTAATTATCGCAGAGGATGGCCACCCCGCGCGAGTTCTTGACGTCGGCACGATGGCACACTGGTGGCGCGTACACATGCATGCGAGTGACGGGCGAGCACATTCACCTGTGGGAATTCCATTACCGCCGCCTAGGGGTTTTGGACAGCCAGGTGGAAGGGCTGCATAAGCAGATCGTTGATGGCGTGCGCAGCCATGCCCCGAGCGACTCGACAGCGACGTGGATGGTCACTGTCCTCTGCGCCGACAACAGCTTTCTCATTCACGTGTACAAGATGCCTAGACTTCGACTGGACGACAAGGGCGACGTGTTGCCCATCGATGTGCTCGTCCATGGTGCGCCACGGGCCCGCGCGCACATCAAGCACGTCCAATGGATCCAAGACCGCGTTCCAATCGAAGAGTATGCGCGCAGCTTTGCCACCTCTGTGGGTCTCAAGGAGCCGTTTGGGGAAGTGATCTTGCAACGCCGCACCACCACCAATGCGGACACGACGCCGCGCACCGAGCTCCTGGAAGGTCTCATCACCAACTTCTTCGTGTGGAGGCAGGGCACTCTGTTCACCGCCGCCGACCACGACGATATTTTGCACGGAAGCTCTCGGCATCTTGTTTTGAACGCATGTCGGCGGCTGCACATTCCCGTGCAATTCACCGCACCTTGCTGGGAAGAGTCGGCAACGTGGGACGCAGCTTTTGTCACAAGTAAGAGTTGATGGTTATTACTACTGAGTACTAGTTGTTACTTGTCCGTAGATGTAGTCAAGCTGGTCGTGCCCGTTCGAGCCATGTACGACACGAGTGGGTCTGTGACCACGTTGCCAGTGCCTCCAATCTTGGCCGACATTCGAACCGCGGTCCGTGAGTTCATGCAGGAGGATGCAGGTAGGTAGACAAGGCAAAGGTTCAATAGTATACTAGTAACTACTAATACTACTACTGCGCTACTGGGTCTTGCGCGCCATAATGTGTGACAGGTTTATGCATACTATTCCGTTGCTGCATGGCAAAAAGAGGAAGTTCGAGAAATGGGGTTGGAGCATCCAACTCATATTAGTATTACTACTACTGTACTATAGTATTATTAATACACTGTAAGATTGCTTACTACTGTAACGATACGGCGGAAGGTATTTCAAGTTGTGTAACGTTACTACTATTTTAATAGTACAAGATTTGAAATATTAATACTATTAACAGGTATAAATATTTATTTCCACGCCTAAAACCAATACAGTACTCGGGGCATTGAAATAGCCTAAAGTACTGTATGGCGATGGTATTTTTATACCGCAACATCATTTTTATACTCCAACGATAGGGCGAAACTACACTCACTGTACAGTCAAAAACCATTTTTCAAACCAAAAAATATACTTCCTCTGTTCCAGGTTACTGCCGACATTTACTTTGAAAGGGAAATGCATGAATTTTCGCAAAACATTGGTTTATAATCAGCGCTTAAAGCAATTGTAAGCCAATGAAATGTTATAAATGTTCGATATTGATAGAAATTGAAGAATTACAGCCAATGAAATGCAAATGTCGCCAGCAACTTGGAATATGCGAATTTTACGTAACCTGGAACAGAGGAAGTAGTCTAAAATAGGTGGGTCGATAAATAGTTAGGTGGAGTCGTGTGTCTATGTGTACTAAGCCGTGCGCGTGGGTCGCAGGGCGGTGGCGTCGATGTTGATCTCGCGCAGTTTGCGAGGCACGTCCGTGGGCATGCGCAGGACCTGCAGCAGACACTTGGCGCCTGGCGCTTTGATCGCATTCCGATGGAGGTCCAGCACTTCCAGGGCGTCGAACCCGCGCGACTTGAAGACGGCGGCGAGGGCGCCGGCGCTGCGGTCGGCAAGGGCGTTCTGGCCCAGTCGGAGCGTCGTCAAGGACGCGTTCGAGTGGGAAAATGCCCACGCCAGCGACATCATGCCGGCGTCGGCAATGTTGTTGTCGGACAGCACCAGCACTTGCATCTTGGGCGCGGCATTCGCGAGCCACAGACTCATGGCCGTGGCGCCGTAGTCCTGGAGTCCGTTGGCAGCGCAATGGAACTCGGTGAGATGGGGACATGCGCCTTGGGATAGCGCATGGAAGACCGTGCGCAGCGGATGTTCGTTGTTTGACGAAAAGTGATCGCGGAACAGACCCGAGACGGTGAGGGACTTTAGGTTCTTGCACGCACCGGTTTCCAGGCACTTGGCGAAGGCATGGCAGATCGCGGACGGCGACAGCATTGCTCCTGTACTCGATGGACAAGGGCTGGTCAACGTCAATGTTTCCACCATGGTGAACCCTGGAGGGAAAGGGCACTGCCCCGACAACATGTTCCCAAGTGTGTCTAGACTCAACACGAGGGTGAGGCGGTCCTTCTCGCTCGACACGGGGATGCACAACTGCGACATGGGAATGACGCCGTTTGTGGACGTGACAGCGATCGGCGCATCCTTCGTTCGACGAGCGTACGATCGCGACAAGTTGGCGGGTACCAACACCTCGGATAGTGATGGTGGTCGCGCGATGGGTTGTACGGACGATGACGAGGTCGTTGAAGTCGACGACGCCAGTGAGGACAAGGAGGACGAATGCGACAACGTGGGAAGGAGGGAAGGAAGGGATGCAATAGTCGGCGTCGCCCGGGGAACGTGCTGATGCTGCTGCTGGGAGTGATATGGATGGGTGAGGTCTACAACGTCACTGGGGCGACGACGCTTTTGCACGCTACCGTACAAGTCGCGAACGCTGTCGTGGACCCGATGTGGAAGCGTGTGGATATCTTGGTAGGCAGCAATAGACGACGCGAATTGGACGAGTTTGTGGTCAATGCGTGCAGCCACCTTGGACAGGTGTTCTGGGGACGCTTGGCAGCGTTGTCGGAGGAGCAGCGCGATCTGTTGTCGTACGCCCTGTCGGATCGACAGCGGCACCTGCAGGGATGAAGAAGGCGGGTTTGCATGTAACCGTGTTGTACTGGCGGCACCCACGGCGGCGGCGGCCGGCGTGGTACTAGTAGGCGCGTGCATGGTTGGACCGAAAATCCAGAAATGGGCAGTTGGTTGCAAGCAAAGGTGCTACAGACACGCAGGCAATCGCGTTTCTTTCGTTGTCGGACGCCGTTTCTATACCCGACGAGGAGGGACGGCATCTGGATGTCACGACGAAATTAGGAATCAGATCTATCTTTGGGTAACAGAAATCCTCCAATATCTATACATTGCGATTTGTATGTCGTGTACAAAAATCTAAAGAAATATACCTTCCAATTTGTATACTGTGTCCCCCATCCTGTGTCCCAAATGCCTGAGGCAGCGAGTTTTTACTGCACGTGTTATGAACCCCGCATAGTTTACTGTACACTGTACGGTACATATGTACCGGCACAAAGCATCGACGAACGAAGTGGAGGCTTTTGATTGACGAGATCTTGCGCAAGGGGAAGTGCTGCGACGTATAGTACGTGCATACACTTGCCGTCTGGTGTACTACTCGCATCACTTTCTTGGGCTTTCAATGGACTATACGTGCATAACATTCAATAGTACAGTACAGTACTCCAGGTATATAGGACGAAGTCGAGCAAGACCCAAATTTGACACGACCAATCACAGGCATTTGTGGTTCGGTCGACCTATCACACGAAAGAGATGCCATGATTATGAACATGTCATCACGTCCTCCTCTATCTATATAGTTGCTTCGATGGGGGAAATTGGACCATGAAGGCAAGGCGCGAGGACTTCTGGAGGACGACTCGTGTTACGACTCAGTCCGATTACGAACCCCGCTTGGTCAAAACCACCCTGAATAATGAATATCCTTCGGGATATGATGAACAAAATAGGACTTCGGAGTATGGTACAGACTGACCTAGTTCTAAAAACAGGAGTAGTAATGCATAGCCCGTGAAAGTTAATATTTCCATCAGTATCACTACCATCATGTCGCAGAGAGGCGCGATACACAGTTAGCCCGTCGGTACTGTAGTTCATTCTCCCCGAGATATATTTAGGAGCGTTTCTGAATGCTTTAAGACAATGCCACCGACGTTCCATTGCCCCTCATGTCCAGACATTCCTGTAGATTTCTCACGCGTGGACAAGTTGGGGCCGCGACAGGCTTGGTGAGTTTTATTGCTTTTGGCATAATCACACGTTATCGACAACGTGTCAGGTGTACTACTCTTGCTATAGGCGAAGCCCACAGACTTCGTATGAATTCACACGAATTTAAAAAACATGAGGTCGTTATACATAAAATTTGTAAAAGCAATTAAACTTCATTTTTAAAATACACTGCAGGATTAACAGTAAAATAGAATTACTACAGTGGTATATCCTGGAGGATGGTGTATCACGACGATGGAAATTCGAAAATGGCGGACGGAAATTGGCCGACGGCGGTGGTCATCTTGAACGCGGGAGTCGCGCATGTTGTCGCTACTGTAGGCCGAGGAATCGAGCATGGAGAATGGTAACTCGACGAGATTGGTGGCGACGGTAGAAGTGCCTGTTCGGACGGCTGCGGCGTCCGCAACAGGACGTCCAAGTACTCGCGCAACACCATGTCGTCCAGCCGTCGTTCTCGTTCGAGATGTCTTGTGATGCCCAGAATCGTCTCTTCAATGTCTTCGACAATCTCACGGTCGTCGTTGTCAAGCTCTTGCTTGAAACGCCGCCGGATCATCATCTGGCCTGCGTCATTCCCTCGCTGGAACGTCAAGTGGCTGAACTCGACGTGTTTACTTCGGCATCGATGGAAGCCGTAGAAGTTTAGCATGCGCAGAAACGTAGGAAACTTGCGATGGCCGTAATAGACAGGAAGCACGTTGGCGGCAAATAGAGTCGGCTGGTAGATCACAAACGATTGCCCGTCGTCGGCCCAGCCCACAATGTCGTGGGGTCCGGCCTCGAGGAGCGCGACGAGGCGCTGAATGAAAATGGACACGCCGTTTGACGGCACGGCTTTGCCAGGCGTGATGCTGGGGGAATTCATTCGAGTGTGCAGTGTGGGCGAGAAGTGAAGTTGGACAAACCGTTGACGGTTGATCACATGGCTACATGATGACCAAGCCAGGCTGCCATGACGGTTACACTGGAAAAGCTGCAAAAGGACATGAAGCTTGAAAAATGTACTTATCCTTATGGTTAATGAGTCGTCAAATGGGCTGGAGGACGCAGGTGAACTCGTTCGACAAGTTGTGCATGTACTCGTACGTCTCCAAGTACTCGACAATGTCGACGTGGCCCTGGTACGACGCTCGAACCCGCGCAAGCTCGTGCCAATACGACACATCAGAGAGAAACATCACGACATCCAAATGTCCACGTGCTGCCGCTGCGACCATCGCAAACGTTGATAAGTACATGCCTTTGTCGTGTAGGAACTGAAGGATATCCACCCGGCCGGTGTACGCAAAGTAGATGACAAAGTCTTCGTTGAGAAGGTAAGGGCGGTGCATGTACACTCGCGCTATCCCAGCGACGCCATACTCGCGGATCCACATGCACAACCGACTTCTGGGAATACACGGAGTCGAGAGAAACCCGAGGTCTCCACTGTACTGCTCTTCGGGGTTGATGCGGTTGATGAAGGATTCCATGTCCGCGATCACAATGACAAGGTCCGGCGGTAGGAATTCTTCGCGGAACTTGTACTCATCATAACCATGCGACGACCGCGGCATGGTGGCTGCGAGTTGATCAAGCATCATCCGACGTGCCGGCAGCGGCGCAAAACCAAAAGTGCGCTAGGATTGCGCGCGCAAGTGAAGTATTTATCTTGAAGTTTGTATATTTTTTTCGAAACCTCTGCAAAGCATACAAACCCAAGGCAAAACTGAGTTTGTCGGAGCTCGTCCACGTCATTTTTCAATTCGACTGCTGCAGAAGACGACGACCGACAGCATACGCGGCTACAGCGGCGATCGTTCAGATGCATGGAACGATCCTTGCCATCGAGATGAACAATGGTATGTGTGTGTGTTTATTTATAGTTCCAAGTTGAACTTCCACTGTAGCGAGAAGTTCTTTTCACGCACACGATGATGCTCGCAGAAAGTCTAGCCACGGCAGTGCAAGTGATTGCAAGTGCGTCATCGTTTTACATGGTGTCGAGTCCGTATGCTTCGATCAAGGAGATCCACGTCACCAAGTCGACTGGCCATGTCTCGGTGATTCCGCTGCTCAGCATGTTGCTTAGCTCGTCAATGTGGTACAACGCAACATTTTGAAATCACCAGTGACACATTCTTGCTCCTAGGCTTTTGTACAGCATCCTCCTTCGAAACTTCTTTCCACTCATCTTCACCAACGTAGTATCTATCACTTGTGTCGTCGGGTACTTGGTCGTGTACTACCACCACGCGACTACGAAGGGCCTCCTCCATCGATACTTCGCCGTCGAAGGAGTATGGATCTTATCCGTGTACTTGTATGCAGCGTGCTTCTCGTCCCCAATGGCTACTCGACTGGAAAACGTTGGCATCATCGGTACGATGATCAGCAAACGTTACAAAGAACTCACGTTGGCTTGTCCTAGCAATTACTTGCTCGGCCATCATGGTCGTTTCACCCTTGTCCGCGATTGTCGAGGTACTTCGGACGCGAAGTGTGGCGCATCTACCACGCAAACTGATTGTCGCGACATGGGTCAGCAGCGGAGCTTGGTGCCTCACTGGCATTATCCGAGATGATGCGTTCATCACGTACCCGAATGCTGTCAATATCGCCCTTGGATCGCTACAGTTGGCACTTTTCTTCATCTTCCCAACAACATCCACTGCCGTTGCCCACCTCCCTCAAAAAATTATGCATGACGATCGCGTCGGGCTATTGTCCACATCACCCGCCACGAGTAAGGGCGGTGCTGACACGAGCCTTGATGCCTACGTGCATGCAACGCACGATGTCAAATAGTCATGCCATCCCTATTCCTCCGGTATTCATTGTGTACAGTACAGGATAATCACCTTGAGCAAGTTGTTGTTGTTGCCAAGACAATACATGTATGTATGTACAGTACCAGTACCCATACTACTGTAGTACATATTGTACTATTTGTACTTGGACTGTAGTACATATTGTACTTGAGACTTACGGGACAGCATTGAATGAATATTAATACCAACCTTGGATACTATGGTTAATATAATATAATTGTTGAATTAAAAGCAAGGATGAAATTTGGATGACATTAAGGAGATTTCGCAATGAACGATATCGTTCTCTTTCCGCTCAGGCGAAAAAACCTCTATAATCAAATTCCGGACAAAACCTGTCTACAATTGATGCATATGACCGCAAAATGGCTGCCTGACACCACCAGTGCTGTTCGTTCATTTCGTCGTGTGCCCAAAGATGATCCAATATCCGGATAATTTATTCGTATTTTTTGATGGAAATATGCTGTTGCGAAATCATAAAATATGTGTCGTTGCCGCTGCCGTTGTCGTTGCGTGAGCTGAACGCGAACAAATAACCGACGATTGCGAAATCTCTTTATTGGATGAAATTGGATGAAGTTGTGGGATGAAACCTAAAGTAGTGACCAAGCCTTACGTTGGCCCCGAGCGCCCGGGAGGCCGTCTGCGCAAGCGCGGCCGTACGAGAGCGCGGATCTAAGCTTCTCACTTTACCGAATGATCTATCTTTTCTTCTTGTCGGGCAGCGGCAGGTAGGCCGTAGGCCGTGCCGCTCCCAGACGAGGCCTGTATACAATGACCTAGAATTTACTCTCATCTATACTAATTAGGATATGACCTAATATTAATGTTGGATGACGTTTGGATGACACATGATACCATCACGGATATTTGAAAGCCATATAAATAATTCCAAGTACGTATACTTGTAGTACTTCGTACTACATAGTAATAAACACGGCGACTGTTGGTTAAACGGGATTCGGCCTATTCGACGATACAGTAATTCAGCTTTTACTTTTGATTTTTGAAGTCCTGTATACACTCATATGATAAAAAGGTGTTCGATTGTGAACCACTTCATGTCCCTCAGGTGACGACTTTGCCATCGACCATCACAGCACATGTTCTACGAGATGATGCATTCCGCGTTGTTGTGATTGTCTTGGCGCTGTTGGCGTCGGAACTCTTGGTCAGCTCGGTGGAGCTCCGCTTGTCGTTGTATGTCTTGTCGGCGGTAGATTTCTTCGGCCGCCTCCAAGGCCATCGCATGACGTGCATAGTCCTGAATCTCCATTTGCTCGACCCGCTTGCGCTCCGCCACATGTCTTGCTTCCTTGTCCGCCCGCCACGCCGCGTACTGCGCCTCTCTCTCGCGTCGCTGGGCTTCCGCTGTCCGCTCCATGTCATGCTGCAAGGCGACGGCTAGGTCCAGCAAGTCGTGCTCATGGACAAACTCGTCGTCGTCGTCACTGCCGACGTGTTCCCACTCATCCTTCTCCTCATCGTGACATGTCGGAAGTACCCCCCGACACACCCGTCGCGCCATGCAATACCCCAAGAATGCCTTCCAGTCTGGCGACGTCTCGAGCACCGCGGGGTTACCCACGACAATCAGCATCGCCTGGGCACGGGTCACGGCCACGTTGAAGCGCTTCGGATGGGCGACAAACCCGAGCTGGAACTTGGAGTCGTCTTCAAAGTACCCCGCGGCGCTGCGCACGGTCGAAATCACAATCACCCGACGCTCACCGCCCTGAAACTGCTCGACGCTGCCGACGAGTACCCCCGACGGGACGCCGCGTCGACGGAACGTTTCCTGCAGTTTCTGGCGCTGCTTGGCGTACGGCGTGATGACGCCAATGTCTGCGGGAAGCACTTGATACGCGAGCAGCTTCTCAACGTACTCGAGCACGATCTGTAGCTCATGCGGGTTGAACCACGACGGCGAGTCGTTGGTTTGAACTTCGCCGCCTGCGACACCGTGAAACACCAACGGCACACTTGGGTTGGGCAGATGCGGCCACGTCAACAGCGAGTGCGTCACTGACGTCGGCGCACTTGGTACGAGGTCGCCGTCGTAAAACTGAACATTGGGCACGGCGAGAATATCCGGATGCGACCGGTAGTTGCGCACGAGCTTTGTACTCCACGGGCTACTGTGTTTGGTAGTTGGTGGGGGGGGGTGATGGCCAACGGCGGCGGCTGCTTCTTCATACACTGGCAACAGACGCTCCATCAACGACTTGCCAAGGCCAAACCGTACGCCGTACGTCGACTTGACCACGGGCCCCAACTGTTTGGGGTCGCCCGCTAGCACGACGACAGTGTCACGGGTCGCGAGGGGGCCGACCACCGCGACCACGGCCGGTTCCGTCGCTTGGGCAGCTTCGTCAAACACAATCAAGTCAAAGAACCCCCGCTGGACGCCCCAATTGAACAGTTTCGCGCCCGTTGCAATCGTCGTAACAAGCACCGACGTCGTGTTGAGCTCGTCGAGTGACGGCTGCACAAACGAAGTGGACTCACCATCGCACGTGATTGTCGTGAAGGGCAGCACGGACGCGGGGGTATCTTGGACCCGCCGACTGAACGCCATCACACGCCGCATGGTGTTGTCCGCGGATACTTGAGTCGCCAGGCAGGCCACGACATTGTCCGCGGCAGCATTCGACGGCGCGCAGACTAAAATGTGCATCGAACTGGACGATTTCTTCGTCAGCGGGGATCGAAGCAATTGTATGATGGCCTCGACGATCGTGACGGTTTTCCCCGTACCAGGAGGCCCAAACAACAGGTACGGCAGGAGGACGCCGTCGCCTTCTTCGCTGCAAGTGGCGCGTCGTCGTCGTGACGACAGCACCAGGGCGTGGATGTCGCGGATGGCGAGGTCTTGCTCGGGGTTGATTGGGCGGGAAAAGCAAAGGTCGGTCGTGTGACTTGGTGCTAGAGACGACGACGTCGGTGAGGAGGGTTTGTGATACCCTTGTCGCCCGACCATCAATTGCTCTGTCGATGGAAACAGCATGGCCGTGTGCATATCGGCCGACACGGCGTGGAGTCCTTGGTGTTCGAGTCGTGTGGATGTGCGCGATGACACAAAGCGAACATTGAACAACGGCCCCGCGGAAGATCGTGAAAACGCAGCCGGCATCGCAATGTAGATCCCATCCAGACGGACCTGGGTGATCGTGCCTTGAAACGTCGGCGATGACGAGGAGGAGGAGTGCCGAATGAGCACTTTGTCGCCAGCGACCAACGACGGGCGTCCTTCCGCGAGCCCGGGGACGGCCAACTCGAACAACACGGGGGTCTTCCTGTGCAACGTCGCATGCTCCATGTCATACTCGCGTTGTTGTCGAAGCAATTCTTGCTCTTCCCGGTACAACAAGTCTTGGAATCGACGAGTGTGGTTTGACATTGTCAACGTCAAGTCGTCCGTGTCCATGGCGCTAGTACTCCATGACGCTGGCAGCGCATGCCGACCGAGGGGGACGGCAAACCCCGCCATGTCGCCGTTGCGAGATGCCGTGTGGCTGTACGCGGGTGGGGCAAAGTGCAGTTGTTTGGGATGCCGTTTCTTCTGTCGACGCGATGTTCCTTGTTGGATCAACTGCCGCGTCTCAGCATCCATGGCGGCATCCACACAATCCACGCCCTCGAACACCCGACCAATCACAAACAGCGTTCTCGTCGCAGATTCAAACTCAAACGCGACCACGCCGTGGAACCGCCCGGGTATGTTGGACAGGAAGCGACATGCCACCGAGATGGATCCCCCAAATGGCGCCAACGTCATCGGGCCGACGTTTGTGAGTCGGAACGGCGACTTTGCCGCAGAAGACGATGATGGCGTGGCCACTCGAAAACAGCGTCGCAGAGACACGACCTCGGTTGATTGGTTGGTGAGCACAAACGTTTGGATTGCTGGGACGTGCACAGTTAGCACATTTGCAAACGTGGCGTCATGTGTGACCGCGACGCCCCATTTGTCTTGGGCGAATCGACGTCCATAGGTTTTGATCAGTTGGGCGGGGGAGATTGGTTCGCCCCCGCTGTCGATTGGACGACGACGGGGAGACGGAGTGGGGGACGCAGATTTCAAGACGAGCGTGGACGCGCCTTGCACGACGATGGGGGGGGTCCCCTTCGCCCCGTGTCGCTTGATAAACGCGACAGGACTCGAGTTCTTGGAGGGTTTCAATACAGCTTGCACGCCAGGGTACGCCTTGTAAAAGTCGGTGAGCGACGCCGCTGCCACCTTGCCGCCGTTGAGGCGAAGGAACGCCGCCAAATGGGTCATGGCTGCCGCCGTGTCCATGGTTTGCAGCATGAGCTTGTCGTTGACGATGACAATCGATGGGGTTACGAGGGGACCATACGTGTGGAAGAAGTCACTCAATGTGCCGCGACCTTTGAGGACATGGAGTGCGGGGAACTTTGCGTACAAGGCACTGGAGGTGCTTAGGTGGATATACCCCCCGGCTTGGAGTAGATACGTGGACACTTGGAGGAGGGTGCGTCGGATGGCGGCGGAGGACGTGGCGCCAGTCGTCGCTCTGGCCTTGGACTGGTCCAAGCATGCTGTGTACATGGCGTCTGTCATGCGGGCCTTCATCGCTCGATAGGCGACAGGAAGGTGCACCACGTCTTGGGCGGCATACTCGATCAATAGCGGCGGCAGTGGACGTTGCTCCCACAGCCCTTCCCGGTGCACGACCTGGGTCTTCATGGTGTTTGTGACGTTCGCGTACAACGACAATACAAGATTGAGACCCGCCATGAGGGTATGGTTGCCCTCGAGGAGCTGATGGGCCACTTGGGTGTCGAAGATGGAGGAAAGGACGATCTGGAACTGCCCTCGCAGGGCGGCGGTGTCGCGGCGGGCGTCGTGTAACACCACTAGCGCCGCAGATAACACGCGCTTGACTTGAGAGTCCCGAAGAATGGAGGGACAGGTTAGCGTGTCGACGAGGTACACTGTCGGGGGGTCGTGGCTGCCTGAAACTTGGAGCAAACTGATGCGGCCGTTGGGTTCCAGGTCGCCTTCGAGGTCGATGAACAACACGGTTGAGGCACTCAAGAGCTCAAACACTTGTTTGCCATGGGATAGCGAGTTGACGTATACGATTGCATTTGACGATGCCGCCGACGGTGACGGTGCGGGGGGTGCATTCGGAACCCAACGAAGAATCTGCGGAAGGACATTGTTCACCTGAACATCGCCATCCCACAAGAACGATCCAGAGATCGAGGACCCATGGAGATCGATGAAGGGTTTGCAAGACGCCAACGCCTTGTTCGTCCACATGAACGCATATTGCGGGTGTTGTTTCCGAAAGTTGCCGAGTAAACCTTGGCTCGGTGTCTTCGGATACGCTTGCACTGCTTTAGCCAAAGCTATCATAGCAGCAGCGGTGTCTTTGAACTCAATGCACGAGCGGGACGCGACAAATTTCAGCGGCAGCGGCGCATGAGCTCCATACCGCTCCACAAGTTGCCGGACTCCACCGGCGTCAGACATCACCTTAGCGTTGGCCTTGGACATCAACGTTTCCGCGTCTGTAATCGATACACGTCCATGCTTCGACTTGACGTGGTGATATAGGACCGCCAAGCATAAAGAGTAGCTCTCCATCGTTCTTTCGCCGACGTCGTCCAAAGGGAAATGAACTGGAAGGTACGAACAATCGACATGACCGGATAACCTTTCCGGATTTCTTCGACATCGTGAGCTTTGATTGGCTGAAATAAAGAACGACAGCTTAATAGCCAATCAGATGTTCCAGAGGAAACGAAGTAACAGCATTTTCAGTTAAACAATCACACAAACTCCTGAAAATTTATATCTACGTGACGATCGCAGTTCAAGCAGCCGAATAAGAACGTTGTTGCTGTCGCCAGCCAAGTCTAGTTGGTAAATTACAGTTGGCAATTTGCTCGCCTCAATCAAGAGCTAAACTACGGACTCGAGTTGAACGAACACCACCAAGTGCTTCATTTTGAGTCCATCAACAGCGGCAAGATGACTGTAGTATCCTTTCCAACTACCAACAGGAGAATGGCGCGGCAGATGGTCGGCAAACAATGAGGACTCTGAAATTACATAATTGTATAATTTAATAATTTGGTGCAAGAGGTGTTTACTGTATTGTTTTAGAGTTAAGCAGTTTGCACATACTCTCACACTTGATGACTCCGGATAAATATCCATTGTTTTGCCTTGGAACTAACTTGTCGTGTGGTCGTCATCCTGCGGCATGTACTTCTTATGCATCACAACTTGGACTTGGGAATCACACTACGTGCCGTGACTTCGCGTTGTGGCCATGTGAAGCCATTCACCGGCCAAGCGATCAAACCCAGAACAAAGACATGAACTAACTGCTCATGGTTGTCGGTCAGTCAGATTTTAAATATTTTCGAAATACATTCGCTGATTGGACAGAAATTACAGTAGTATATTAGAATCACCTAACAGTAATTACTGTAGGTACCACGACATATGTACACTACTGGGGTAGTATATATACTGTATGCATAACTACTGGCCCAACGCTACATATTACTTATTGGTCGACTCGGAGGAGGGTTTCGTGGGCAGTTCCAATTCGGCGTCGGTTTTGGTCGCGGCGGCGGGGTACAGAAAGCAGAGCGACAATTGGAAGAGCCCCAGCACGAGGTTGACAATGTTGGGGGCGATCACAAGCATGTCGTCGATGAGCACGCCAAACGACAGCCACATAAGCGAACATGCGATGCCCGCGGTGATCATCTTGAATGGGAGGGATGCCGCCGACTTGTGCTTGAACACGGTGCCGACGGAAGACAACGGCGAGGCGACCGTGAGGCTGCTCACGGCAACGCCAGTGTAGCCGACATGGGTCGCGACGTGATGGAGCTGCAGGCGGGTGCCGTAGATGGAATAAGCCACCGCAATTGCAACAAAGCCGAGCGTGGCGAGGGTCTTCTTTGCGGCGGCGCCACGGCGGGTTCCTGCATGCGTGTAGATCACCACGAGGTAGTACCCGCTGAGCGCCATGCCCACGGCGTTCGTGGCAACCAGAGGGAACCAGTTGTTCACCAAGACGCCGTACAATGTCCTGACCAGCACGTGTAAGAAGTCGTCGAGAGAACAAATTCGAGCAAGCAGTTTCAGAAGGTGTACCAGAGACTGCTGTTGGCAAACATGCAGAGTATGGGCAGCATGTCGATGGGGATCTTGGCGCGGACGCGAGTCATGTCGCCCATGGGGCTAAGGCTCATGTAGATAGAAGAGACAGATGCCATGAGCTTGACGGTCGCGACGACTGATGGAGGATGCGTCGACATGGCTCGAACACGTGGGTGTCGGTCGGTGGCGAAATAATAATATTCCATCATTCTCATAACGACGAATCCGGATAAGCATTTATCCGGATTCATGTCGAATTCACATTTGTGGTAGTACTGTACTACAGTACTGTAGTAGCGTTAGATGACAGGCAACCCGAGTCCCCTGGAGCAACTGAACGCCGCCTGCCGCGGCTTCCGCGATACCCTCCCGCGACTCATTCGCAGCATGGATGACGTACGCAGAACGACTTCCTTGTCTCCAGGTGTCATACGTCGTCTCTGTAGAACGGCACGACGACGAGCAAGGACGTGGTCAAGGCGTTGTGTTTGCTCAAAGACGTCAAGCAGTCGACGAGGGAGACGTTCTTGGACGCTGAAGTGTACCGCCGCCGTGTCGCCGAGCAAAAGGACCTTGTCGAAGCGCATCATTTGAAGCTCCAGAACTTGTTGTACGAAAAGGACAACTTGCTGCGCGAGATCAAGCGATGCCGTGGGTTTCCGTACGTAGGATTCTTTCCATGACGATGCCTCTAACGTTGCTGGGACGCATGTAGCACCAAGGAACTGGATAAGATCGAATTCAAGGACGGAGTGCTGCCGGTGCTCGTCGACGACGACCGCCACAAGCGCCACCTCCAGCGCCTCGACGACGAACTCTCCGATCGAAAAGCGTAAGCTGGCATTATATATCTGCCCTTTCTTCTTCTTCGTATCAGTATACACGATGCTGCTTTATGATATCGTGGAGCTTGTCTGCGATTCCGTGTTTCCATAGCTCGACTCTAATCATTCCTGGGACTCTTGACGAATGAATCGTGTGGTAGACTATTGCAGCACCAGCAACACCTCAAGACCCAGATCAGTTCCGTGGAGGACGCGACTCAAAGCAAACATGCGCTGCTGGACGCTTTGCCCGCGCATCTTGCCGCTATCGAAGAGGTACTAGACACCCAAATTCCATATAATACCTAAACAAAACACGTGCTGTTTATCCCAGTATGTATATATATATTTCCCGTGATGCAATTGTCCATAATCATTTTTTAATTATATTAAAAATACCAAACCTATATATATATATACCTAACATTTGCAACAAACCTATAGTATCCACTTGCCTATCTGTCATACATACTCCGTTGATCGATGGTAACTTGATGTATATTGTCTACATCGTCTAGGCCTCCCGACCATTGCAAGCTCTGCTTTCGGTCCCCATATCGGACTCCCGCGACCGCCATCAAGCAGCGAAAGCGCTGCCGACGCCGCTTTACTTGTTGTTTTGCGAACTGGACGCGTACCTGTCGATCCATGCTGGCAGCGGCGCCGTCGGGATCGCCGACTCCAAGGCCGGCCCGCTGTCCAAGCTCAAGCTCAAGTCTACCCGTGGCAAAGAAGGACCTGGTACGGCTCTATCGCGTGTGTCTATATATATGTTGCTGCTGCTGTATATATATATATATAAATATATATATATATATATATACAGCCGTGATTATATATATATATATATATACAGCCGTGATTATATATATATATATATATACAGCCGTGATTATATATATATATATACAATATCACGGCAAGAGGTTGTGTAGATTTATATGGTTGGATGGGGTTTGTTTGGGAGTCTAGTTATCCATATTGCCCCTTTCGCGAAAATTTGGATCGTCGCCAAATTCATCGCGCGATTTGTTGTGCTAAATTTTGTATGTCAAATGTGTCTTTACACTATTTCAAGTCACACACTATTTCGATGGTTGCAAGAGTTTGATTGGTCACTTGAATAGTGTTCTGGGTTTTGATTGGTCGGTCGATTGTCTGTCGATTCACCCCATTCGATTGAGCACTCCACACTCGCACATTCGAAATCGATTTCACAATAAGGTGGTTTGAACCGATATATTTTTGACTTTTACCCAATATTTGCACTAATTAGATGTTGCTGATGGTTTCCTGCAATCTGATTGGCTAAATACTTCTTCAGATTCTTCTGTACATTTGGTATTCATTCTCCTTATTGCTCCGTAGTACTTCGAAGTATATAAATATATATATATACACATATATATGCGAGGATGACTCATTCCACGGGTGATTTGTAATTGATTGAGCTCTTGACTCTCTCTCTCTTCTGCTTGGAATGTTGCTCTAGACTCGACAATGTGTGATGATGTGTGACAATGTTCACTGAATAGACGCCGCCACTCCCGACGACGCCGACAGCGCGACCCCCCCGCCCCCGAAACGGCCTAAGACATCGACCACCGATCACGATGCATTCATTCCATCGCCCCAGTCGGTCGTTCTCCAAGTACGTCGTCATGTCCATATGTATATATATTCTGCCGCTCAATATATATATATATATGTGTTGCATTGTTGATACTGTACATATGGTGTAGCTGGGTCTGCCAGACAAGCCGACTTCGACGACCAAGGTCGTGTTCCAGTACCTCCCGCGGCTTGGCGTCGTCGTAGTGGACTCGCCGCGGTTCCCAACGCTCTTGCGCCGCTTGTTTGCCACCGACAGTGGCCTCCAGACTCCCCCCGGTGTTTCGTACGCGTTTAAAACGGCTGACGGGGCGGAAGTGCCGATGGAATTCCCGGCAGACGTCAAAGCGCGGCCGTATGTGTGGGCCCAGTGGATATCAGGACTCACGTCGGTCGGCCATCGCCTTGAGCCGTCGGTCCGCCACGTCATGGCTCGGGTATATACTCCAACTACACCTGCAATACACTGTGTGATGATCGATATGCCCTTGTAATCTGTATATATTGTATTGTACATAGCACAAGCCAAGTTGGATTTGTGAGTCATTTCGCCAAATAGCTAGCATTTGAATCCATTTGATCTCATTGAAGCTATATACTTTACACAGATTAGTATATATATATATTTATGATTTTGCCCAATGCGGAGGAACTGGGCCGAATCAAACGTTTTGATTGGCAGAAATTCCAAAGGACGTGATTTGATTGGCTTTGGCGGTTCTTTAATATCCATTCTCTGAAGACATTCGATTCTATTGACGGCTGCTCCAGTTATATACAATAGTATATATATATATATCTTATTTATATAGTATAGTTGGATGATATTATTGTTTTCGTAACGTGTATGAAATGTGACTTGTGGATCGGGTGGTGTCATATACTATATAACTGTGTGACGATGGATATGTCCTAGATGGATATGTCCTAGCTACAGCATGTGCATACAACTCTTTATGCATCGATCGTTCCTATATTTCTCCAAATATATATATATACCTCGTTTGGAGCTATCACGTGGTTTTTTTCATGTGTTGTGATATGGTGTGGTAGCTGCGCCAGCGATATGCCGCGCAGCATGCCCTGTATGTGCACTTGGATGCTCTCAAGGACAAGCGCGTGCAAGTGCATCCGTCGATCGCCCACGTGTCCGTCCAGACCAAGTTGACGTCATTCGCCAAACTCAGCAAGCGCGACGATGTGACGATGGCGGTATTTCCAGAGCCTGCGGACGGCGCCACGTACTTCCGAGCAGCGTTCGCCCCTCCTGGAGGTAGGTACATATGCATTGCTTTTTGTGACGTCGTTGCTGGCGTAGATCTGGGCCGTGTGGTGGCGCTGGTGCAAATTTCTCCCGATTACCCCACCGTTCGCCCCCGCTTTGTCTTGCAACACGACTTGGGCTCGACCGTCGTACCTACTACCAACCAGCTCAAGGTGAGAGAGTTGAGCTACAGAAATATGCGACACTGTGACGAGGATATATGGCTTGGTTGCCATGATGATAATGTCGATGGGGTAGGACATGGCTGCGGAAGTGAACGAGTTTGCATCCGACTTGATCCCAGTAGGCGATTGTGCTTCTTACGACGTGCTGATCCACCAAGTGCGAACGCTCCAGGTACTTACTTGTCCATCCCCCATGATATGACTATCATTTGTACAGTACTTGGTACCTATCGCTTATGTACTTAGTACCTATCGAAGGCGTTCCTTGGGAAATATATATATATTATATGCATTATGTTTATATATTCTATTTATATACATTATATTGTCGATTTGATACAAATTAATTTCGGGAGGGGGTGCAATCGAATCGCGGCGACGAAACGGATCCACAATCGATCTAATTGGTTGAATTTCATTGAGAAGGTTTTGATTGGTTAATAATTTTGAGCTCAATTGAAGTAGCCAATCAAATCGAATTAAATTCCAACGAGAAACCACTGAAATATCACTCGAAAGCACAATATATAATATATCGTATATATTTCTCATGCTGGAGAGTAGTTGTGCTTGGACGAAGTGCATGCAGCGTCAAAGCCGACCGAGCACGTCGTTGGAGCCCGCCGACGCAGCACCCTCTCGGTAGCCAAATCCACGGACGAATAAGTCTGACTTGGGCAATATAAATAGTAGTACTAGTAGTACACATTAACCCTATCAACAAACAACACTCTCTCAACGCATTCATTCTTCCGCAAACCCAATACCCGTCCTTCAAATACATTGAGGGTGATTGATATATATATATTACATGGGGAGCGCATGATAGATACACTCACTGTAGTATCTAGCCAAAGCCGCCGACGAGTGAGGGCAGCGTCGAGAGTGTGAGTGGAGGGGGCTGCGTAGTACTAGTACTAGTAGGTGTAGTACTAGTAGTAGTTGGGGTCGACGTGCGTTGTTTGAGCAAACCAAACCGAACGAGGGCATCCAAGAGATCGGACAGCGTCACAGACGGCGGGGGGGTCCCGATGGCATCTGGTTTTTGGAGGTGGTGAAAGATGCGGCAGGCGTCGGCGTCTCGGGCGGCGTGGACATTGAAGCTCACGTACATGGCGACGAAGAATTGCGCTTGATCGAGTGAAATCTGCGACGACGTGTCGTTGTGCAGAACGACGTCGTCGTCGATGTCCAACGGCTGGCTGTGCATGGCGCGCCGAAGCACTTGCGGGATGTTCACATGCCACAGCGTGGCTTCCACACATGCTTGCTTGACGATCTGCTGGAGGAACTGCTTGGTGCACATGAGATCACTTTGTTGCCGCCGCCTTGTTCGTGCGATGTCGTTCAAGTCTAATGATGCTGCAGAGGTGGAGTGGAGGAGGGGGAGATGCGGCGACAGAGGTACACGAGGGCCGTGGTCGTTTTCTTGGAGAAGATGGTGGTAGTGTTGGGTACTACTGGATGACGGCGAAGGCGACGTCGGCTTGGCATGATGATCGAACACGTGTGCGATGAATTTCATGTACGAAACGGTGCCGCCGTCAGGGACGTGCAAATGGATTCGAAAGAGTCGGCGCTCTGCGGCAGACAGGTTGAGATGGAACGCCCTGTCGAGGACCTCAATGAATACGTCCCATGCAAGTTTACCCCGATTCCGAGGATCGTGCGACGAAAACACTTCCATGAGTGCGTCGGACGTAGTGTCAGTCGAAGCAACGTCCGACAACGACGGGGAACGGGACGAATGAGACGTTGCTTGTCGTCGTGCGGACGACGACGCGTGGGCAAACGCGAGCATCGCACGCTTGACGCGCTTCGAGATGGACCGGCGTTGGCTTTCTTCTTGCTGGTCGTCGTTGTCGTAGGGAGGAACGACTTTGTGAGGAGGCTTCACGACGATCGATGCATCGTCTTCCTTGATCAGGAGCTCTCGCATCAGTGCCACATTCGTACACAACCGGTCGCTTCCGCCTCCGCCGCCGTCGACGGCCTTGGCAATCACCATGGAAATAATGGCGCGATGTTATTTATAGATTTCAGTTTATCAACAACTACTAGTACTATTAATACTATGTAGACCTACTCTTTGTATCAACTTACTGTTACTACTTACCAGTACTACTATACGTAGTAGTATTACTAAAATCCAATTCATTTTGATGTCAGCATATTCGCCACAACAACGAAATGGGAACTACGTCGACGTCTGCTTCTTCTTGGTCAACTGGACAGTCTCTCGCTTCAGCACATGCAGCAGTGTCTGGGAACTCTCTAAGATCTTCATGTACGCGGCCTCGGTCTCTTGGATTGTGCGGTCGTATTCGTTCCGTGCCTGGGTCTTGCGGGCGAGGGTCTCGTTGATCTTGCTCAGGCGGTCGGTCAACACCGTGAGGTCCTGTGTCCCAAGTCCGCTGAGTCATCACCATGGGGACATCGTCACCGACGCCGACTTACCTTTTGAATCTTGGCCTTCTCTTCCTCTTCTTTGAGGATGTTGCGGTTCACTTCCTCGCGCTTCTCCCGCAGATCTTCGATGCACTTGACAAGCTCGTTGTTGTAATTCTGCATGGACGCGCCCTGTTGTGCCATCTTGACCTTGCTGACCTCGACCTCGAATGAACCCAAATGCTCTCAATCATGTATTAATAGAGGCAAAACTCCCAAAGTATTTGCACCTCCTCACCCCTCCATGTGATTAAAATGTATTCTTAGCAAACGACAATAGTTATGCACACTACAACAACGCCGATACTGCGGTGGAAGGGTGCAAGAATGCCGCCATCGCAGGGCTTCCGTCCATGTAATATGTCGCCATGACGCCACGACATCCGTACGCTGATCAAGCCGACGTTTGCTTCTTCTTGGTTAGCTGAACAGTCTCGCGCTTCAATACATGCAGCAGTGTCTGGGAACTTTCTAAGATCTTCATGTACGCGGCCTCGGTCTCTTGGATCGTGCGGTCGTATTCGTTCCTTGCTTGGGACTTCCTCGCAAGCGTTTCGTTGATGAGGCTCAAACGGTCGGTCAATACCGTGAGATCCTACCACAGACACACGGACATGCATGAGTCGACAGCTCGCCATATCAAAAAACCGCTCGAGTTCCATCACCTTTTGGATCTTGGCTTTTTCCTCCTCTTCCTTGAGGATCGACCGGTTCACTTCCTCGCGCTTCTCACGCAGGTCCTCAATGCATTTCACCAGCTCATTGTTATAGTTCTGCAGCGTCGCGCCTTGTTGCGCCATGAAAGTCCCCCGCCGTTTGTTGCGCCGCCGCCGCTCCCGCCAAACACCAAGATACTGCTGGGACCTGTAAGCCTCACATAATCGATACTCTATACATTTGGAGAGGTTTTCGAACAACCCAAAAAAACCTTTGCTAAGGCATATACAGTATATATAAGTATGCCAGAGGTTCAGCTGCAAATGCCTAACGTTATGTCGAAGTTGCGTTTTACATTTTTTTGTAGTTTAACGCATGACGTGGCACGAGGAGGTGAGCTCAACGAGTTAAAACCTATTCATGAATCAAGAAAAGACCAAATCCGGCTCTCCAGCCGACTCATTTCAGCCGAGTTTTTACCTAACGTTACCTGCAACGTCGCCGCGACATGTAGGCCGCGCAACTGACGGCGGCGCTAGGTATCCATCCTAGGAGTGTGACATGGACGAAGCTGCAGTAACGAGAGTGGTGGATACGTTAAATATACTCGTGTTGAGGTCGTGCGCACTGCACTACTCTTATAATAATAGGATGTGGTTGGTGTTCTAACAGGAGGTGAGCCACGGATGCTGCAGTGCCTCTGCTGCAGTCATGCGGGTCTCGGGGTTGCGCACCAGGAGGCGGCACATGAGGTCCTTGGCGCCGGCCGAGACGGCGTCCCAGCACGGTTCCGTGAAGACAAGGTCGTGGTCGGCAGTAAAGGTCGGGGCGAACCCGGACAGGACCACATACAACACGACGCCGATGCTCCACATGTCGGCTTCGAGACCGTAGCCCTTGCCGGACATGACTTCGGGCGCGATGTAGTCGCGCGTGCCGCACTGCGTGTGTGCGCGGACAAATCGTTCGCGGGGCGTCGTGTTGAGGAGGGTCGTGTCTTCTTGGATAGTATGGGGAGTGGTCGACCCATACAGCCGACGCGCGATGCCAAAGTCGGACAGCTTGACGTTGCTCGGGTCGTCGCCGCCGCGGGCAAGGAGGATGTTCTCTGGCTTAATGTCTCGATGGACGATGCCTCGTTCATGCAGATATGACACAGTGCGCAGAAGATTGCCGATGAGTCCGCGCGCAGATCCTTCCTTCAACGGCCCGTGGTCGTCCACGTATGCAAACAATTCACGGCCGGCAAGTTCTAACACTAAATAGAGGTGGTCGGCGGTTTCAAACACGTCAAACAGGTGAATAATCCCCGCGTGGTGGATCGACGACATGATGTCGATCTCCCGAAAGAGGAAGCGCGGCTCATGCACGTCCACCTTGGCGATGACTTTGACGGCGACCTTGTCCGAAGAGATGCACGTGGACGTGGCTTCGTACACGGTCGAGTATGTGCCCTTGCCGAGCATGCGGCCGAGGCAGTAGCTCGCGTCGAAGTCGGATCGGACGTTGATGCCGCCGTTTTGTAGAGAATCGCGGTACGAGAACGACGACGACGGCGACGACGAGTAGTAGCTGCTCATGGTTTCGTCAAAGCTGCTGAGGGTCATATCCGACATGGAAAAGTCGGAGGACGGGCGGGACGTGCGCGCCGTCGACTCGAGCGACGGGCGGCTCTTGCGTGGCCCGCTGTGCAGACACGATGGACTGGTGCTTCGCGACGAGTCGAAGATGGATGGACTGCCGATGGAAGGACGAGAGGACGTGGACGTCAAGAACACGTCGTCGTTGATGGTCGTCGGCGTCGGCGCCGCCGTGTGGAGGCGGGGGTGGTAGCTCATAAAGATGTCGGGGGTGTTCATTTCCGTCGACGGGAACGTTTCTTCGTCCGAGGAATCGACAGGCATTTCCAACTGCGCAAAATCGCGCGACAGCATGTCCACCGGCGGCAACGCTTGGTGGGACGACGACATGGGAGGTTTGTGCACGTCGCGGACCTTGGAAGACGACTTGGCGAGCTTGGGCTTGATGCACTGGCCGTGGGAGTCGAGGATGTCGTCGTCGCTGAGATCGTCGGCACTTCCGCGGGAACTCTCGGCGGGATCGAAGCCATACGACCCGGACGACGAGTTCAGTTGCATGAACGCGCGGAGTCGGTCTTCCGAGAGCGTGCGATCTTTCCGCTTGAGGGTCTTCGTGGGAGTGTGGCTCATGTCCCGGGCGGGGGGCTTCACGACTGCAGGAGTAAGACAATTGTTCTTTTCCAACTGCGCTTGCATCTCTGCGCATGGATGGTAGATTAGCGTCGCATTGTCCTTGACGTCTTGCAGGTCGAGTACGGGGCGGTAATGCTTGCGGCCGCCGTCTTGTACGCGTGCGAGGAGTTGTCCACGCGTGATGAATGACATGAATCTGTAGGGAGGTAGGATGGTGAGACATCGTTGGAAACGAAGGCAGGTTGGTAATCGAACTCTTACGTGCTGTTGAGCTTCATGATGTGGTACTGCTCGATCACGTCCAGCGCGTCGATGCCGTCAGTGCTGGCAAACGTCAACTTGGCAGGCTCTGAGGACTTGACGACCGTGAGCCGCTTCGTCCCTCGCATGTCGCGGACTGCCATCTCAACGAAGACGGTCTTCCGAGCCATCTTAATTGGGAATGATGCAAAGTCCAGACGACAGAGTCTTTATATGGCTTCTATGTATAGACATGTCGGATGTTTCCAGGTAAACAGCACTCTGCCTTGGAACTTCGAACTTCGATTTCACCAGCTCATGGAAAATGCCATGCAACAAAACGGTAAACGTGATAAGGTGTGTGACAAGTTGGTTCCGTGCCACGAGCCATGATTGGTGGAAACCAATCATGCTGAAATTTTCAACCAATCACCTGCAACTTTACTGGAGGTTCAGACGTAACTGGATATAATCCAGTGGCTCGGAACTGTTTTCAGCCTATGGATTTTGTGCATTTCACCCAAATTCATTCGAATCCATTGATCCAATTTAAGCTCGTACAAAGTAGACTATACAAATATTCGTACATTACATGGTTTTGCCCTATGCGTAGGGACAGTGTCAAGTCAAACGTTTTGATTGGTAGAAATTCACTAGAAAGTGATTTGATTGGCTTAGGTAGTTCTTAAATCCATTCCCTGAAGACATTCGATTCTCCAGTTTCGAATCGATTAGACAATATTTAGTTCATTTTTCGTCAACAACAATACGAATTTCGACATGATTTTACCTCCATCGAAGGGTCCTAAAAAGTGCCACGGAACCCTGCGAATAGTGAGTGCCACATTACTACTACTTCTCGTTTTCCTTTTCCGTAACAATTGAAAGCAATGGAAAAGCAAGGATAATAACGTTATATCGTCGATTTCGAAGAACAAAAATATATATTTCCCTTTCCGAAGTCTAGATTAGTAGGGCGAATTCGTGGACTTCGTGGATCGATGGTGAAGTGGTCCACGGAGTCATTCGCCGTTGTTAGCGTTGGGGCAAGGAACTGACGTGACATAGAGACTGCAAAGGATAGGAAGCATCGAATGGATTTAACTGTAAGATCATTTTTAGTGGAGTTGTTGTGTAGACTGCCGGAAAGGCGTGGCTGCGGGGGTCTCAGGGACACGATTGGAGCGAACGAGTCCCGTCTACCTTATGGATCAGAACCCACGATTTTGCCTTATCGAGTTGTACCGAAATCGCTGTATGGTGTCAATTAAGAACACGTCGCTTTATATTGGTCAAATTTGCCCAATTATTTCATTCTAGCCAATCAAACAAGTGGAAGAAGTAGAAATGGCCAATCCGAACATATTCGAATCCGAACACCTTATTGAGTTGTACTATTTCGATCAGATCTTACTGACATTCTCGGGGGTACAGATCCATAAGGTATACGGTATTTGACTCCCTCTATCTTCCTTCATGCATAATGACGTAGAATCCCATGCACCTTCACATGTAGGCCCTAGTTGGAACTGCGAAAACAAGCAACTTTGTCGTAGGAGGCGTGCCTAGCTCTACATCCGGCTCGAGTTGTACCAGTGACAGATCCACGAGTCTTAGAAGCACCATAGAAGCACTCTCTGTAAGATACAAGGCATTCCTTCCTTGCCTTCCACGCTCTACGTATTTGCCAACAAAAACGCGTTGTACCAAGTCAACAGTTTAGGCCAATGAGCGATGAATCGAATCCGTAAAGTATGTTACTAAGTTCCGGAGTTTTCTTCAACTCTCTAACAGTAAATCTTCGGAGGGTATTTTAAGGATAGAAACACTCGACTCCGAAAACTCCCTAACTTTATTGCAACAAAACGGTGCACAACCAAGAGCGAGGCAATACAAATGATGCACATTGCCTGCAAGTTTACGTGTTAACTAGTGTAATTAGGTGCATCCTAGGAGCTAGCTGTATGTACCTGCAATGTGGCAAGATCCACCATAACGTTAATGTTAACTGTAAGTATCGATTACTGTAGTATATCGATTCTATATGGAAAGGTGGAATGGACCTCCGTGTAGGTTGAGCGGATGTATACGTATAGTAGGTACTTGGAGGGTCTTGTGTTCAAATACTACAATTCTGGGACAGTCTGGTATGCAGCCATTATTGGTACAATTCCCTCATCAAAGCAGTTCCACTGTTGTTTTGAGGTTTATATCGAACTTTGTATGCTCAGACCACCTCACCTCTGACTAGGGGGCAAGTGCATCTCAGTGGTTAGCGATGCAGTTAACCCCGGACATTTAGCATCGTACGTACTTACCGGGGGTCCCACGTTACAGGGCTACTGGCGAAAGGTGTATCCGGATATAAGAATTATTCCCTCTTTGAAACAGTGTTTCGGTTCAAAACAACAGTGGAACTCTTTTTGATGAGGGAATTATTCGCCATTATTGGCTCGTAACTCGTGTACACGTATAGTTCTGAGGGAGGAAAACGTGTGGTGATGGTGGGTCAATTCTTGAATCGCCGCCTCTTCTTTACAAGTACTTTCCGCATGACCAGGTGGAAAATCAGAAGCGCTGGGTCTCACAACTCCAGAGTGTGTTCACAAACTTCGGTTGCCGATCTTCGGGTGGCAGACTACTAGTCTGTAGTAGTACTACTAGGGATTTACACTACATTTTCCCAATACAATACCAAGATACAGGTTGTATATCCTACTAGATACAGCTAGTACCTCATCTGGGTGGACGGGGCGCTCCCACCGCATGGGCCGAAACATCCATTTTTACAACATTGCATTCGGTAAAATGTACTACTACGTAGTACTAGTAATGCAGCATATAAACTTGATTTTTGTAAGCTTGGGATCAAGTGACATGTTGACAGGCCTGATGTACGACCATTTATTTCTAGTTATAGCGATTAGTATATGGTACTACTGGTAGTACGACCTACTAATAGTAACAGTCTAGTAGCGAAAATAATACGGTACCTGGTAGGCGCATCATACTAGGAGTCGACTAGTAGTACTACTACCTAGACAGCACGAGTCGCCCATCAACGTTTCCAGTGGTCCGGAATGCTGCTGTCCCGACGATGCACGATCTTTGCGGTAAAGGCAGCGCTGTGTGATGGAACGAGGATGGTCGGTGTCAACGAATCATACGTGTGTAGGCGAAGAAGCGAGCATGCTTCTCGACGACCAGCAGCAACAATACCAAGCTGCCGACCCCGCTTGATGCACCGACGTCGGGGCTTGGCCTGGGCACCGCCGTGCTTTTCGGTGGTCTGTTTGCCGCGGGGTACTTTGTCGGCACGTCCATCGGCGTGTTGCCCAACTACCAATCCATCAAGCGCCAATTCGGACTCGGGAACGACGTCGAGGTACGTCTCCTACACCACCGTCGTACCCTTGCATCACTCATGCCTCGTTCGACAATCCATCTGTGCATCCTAGTTGAACGTGCGCTCCAAGGTGTTCTTTGACGTATCGATCGACGGCCGCGACGCCGGGAAGGTTGTCATGGGCTTGTACGACGACGTCCAGCCCAAAACGGTCGCCAACTTTGTGGCGCTGTGCACGGGGGAAGCCAGTCTTCCCAACCAGCCCTTGCACTACAAGAACAGTCCGTTCCATCGCATCATCCCCAACTTCATGTACACGATGTATTTTCCATCGCGCGTTTCCATATCTATATTTCGCGCAGGATTCAAGGCGGCGACTTTACCAATGGCGACGGCACGGGCGGCATGTCCATCTATGGCGCGCGGTTTGCCGACGAGGACTTGTCCGTGCCCCATGGCGGCGCCGGAACTCTCAGCATGGCGAATGCAGGTGTGTTGTTGCTGACAATGCATTCATACATATATATATCTCCATGTTCCTAGGACCCAACACGAACGGCAGCCAGTTTTTCATTTGCACGGCCAACACCGAGTGGTTGGATGGCAAGCATGTTGTGTTTGGGAAAGTGATTCAAGGCATGGATGTGGTCGAGAAGGTGTCGTCGTACGGGGCGTCGCCACACGGCCGGCCGTCCGCAGACATTCGCATCAAGAACTGCGGACGCTACACGGACGAAGAAGAAGCCGAGGCCGTCGAGACATCGTCTGCCGCGACCAGTGTGGAGGAGATGCAAGAGCGATTGGACACGCTGCGTGAAGTGGAAGCGCAGTTCAAGGACAAGAAGGACTCGGTGGATGCGACCTTGTACAGCCAAGTGCTGGGGGACATTGTCGCAGAAAAACGACGCTTGAAGCTCGAGTTGAAGAAGGCCAAGAAAGAAAGCACGACTTAAAAGAACGAATTAAAGAACAGACGAGAGGTGGAGTGGTGACGTTGCAGCAACGACGGCGTTGATGGAATTTTATATATTAAAAGCACAAATAAAAGAAACGAGCGGTATTAAAAGAATGGGTAAAAGAACCGCAACAGTATCGAGCATCATAAAACAACGAATAACGTTCAAGCCCGACGAAAACAGCGTGGGGGGATATATGCATTAAAGAACAACAGCTAATAAAAGAACACATGTTAAATCGTTTAAAACGACGCCACCGGCGGCGGCGCCCGCGGGGGTTGCTGATTTGACGGTGCGTGGTCCAGCATGGACTGCGCCAGGGACGAGCGTCGATGGGACGCGACCGACTGCGGCGGCTGCGACTGCTGGAACGTTTGGGACCGATAGTTGTCGCGGTAGAAGCGCGCATCGTCGTTCGCGTGTTTGTCGGCCGCTTGGGAGGCGGAACAGGCCTTCCGCCACGACGCAAGGACGCACACGACGACGACCAGCATGAGGACGCCAGACGCGATCGCAAGACCAATCTGCCATGGGACGAGGGTCGTGTCGATGGGTATGGAGGCTGGGTTGATCGTCGTGGCAATAGACCCACCGCCGCCGCTGTTGCTGCTGTTGCTGCCGCTGCCGCCATTGCCGCCGTCTGCATGGAGGATTACGTTGGAGAAGATGGTGGAGTAGGACGTACTGGAGGAAGGTGACGCGGGGCTGGGGTTTTCGCCCGGAGTGGCCGTCACCGACGGTGCGGACGTCGTTGCCACTGGGGCAGCCGTGGGGGTGGTGGCATTGCAGTTTCCTATCGAGAAGTGTGTCAGGTGGGACAAGTCAACGGAGATCGTCGTTGTCATCGTACGGCAATCGACTTGGCCGACGGGGCAATTCTCGGCATCGGCTGGGTTCCCCACCAGCACTTCACCGGCATACGACAAACACAAGAAGAACTTTGGTGCTCCTTGGAAACAATCGCAAGTGGGGCCGTCGCTACATCGGCAGGAGGTGGCGCCATTCGAGTTCTTGATGAAGCCACCCCAGTTGGCTTTGTTGGTGCACTGCGTCTTGGCGCAGTCCTTTCCTGGCACAGCATCGGTCACGTGGATGAGCAATGCAAGGATGCACATCAACGTAGTCGCAATCCGTGGAATTCGCCGCATGCTTCAGTAGAGTCAGCGAAGGCGGCCGCGGCAAGGAGCAGTTGGTAATGGTAACGTTATGGAGTACTAGTAGGTCGATTTTTTTCGTATTTGGATAGTCCCCCCACACGATATCAAGTATATTCCCATTATTGGGGGGACTCTAAGTTTTGCAAGCCGCACTGACTTCTGAACCTCGAATTACGCAAAGGTGTTTTATTCCATTATGTATTTAACCTTGCGTTATATTAGTACTATTTAATAAACACGTTATGTTGAACCTACGTTTAATTCCAACCGTACGCCATACGTTTTATTCCGATCGTAGCCGTTTCAGTTTTGCCCCCATGAACCACCATGCGAGCGAACACCCTGCCGCCTGCATCAGATGGCAATGCTTCTGTCCAAACGTCTCCTCCATTCTATGCGAATGAGACGTCTCCTCCATTCTATGCGAATGAGCTATCTCCAGCATGTGGCCCATCCACTGGAGGCACAAAGTTCATCATTCACGGTTCTGGCTTCAACTTTAGCGGCAATTCGCAGCAACAATCCACGGCAACGCTGGCATCGTATTGGGCACATCCCACGGATCTCGACGATGCCAAGGTTAGGTTCATGCACGGCGACAAGATCCTCGCATCTGTAGCTGCTACGATCCAGAACTCGTCCAAGATCGAATGTACCACCGTCCCGTACACCCGTCCGCTGCTCCATACCACATGTGAATCCTGGGGCTCAGTGTCGTTGTGGATCTCTGTTCGCGGCAGTCCGTATGCTCAATGCAAAACCCCATTCGTGTATTACCATCAACCGTTCATCTTCCACTTGAGTCCGCGCGCTGTATCGGTCGCCGCCGTCGCGAACAACGACGCGGACGTGTCCCTGCGCTTGACCGTAGCGGCCACACCACAACACACGCAGACACACGCGCAGCGCGAGCGGCTAGCGCTGGACATGCAACGCCACGTCATGCACTTTCGCATCGTGCCGCAGTCTCCTTCGGTGGCATCTTCCTCGACGATAGTAGCCGTTCGAGGCACCATCCTTCCTGACGACGGCGCCGTCGACGGCGTGCGCGCCTCGATCCACGTGCCGTCGCAGCTGGCCGTGGGCACATATGCATTTCAAATTGCGTTCAATAACACTGACTTTCCACCCCTCCCGTCTGATCCAATACGAGCGAACCATGCTGATGATGATGATATGTGGACTTCGTGGACATCGCACGGGCAATTCATGGTATTCAGTCCCCCCACTCTGTCGGCAGTGTCGCCCACCGCTTGCTTCTACGCGGGAGGCCAGCATGTGACACTGTACGGGCAGCATCTAGCGCCGCCTGGCGTGACGTCCTCTCCTCGGCACCATGCGACCGCTAAAGCCATCGTGCGGTTCACCCATGTCGTGTCCTCCAGTACAACCCACGCGACATGGACTGGCGGAGGTGGTCCCTACTTTGTACGACGAAACACAATCCCGTGAAGGACGACATTGTTATTGCGTTGTAGGTCCACGCCTCGTTTACAACGGACGACCCGACGACGTTGGTGGTGAAATCACCTCGGTTTAACGACGCAGGACAGTACGAGGTGGCTGTGTCCGTCAACGGCGGCGTCCACTTCAGTGCGCTTTCGTCGTCGTTGTTGCTCGTGTACTGGAAACCGACGTGTGAATACGTGACGCCCGCGTACGGCGTGTCCATGGGCGGCACGGACCTCCATCTGCGCATTTCGGTAAAAAAGCTACAATTGTGATGGTTGAAGGATACTTCTGTCCAGTTGTTGATGTACGGTTGGATGGAATGTGTCGATATCCGGACCACATAATCACGCGATGTCACAGTGGATCATTGACAATGTCACACATTGTGATCACGTCATCGCATATCGTGATTAGTTTGGCCAACTGCGACACGAAGGTGATCGCCCGAGGGTGGCGCTGGAAGACTCGACGTTTGACGATCCAAATGGACTCATCCGCGTGCGCTTCATGTCCGACTTGCTGCCCACCGTCCGCGGCCACGTGTCCTCGTGTCGCAAGTTCTTTCATTGTACGACCCCCAAAAATGCCATGGTCGACCAGTTCCGGTAGTACAATCAATCTATCGAGGAGAGTCGTCGCCCTTCACACTAATACTAGTATTGTTAAGGTTAGGAGAGATTTTGATTGGCTACTTGATTCGTGTTTCTGGATTTTGATTGGTCGATCCCACTCCAATTTCGAATCGAATTGACAATATATAATATATACTTCGAAGTATACGTTTTATACCAGTATTGCATATATGCTTGTTGGACACGTGGAAGGATGGTTGTTGTCATGACGTGTGGTATATGTAGTCATTCGCAACTGGAAGCGATGGGGCTGCAAGTGAGCGTCGACGGCGGGGTAGTTTTCTTTGACTTGACGCCCAAGACTCCGTTTAGTTACTACGCGCCCCCCAAGCTGCGCATGTACACGCCGGTGCAGGGCCCCGCCACGGGCGGCACGACCGTCCATTTGCATGTGGGGGTGCCGATTCCCGATATATTCACATGTCACTTGCGCTTCCGAGGGGCCAAGCTACTGCATCAGGATATCCACGACGTCCCCATGACCAAGTCCGCGGACGGACTCATACTCACCTGTATTTCGCCCAAGTGGCACTTGGAACCGGGTGAAGCGTACGCCATGGCGCTCGTTGAAGTACGTTGGAGGCTATCTCCTACTAGTCTCTCTAGTACTACTAGTAGTAGGTGTGACGTGGTCTCATGTGTGTGGGTAGTTGACGCTGAACGGTGTCGACTATGTGAGCGACACGACCGAGTTTGAGCCGTGTGACCACCCGTTGTTTGCTGGACTGGGCCACCAGTTTTGCTATTATGCACCGCCTCGTCTCACGGACGTTTCCGCGAAATTTCTGTCGTGCCGCGGCCATGACCAAGTGGTGATCCGGGGCGCGGGTTTGCTCGAGTGTGGCGGCCCGATCCGAGTCGCGTTCTCGAACGGCACGACGACGAAATACGTGGACGCGAGTCGCGTCGACGGCGACCGCGTCGAGTGCCGCGCCCCGCCGTTTGCGCCGGGTACGGGAATGTTGTTGGTCCAGAATGTAGATCGTGGTCAAACTGATATGCGCAGGACCATGTGACGTGGCCGTGTCGTTGAACGGCCAGCAATTCACCGGCGATTGGACGGTGGGCAGCCACTTAAAGCTGGCATCAAGGTACTATTGTACCTAGTATTGTCGTCATCCAGAAGAAACCCATTGGACATATTCCCTCTGACCAAAAAACGTTATCAAAGCACGCATTCCCACGGCTGTACTAACTTTGTAACTGGGGTGGTTGAAGATGCCTACTAGTATGATACTGTAGTACTATATTGTCCTTTTACCCAAACTTTGGGCTTTTGTGTTTATCGATTCTTTGTCCTGGATTGGTATTACACTAATTGAAGTCGCACTTTATAGCGAATTTTCACAATACTATCCACTGTTCTTGTACTACTAGATCGCCCACCCAAGTGCAGTTTGTGGAAGAGCCGGTGTTTACAATGCTTGCGCCTGCGAAAGGACCCAAGGCTGGCGGCACGGAGCTGCGGATATTCGGAGAGCATTTCGTCGACACGGGGCAGATACGCGTCCGCTTTGCGACGTCCACGTTTGAGGTCGTGGTACCGGGGGTCGTCACCCAGTACGTGGCAAGCAGAGGAGTTGATGTTGCAGTGCAAGTTCTCGATAAGTTATCGTGGCGTGTGAAGTGTGTATGTATTTCGTGCGATTGTAAGATGATATTTTGCTTCTTCGGGTACGTACGTAGTGGTGTGCTCCAGTGCGTGACCCCAAAGTGTCCTGTGGATGGAGAGGAGACGGTGGTGGTGGTGGCGGCGCTGGACTGGGCGATTGCCGATGGCGCCATGTACATCGTGTCGCACAAGTCCAAGTTGAAGCCCGTGTTTGTGTACGAGTAATAATGGATATGATTGCTGCTCGAGTCCAAGTAACAACGTTAAAAACAACAATCACGTCTTATAACGTCCTGAGAGCGAGATGGTGTGTTGCCGTGAAGATGTTAACATTATCAACACTCAAATTGGACACTGGTACGCCTTGAACTGTGGCGGTTGTGTTACCTGGTAGACGTCCATCACTTTCAAATCGTATTTGGACAAGAATGGTCGACTAGTTATGCTCGATGATGAGTGAAGCGTTCGCTGTAGTCTTACCCAGCCATCCTTTGAATTCCCATCTTGAGGACACACTGTAGTTTTATGTGGTGATTTTTGGAAGGGTATATCGTACTACTATAGGTACATACATTCCTTGGAGATAGTCCAGTTGTTGCTTCCTTAGATATATGTAGAAAACTATTTGAGTCATGCTGCCAAACTGTTAACTAACGTTATGACGAATGAACCTTTGAACGGAAGTCACATCGAGTGGCCTGCACGTATTGTATGTACTCAATCCGTCATCTGATAGAGGGACCGATGAGGAGGCCTTGTACTTTAACAGCAATAATATTCCCCACAAATCACTTTTGTCGGATCTTATTTCCGAAGAGTCGCGTATTATCCGGACAATCGTATCCGGAATGGCTTTCGTGATTGAAACAAAGATTTGTCGAAATGGAACTTGTGGCGCCGTTGCTACTACCGGCAACTCGCCAGCATGCACAACATCAAGATGACGGCGACAAAAAGTATCATCTCCAGAGAGATGGAGAACAGCACAAGAACACCTGGGTCGACAGCATGTTTATCGTTGTCGCCAACGTCGTGGGCATCGGCGTCCTGGGCCTGGCCCATGCCTTCGCCAAGCTGGGATGGATGTACGTAACTGTTTGCTCTCTTCTCCTCGACCTCATGCATGTATGCAGATGGGGATTTGTGTTGCTCGTGTCAACGCTGGCAGGTTCTCTCTACAGCGGCATCCTCATGACTCGCATGAAGTGCCGCGTCCCTCACGCGGCCGTGTTTGCCGACCTTGGATACGAAGGTGATACAGTCCTATACCTCAGTTGCATCATTCATCATTCACCGATCATGGTAGCGTTCGGAAACCTCGGCAAGGCATTCATCACGCTCTTTGCGTACACGTACATCACCGGCGTCTGCGTACGTCCACGCGCACAACCTGCCTTCGTCCATCACGTTGTGTAGTTTTCGTTTCAGCTGACAGCGTCACTATTCCTTCAAGAAATGACCAACGGCCTCTGCTTTGTCTACTGCGCCCTCATGGTCACTGCGCTCGTGCTTCCATTAGCGCAATACCGCAACTTTGCCGAAATGAACTCGATCGCCGTGGTTGGCGCCGTGTCGATCATTGTGCCCATCCTACTCATCCTGTGTACGAACTCCCATGGTTTATATCGTCACCGCTACTGTTATCGTCACCTTTATCGTCACCGTTATCGTCACCGTTAGTGGAAATCGCGTTGAAAGGCAACGTCCAGCCCACCACCACGTCGTGGGTGACGAACGCATCGTTTGATGCTGCTGTCGTGGCCTGTATGGACGTGGTGTTTGCAATGTAGGTCGTTTTCACGTGTTCTTTTAACGTCTTTTAATGTCTTTTAATGCCAACACTAGGGCGGGACATGTGTTTTTTGTGGAAATCATGTCGGAAATGCGCGACCCGCGGGAATTCTCCAAGTCGATTGTCGCCGCCACGTCATTCTTCACGGTCGTGTACGTGCTCATGGCCGTGGTCGGGTATTACTACGTGGGCGCGGTGGTCATGAGCCCCATCACAAGCAACCTCTCCAGCATCAACATGCGCCGGTACGTACCGCATTGAAGAAAGATCGTGTGTCTTTAATGGAGAATGTATGTAGGTGGTGCTCGATGTTCATCTTGTGTCATGTCGTGGTCGCGTACGTGATGGCGGTGATGGTGCTCGCGCGCGCGATCGAGCAGCGGCTGTTCCATCGACCGCCCGAGCAAAGCAAGCATGCGTCCGTGGAGAATCGAGTCGCGTGGCTCGGCATCACAGCTGCCGTCGTGTTTACCAGTTTCTTCGTGTGCAACGTCGTGCCGTTCGTCAACGACCTGCTTGGTTTTGTAGGCGCCCTCAGCGGCGTCACGACGACGTACGTGTTCCCGTTCCTACTCGCACCGGTGATTCTACGAGACGACATGACGCGGGGGCATGCACGGTTGCTCCAAGGCATTGCTGTCGCCAGTACCCTTGTCGCCGTTGTGGGAGTGATTAGTTCCGTGCATCGTATGGCGAATTCGTACCAGACAAGGCCCCCCTTCTCATGTTAAGACATACCAATCATGTAATATAGCTGCTTGTTTGGTTAATCTCGCAGGAAGGACGAGGTCGGTCGGAGTTGTGATGAGGCACGGGGATTTGTGTCGGATCCATCCTGGAAAGTCCCTGGGACGCTGGAAGAACTGGTTGATACCGCAGCTCGTCTGTGTTGGAGATGGTGTGGTTGGGACATTGATCGACGCTTGTACTCGTCGATCTCTTCCTCCAAGTCTTCCTTCACATCGAGCCGCGTCGGTTCTCGTCGAAGCATTGACGGTGAGGGAGGTTGGGTGCACGACGACCGCAATCTTGAATCACGCAAAGCAAAATATATCACCATTTTTGTATTCAGAATATATAAAATTAGAGCGATTACGTCCAGCAGTCTAATATATTATTGATGGCATTAAAACGAGCATTTCATATTACCTCACCATTCAGGGGATACATTGCAAATCAATGGTGAGAAATGGAACAGTGGAATTCTGACATCCGGATGCACATTTCCCCCCCATATGTTTTAGCAGGACTACTCCGAGTACCCCGAGGAGTACATGCGACGTTGGAGAGGTGGTCGGAGTATACTAAGTACCATATAAACACTCAAATCGCAGTTTGAGATAAACAGTGGAACTATTTTAATGAGGGAATTCTACCAGATTGGTGGGTGCACTTTGTATTTACGTAGTAATAGTAGTACTTTAGTAGTACGGTATTCCCAGGCTACTTTAGTTTTTGTTAGTTGAACGCTGCAATATTATTACAAATAATATTGCACCGTTCATAAATAATGCTCGCGTATACTTCAGTACCCGAGTGCTTAAGTACGAACGAGGTCGCACCTACGACGTTCGCAGGGGCTCCGACGGCGGCTGCGCGGCATCGTCAAAGCGAGCGTCCATGGAGGGCTGAAACTAAACTATTCTCGGGGGATATTATTGAGTTTAAGTATAATTGCTGTGATTGGTGCACAGATAAGTAGCCGCTTGGCCTCAGTGTCTGTGTGTTTAGCTACCAGTGTTTGCCGAATCACAATTCGAACCCACAAAGTCATAAGTTAGTCATTTGAAACGCATGCATGGGTAAATATCTCACCGCTTGACGTATGATCCAGTTAACCTCTTGACCACTGACCAATACTTGGCATGCAACTTAAGCATTGAATGTACATGTGCCCACTGGGGGTAGGACCCAGTCCCTGGCTCAGGCTACACCCCGTGGGCACATTCTTCGAAGTATAATGTTATTCCATCACTAGTGGTTATTAGCGATACATAACTACATATAACCACTTGTGATGCATATCTGTGATCAGTTCAAGGAGGGTGCATCTACCGTACTTCAAGTGATGCATTTGTGAACGAATCGCTTGTCAATTAGTATTCGCGAGTTCAGACGAGACCCGGAAGTTGGTACTTCGTCCTAACGTTACCTGTTCTGGGGGAAAAGGATGATCGGGCAACAACCCACTACTTTGCCAATATACTTCGAAGTACGACATCATTCTAACAGTTATACACTTACCGACACAGAAAGCCCGGTACGACGCAGCCCCAGGTTGCAAGGATTTTTTGTACTACTGTACTTTGTACTACTTGTACTGTGTAATGCCGCCACTGTAAGATTTCCTCGGATAAGACACATGCAATCGAGTAGTTCTAGTACTGTAGTACTGTACTAGTTAGTATCGATGAAGTAGTCGGTGATATTATTATTTGACATTTTGATGAATATTCAAAATGAAGCTTGAAATTTGAATGTAGAAGGGGATATTTTTTTAATGCGCTGGCTTTTTAGAGAGAAGGTCACGACCAGCGGCGACTTGTTGATTGGTTAAAATGGAGAATTTTAACCAATCCGATTCAAACTTGACGTTGACGGTATAACATTGGTGTTAATTATGCAAGCGCTTCCGTGTGGTATGTATACAAAAATAACCCCGGACCAGGCGGCACATCAGTAAGCAGGACGCGCTTGAATGATGCAGATGGAGGAGAGGAAAGCTCTTCCGCATGGAATGAGTGCTTCATCGGATACCCAGCACCATCATGCCTCTGCGCCAAACACGGTGCTAGCAGGCTCGCAGATGACCCCGAACGTCGAAAACAACCCCATCGATGGGGCCGCGTCGACGTCGCAGGAACACGGGAAACAAATCAACCCGTCGTCCAAGGGAGACGTTGCATACTACCAAAGCGGGAACATGCAAGGATATCCCCCGCAGCAGAATGGCATCATTGGCACGCGACGACAGGCGACGTGCCCTGCGTGCATGTCCCACACGATCCCGTCGAACGTTGTCTTGGAACCATGCCAGCATCAATTCCATTACCAGTGCATTGACGTGTACACCCAGAACGCGAAGATCTGCCCCGTCTGTCGGGTTCCCATCCAGCGCCACGTACCGCTCGGTCGCCCAACCCCATCCTCGATGCAACAACAACAACAGCAGCATCAACAACCCGAGTACCCATCGCAACCGCCATCAGGTTATCCAATGTCGTCGGCAAATCAACAACAGCCACCCCCGCACATGATGCACAACAACAACAATGTCGCCATGCAAACATCCCAGGGTGGTGGGCCGTCGTCGTCCGCCGTCGGCCACTTTGCGAGCGCGAGTGTGTACGAGTTGCCACCCGAAGTGTTTCTAGACAACTCGTACGAACAGAGTGGGACGAGCTCGATACAAGCGTCCAAGATGCGCAAGGGGAAATGGACGTCGGAGGAAGCGGCGTACTGCGATCGCCTCATCGAAGAGTTCAAGCACGGGAACTTGCCGCTGGCCGAAGGCACGACGCTGCGCACATTTCTAAGCAAGTTGCTCAACTGCGACCCCATGCGAATATCTAAAAAGTACACGGGCAACCAATGCATTGGCAAGGTAGGACTTTTATCCGTAGATCGTGCGTCCATATATATATATATATATATATATATATATGGGTGAATTATTCCGTCTGAACTTTGTATATATATATATATATATATGGATGAATTATTCCGTCTGAACGTTGTGTTTATGTGAATACCCTTTCCCTCCATGTATGATCCCTGTATATTTATATTCCTCGGCTTGTGGCGTTGTTTCCAATATTGAATCATGGTTGAAATATAATATATATATATATATATTTGTACGTTTTTATAGTAGTATAATCTTGAAAAATATATATTGACACGTGTCAAACAACACCAGGCGTCCTTTTTATACATGTCGAAAATCAAATCAAAAGAATATTATATACATGTATATGTATACAGTTGGTCCAACTATCGAATCTACCAGTCTGCTCCTTTCATATCGTTTGTGTGTTGATATGATATTGTTATTTTTGTAGATTATATTTCGCCGCAAGTCCAAGGAACCGACGAAAGACGAGATTGAAATGACTCGCAAGCAACTTGCTGAGCTCGAACGCATCTACCTCGACCGCGAACGCATGAACCAGCAACGCAGGGAGAAGCGCCTTGAATCCGAAGTGAACCGCGACCGCAGCAGGCTGCTCTCGGCGCGGAACCTCGTGTACGCACCGCCGCCGCCTCAACAGACGACAGCGTCGGCTGCGATGCTCCATCACCACCACCCGAACTACCCAAACTACCACCACCCCCCCCCCACAACATATCAGCAGCACTCATCCTTCCAGCAACCACCCCCCGGGTACGCCGCCGCGCATCCGTCGTTGGAGCCGCCGCCAGGAGCATCGGCGCCCAAACCGCCGACGGCTCCCCCCGCCGCACCAACGTCCTCCAAGGACGTGGAAAACAGTCATTCGAATATCAAGACAGAAGTGGTGGCGTCGACTCCCCACAATGGCACGATGAAGCGGGAGCATAGCTTGGCCATGATGCACGACAAGGACGCGTTGCCGCGCATTTCCTCGGTGGACAGCTTCTCGTCCATGTTTCCGCGCATCGCGTCGCTCGATTGCTTCCAGAGCCTATCGTCGCATCGCCCGCCGCCGCACCATCCTCCTCCTTCCCAGCATCATCATAGTCTGTACCGATCGCCGTCACTCGAGTGCCTCAACACGATTCCGCGGGTCGGGTCCCTCGAGCAGTTTTCCAACTTTATTGCCAACATGCCGCCAGAACCCACGTCCAAGGCGGCGGTATTATCCGGGACGACGGGTACTACTACTAGTACTACTACTACTAGTAGTAGTAGCCCGCCGAAACCCGCCAAGCCCCCGACGGCGGCGGCGTTCCCGAGGATCGCGTCGTTGGACCGGCTCCACTTGCCCCGCGCGCCGTCGATGGACAGACTGCCGCGGATCAACTCGACGGATGGATTCCTGCCGCACGTGCCGTCGTTTGGGAGTTTCAGTGCGTTCGGGTCGTTTAGTAACCTCGGTGTCCTCACCACGAAAGACAAGGCAGGGACTACTAGTAGTACTACGGGGCACTCGTCCATCGAAGACATTTTGTCGCTGGTGGCGGCGTCGGGGGACGGACCCGCCGACAAGAAGCGCAAAGCTGCGTCGACGTCGTACGCGAGTCTCGCAGACCACGACCTCCATGTGGACAAGAAACCATCGTACCATCGAATGTAGTCTATCGCGTTGTGTGGTTGAGGATAATGTGATATAATAACCTCCCCTGTCGCTGTCGTTCAAATGCAACAACATGGACCAGATTGTGTGTGTGTGTGTTGACCACCCATGCTACAGGTAGTACGGGTAGGGTGGCAACGACGGAAGCGGCTTGTCGGCCGTGGCGAGTGACCGTGGCGGCATGATGGTGCCAGTCGCTCGACCGCCGCTCGCATTGAAAACTTTTTCCGGAAAAAATTAATCATATCCGGATAAGCAGAACCAAACTCGATGGAACCGCAAGTTGGGGAAGACTACGCTGTGCATGTGGGCACGTCGATGCATGCAAGTGATGACGCCGACGGCGATGTGGACGTGCAATGCAGCTTCCGGTACGAGTTCCAGCCAGCGTCGGTGGACACCCGAGTCCCTGGGCTTGTGAGAACTGACAGTGCTGCGAACTCGATGGTGGTGGAGGTTGCTCACGCCAATGCACCTGGGGGGATCGAGTTCAAAGGCAAGGTCACAGAGAACAAGGACGTCGAGTGCGTCTTGATCTTTGACTCGGCGACGCAAACGTTTACACTGGAGAAGCTTCCTCTCTCATGCGCGCAGCTCCGTCCCGTGCGCAAGTCTACCAGGCCCACGACTACGAAACCTGGACCACTTGGAAAGCGCAAAGCACCACCGCAATAGTTACAATATTTATGGGAAATTCACTGGTTTGATTGGCTCATTTTGAGTTTGTTTTGACATTATTTTCGCAAACAATTATTTTGGCGAAAATACGATCCGTCTACCGTGATTGGCCAGTTTTGGATCCTTGGACTTTGGAATCCGAAACGCTTTTCGTGGGATGGTGAACATGGGAATCAAGCGCCGGAAGGCAGGGACACTGGAGGCGGGTGGCCTGTCGTGGCGATGGGTGGCTTCCCCTGTCCTCGTAGGTGTCTTGTCGCTCCTGTGGCTTCATGTGTTTGCACCGCCTCCCCCGACAACCGAGATGCAACTCCGCGCTTTCGAAGCGTGGATTCGGCAACACGGTGGTCGGATCGGCAACGTGCAGCTCGCTGCGTTCCCTGGCATGGGCATTGGTGTGCAAACGACCAGCGACATCACGGAGAAGGATGAAGTGCTGTATTTGCCGCGCGACCTTGTCATGTACGTACGATGGGTCCGTGTCCTCAAGCGGCACTATGACACCAACTTGCGTAGATGCCGTGACACCGTCACCAAGCAGCTCCCGCGCGAGTTTCTGCGCACGGGACCCCATGCCGACGACGACCTTCTAGCCACGTTCTTGTTGCTCGAGCGCCTCAAAGGCCCCGCGTCCAAGTGGGCACCCTACTTGGCCGTACGCCGTTCACCCACACGGGGCTTCTATACCAACATACCAACATCATGATAGGTCTTGCCATCGGTCATTCCGTCACCCATGAGCTTTACAAAGCACCAAGTCGCAGCTCTTCATGTAGTACTCACCGCCCGTTCTAATACCCCATGGCTTCCTTCCTACATGTGGTGATCATGGAATCTCATTAGGACGAGGCGTTGATTCAGTTGATTGGCGACGCCAAGCGCAGCACCACCGCCGCATTCAAGGCGTTGCTGAGAAAGTTGTCGGCAGTACTCAAGAAACGCAAGGCGTCGTTGAGTTTGGTACGTGAATTGCTAGAGTGACCCTTACATGTGACACTGGATATGAATTTCTGTCATGATATATATATATATATATATATAATGCTGGGATACAGGACGACTATATTTGGGCAACGTCTGTGCTCGGATCCAGGGCGCTGACCATCCAAGGCGTGCGCTACCTCGTACCCTTTGCCGACATGTTCAACGGCCAGTCGCATCCGGTATATTGTGCCTATCCACTTTTGTACATTTCGAGAAAATAGCATACTATCGTATCATTCGTATATATATATATATATATATATATCTTTGAATGTAGTCGGCACGATTGGCAAACAACGGCGCTCGATTTTTGGAATTTCACCAATTGTCCAACCATGGCGACGTGCGTATCTTGGCCGATCGCCCGTGTGCCAAGTTCGACCAACTCGTTGAAGATTATGGCGATAATGACAATTACATGTACATTTTTTTCATATAAATATATATATATATAATTCATAAACGTAGATATTTCATGCACCACGGGTTTACCATGTCTCAGAACCCATTCGACTGCGTCCGACTACCGCTGCCGTCGCCGTCTTCCTCCAAAGCCAATGTATTGGCGTCCTATGGCGTGCCATCTTCAAAGCACATTTGCGTGCAGCCCACTGGCGAGTACGAAGGATAATATCTTTCATGTATTTTACTTATTATTTATTTAATTCTATATATACATATATTTTTATATTTTGAAATGGTGCGTAAACAAGGAAATGACAATGCCGTTGCCGTGTGTAGTAGACACGTTCGAAACACTAGTGTCATGGTATTGTGCATTTCACCCAAATTTGGACTTGTGAAACACGTCGCAACATAGCATTTGATCCAATTTAAGCTTGTACAAACTATACGATACACAGATTAGTATATATATGATTTTGCCCAATGCGGAGGGACTGGGCCGAGTCAAACGTTTTGATTGGCAGAAATTCGACAAGAACGTGATTTGATTGGCTTTGGCGGTTCTTTAATATCCATTTTCTTTTAAGACTCCAGTTTCGAATCGATTTTTGACAATATATATATATATATATATATATATGGATAGCACGTTGGATATTGTGGGGTGGGCGATCTTGCAAGCTCTGGTGCTGACCGACGGGGACGCCCAGACATGTGCGACGACCCACACGTGTTTGGAGTTTGAGTCGCCGGGGAAGGTGATGACTCATGCGGACGCGGCGGCGTGGGTGCTGGCGGCGACCACGGCGGCTCTGCAGGTACTGTCTGTCGGGTGAAAGCAGTGTGTCGTCCTGGGGAGGTGATTCGTATTTTTTTATAAATATATATCGTTCTTTACTTGGATGGCTTTCGCCGTTACTTGTTGGTTGTCAACGGTGCTTATGTGAGGTTGTGTGTAAAAGTTGAAATATATATATATATATATATATATATATACTAGTGATATTGAATGTATTGCCGTTTTTTCATAGGCGTTTGCTACGACAGCCGACGAAGACGAACACGTGCTGTCCACGAACGCCACGACGATGTCTCCTAATATGCAGTACGTGCGGCCTTCTCTCTCTCTCTCTTATATATATATATATAGTTTTTTCTACAACCAATCAAACACTAGAGTGGTGATGACACTCCTGGGATAATAAAGCTGTGTAGTGATAATATGATCTTTACTTGACATAGGTTGGTCATAACATTTCGACGGCAACGCAAGCTTATATTGCAGCAGCTTGTAGTTACTCTAACAGCAGCGACCGCCTCGTCCCGTCCGGCGTCGGAGGCGAACGTTGTCGCAGACGCCGCCGCCGTGTCTCCTGAACCGGCGAACAGCGTGGACGACAAGATCCGCCGGTTTCACCAGTGGTTTAACAGCCTCACGACGACCAATAAACTGCATGTTCGGTACATGGGGCCTGCGATGGGGTACGGGACGTTTGCTACCGAGGACATCGCTGCCGACGACGTTTACGTGGGGGTACCCACTGCCAGCATCCTCGACTCGACATCTGCGACACGGCACCCCCACCTCGCAACCGTGTTTCGAACGCTGTCACAGACGTCTGGCCACCGCGACCGCATGCACGAAGTAAACTCTCGAGAACGACCTACATTCATACTTTTGGAGTGATTGTCGTTGGATATGGCAATGTTGTAGCTGGTACTGCACCTCATACACGAAAGGTTTGTCCGACAAGAAGAGTCGCCGTTTGCCCCGTACTTGGCCTTGTTGCCGCCGCTGCTAGAGGACGGCGCGGTGCCGTTGATGTACTCGTACGGATAATATTAGAATTCCCGTCTATATATATATATATATATATATATATATATATAGGTCCAACATCCTGCCCTCTCTCTCTGTGTGTATATATATATAGATGACAGGATTTCGCTGGAATACATGTCGTTTTGTACTGTGTGTCTCATGGATTCAGTTTTGAAGATATATACTATATAATAATCATGTATTTAGATGTATAAACGAATATGATTTCACTGTGTGTTTTGCATGTATATGAATGATATTTGTTGCGTGTAGAGCCAAACAATTGGCGGCGCTAAAGTCGGTGGACTTGCATGAGGCGGTCGTGGCGTACCAGTTGCAAGTGGAGAAATCGTACCAAGCGATCCATCGCGTGGTGCTATCCAGGTTTCCCGAGGTAGAAACGACAATCTCATGATGGAGTCTTTTGATATGCCTATTTTGGGGGATTGATGAAATCGCCAAGTAATCGAGAAAATGAGTATGATTGGCTATAAAGAATGAAGATTGAAATATGATTGGCTAAAATATTCATTGATGCATTGCAGTCTCAAAGATACCTCTTCAACTCAGTTTTATATGAAATTTCGAAGGTTCGGCGATTGTTCGGCGGTTGATTCAACCAATCGCCAACGGAGGAAATGTTGAGTACAACACACAATACATATGAACAATTATATGGTTTTTCAATTGCTTTGGAATGATTTGTTTTAATATATATATA